ATACACGAATGTCAGACAATCTCACTACACATTGTTTACACGTAGCACTTTCACGTACACACAAAACTCCGTCATCACACAACCGATCTAACTGTAGTCACCAGACAACATACACATATATCAGTATATATTTGGTAACAAGCTTAGAACTTTTTAAAACTATGTTCTGTATCACTAAAGCATCCATCGACATTGTGAAGTACATAGGGTATAATTCTGAAATCTTTCTCGTAACTTGTTTTAAAAATGTAATACAACATCACATAACTTCCAGCGCGTTTCAATTTATGTATTATTTCTTTAATATGTTTTAAAAGGAAGGTAGAATTTTTTCCCATACGTTCAAACAATATTGAAAAAAGAGAACTAGTCTTTGAAACTTGATGTTATTTTATTAAATAAATAAGATGCCTCTAAGGAGGAAGCTTATTTTCCCACGTTTTCTTTAACTTGCTTTCGTCTCTGTTTGTCTTTCCAATCAAATCTTGGAATCGAAATTTCTGGCACTTCCCAGTTAGCTAGCGCGCTGAAATTTTCAGGGAAGCTTTGTTTTGGATGACATTAGAATATTCAATTGTTATTATTACTAACTTGATCCATGGAAACATTTTATTGAGCATTTTAGACCGCTATATAATCTATCTATATATATAATTCTCTTCTGGGAGCCGCAAGAAAACAAGCTGTAAACGCGATCCCTACCTCCCCACCCTTACAAGTCCTTAGTGAGCTGTGTTCACTCTAAATGTTTACAAGCAGAGCCAACGATTTTAAACGTAAGGGGGGGGGGGGGGGAGAGGGGGGGGTGGGGGTAAGGAAGGGGGGGGGGTTATGGTCCTTAAAGAGCTACTTATAGTGTTTTAAAGAAATATTTTCAGTGGCAGCACTGGTACTGTCGAATTCACAAATTATGAATTACTGAAAAGTAGAAAATAAATCAACTAAATAGCGGCGTATGATACGCCGCGGGTTGGCTCGTTGTAGTAAAAACGTGGGGAAAAAGGGACATAACCCAGTAACTGTAATTTGTGTACAAACAACCGTAACAACTGGTGGCCAGTATGGGGGAGACGATATGGTCGAGTGGTTGGGCACACGATTCAGTGGCGTAGCGAGGTCGGGTGTCACCCGGTGCGGCACTTAATGGTGTCACCCCCCCAGAGGCATAGAGACCCTTCCCAGGGACAAAGTTTCAAGTTTTCGATTTGCACCCCCCCCTCAAACTTTCGATTTGCACCCCCCCCTCGAGTTTTCGATTTGCACCCCCCCCCCCTCAAACTTTCGATTTGCACCCCCCCCCCCCTCGAGTTTTTCTCTATATATTTTGCTATTTTTTGCCTTGGTGTCACCCCCCTAAATGGTGTCACCCGGTGCGGTCCGCACCCCCCGCCCCCCCCCTCGCTACGCCCCTGACACGATTGCTATCCCACTCGACACGGGTTCAAATCTATGTGTTCTAGTCAGTAACGTATTCACACAACGTGTTTTTTACGAGTTGTCTTTTTACGAGTTGTCTTCGTTTACCCAAAAAAAAGTGAAAAGATAAAATCGATAGCAAGATTTTAATGCAAACAAACAGACAAAGACTAAAAAGTAGAAAATAATAATCATTAAAAAAGTTTTTAAAAACCCACGTTTTCTGATTGAACTAAAAAGTAGAAAATAAATGCTATACATCACAATAATGCAAGCGATCACTCTACTATAAGCGATCAAAAACGTGGGGTGCCGTGATTTTCTTACAGTTTCTAATACTGTTGACTCTCTACAAGCTCCCTAATAAAAGTCAATAGTATTATCTAATCAATAGTAATATAACTTTTACTTCGGCGCCCCACGTTTTTCGTCGCTTATAGTAGAGTGATCGCTTGCATTATTGTGATGTATAGCATTTATTTTCTACTTTTTAGTTCAATCAGAAAACGTGGTTTTTTTTTAACTTTTTTAATGATTATTATTACCGATTGTTTTTACATCATAGTCATCCCCCCTCCCCCCTCCACACACACCACTCACCCCATCCATTTACCTTAGTGTGGGTGGACGGTGATTAAATTATTTATTTCATATTTGATTTTAATATTGTGTTCTATATTGTCCGTGTAGGGAGAGGGGGGGTGGCATGACATACCCTCATCACATAGTCACATATTCAGAAATTATAATCCTCTCTTAAGGGGAAGTAACCAAGCTTGGATGATGCTGTCGACAGTATAAAAGAGTTGTCGCGCTTAACAAAAAATAAACATACATGTTGCCCCAGTTAATTTTTATGACAGTAGGCCTACGCCTACAAGAGGAGGGGGTAAAAAAATTCATTAAAAACCGTTTTAATAACAAGCTTTTATGTAATAATGCACTAAAAAGTAGAAAATAAATTATAGACTACTATTTAAATAACTATAAAGAAAAGCGTGGGTCACTTTAGCACTTTAGTACCTATTGGATACCTTTACTAATATTTGAGAAGAGACCCACGCTAGTACTTGCAATAATGTAAAGACGCTGAAGTTTTGGTATAAATAGGTATAAAGATTTCCCCTATTTCGAGTTAAACAGAAAATTAGCAATTATTACATTTTAAAATAACATTGATCTTTCTGTTGTGTTTAGGTTTAGCAGTTAGAACATTTTTATCCAAAAACTAACTTATGTTATTACATTTCGTAACTGTAAATAATGTTCAAATAATCTATTTACGAATTATTTAAAAAAAAATCAAGAACCGTTTTTCCTTCATTGTTTTCTCTAATTAAAGTCACCAAACAAATACTATCCTAGTTGAAACAGGCGGCACTTTCGGACAGTTTATGTTTGGGGTGAGCTTAATGTGTAAGTAATGTTTGGCCAGCAGAAGTGAATGGTGTGTGTATGAACAAAATACATTCATAAAATACACCGTGTGGCACAAGTAAAGTAATATCCGCTGACTAGTGTCTGTCAAATCTTGCGGAAGTTGTAAAATATAGTTTGGCAATTCATTAACGGTTAATTTATGTATTTATTAATTGTAAGGGTAAAGAGGGGGAGGGGACAAAGGAAGGAGACATAAAAGTAAAAGTGGGACTGAGTGGTCGGGTGGTAGATTGTATGACTGCCAACCTAAATGTCTATGACATTCCTTAGTCCACAACGCTTAGGAAAGGGAAAGTAGAGGCCACAGGACATTGTGCTAACCACATTGTCCCTTCATTTACCCTTCTCAGATACTAGCTGGAAGCTGCTGATCTATAACTATAGCATCTCAAATAGAAGCATATTGTAGGTGATTTGTGTTAAAAATTCAATGTAATATATGTGGATTAGGGACGGGAGCTGAATGCATGAACAGAAAAAAAAACATTCTCACACAAAGGAAATAGCATTAAATGAGTCAAGATGGTCAGCACGCACAAATATATATGTTACGGTCAAAGCCCGAAGTGCGGCCAAACCCCGGATTGGCCGGCCAATCCGCGCATTGGCCGGCTCTCTTGGCCAAAGCCCGAAGAACTTAGCACTAAGATCGTATTTTGTACATTGGCCGGCCAATGCGCGCACTGGCCGGTACGTACTGGCCAATGTTCTATCTATACTAAGTTGTGATCGCATTTTCATTATTCTGAGTGCGCTTTCATTGAGAGTAACGTATTGTTTAGCTCTTGTTTGTATAGCATTCTATATGCAAGTCGACAAGGATCAAAAGGGCAGTCAGTCCATGAGACAGACATAGCAGATGGCTGTCAAAAGAAAAAAATGTAAATCCATGTTAGTTTCCATATATGGGCTCTCGATAAAATAGTTACTGAGGAAGATCTTGAGAACATTGAACAAGAAATGGAGGTTGCCATAAATGCAACGACATCCTCAGCTAACACATATGCTGCCTTGGCGGAACGTCCAGACCAGTTGCGTGACAATAATGTGGCCAACAGATTCTGTATAGTTTGTGAAAAACATTGTAGTGCAGCTCATTCTTTTGGATCCTGTGGCAACGATGTCCATGCTATTTGTGGAATACTCAATGAAGCAGACGAAGGGTACGGAGGGAACATTACCTGCAGATTGTGTCAGAAAAAACAAGCCATCATGGAACACAGATCAGCAGCTCATACTGGTTTGCAAATTCAAGGTGCTAAGATGCTTAAAACATCAAATACAAAATTTAAAGATGGTGAAGTGGGTGACAATGTACGCATCCGTTTTCCAGATGTTGACAGAGGTCACGGTGATCCCAGAAGCGTGATTGCAGTTGTCATGGGCGTCGAGGGCGGTTTCTACAAATTAGGAACGGAACATGGTGTTCTAAAACAACTGTATGCTAGTAGTGAGTTTTCAATTCTTCACGAAAAACTGCTCTTATTGTCGTCAGTTGACACTGAGGAAAATTCACTACGAACCATCGCATCTTCACAATCATTGACTGGGGGCCAAGGCTACACTCGCTGCAATTGCACAACTAAGTGCACAACAAATCGCTGCAAGTGTAAAAATAACAAGCTGCTATATCATTCTAAATGCCATAAAAGTTCAACTTGTTTAACAAATGATGATATTGATAGATTGAGACTATAGTACAATAAAAAATGTGAATGTTTCTGTCATTTACTTCAATTAATAATCAATAAAGACTTAATTTCATGATCCTTACGGCATAAAAAAAAACAAAATCTGCTCATGATCTTCTAGTTCGGACTTTGGCCAGTCTTCCTTAACCAGATGATCTTCTAATTAAGACTTTGGCCGGTCCACCATGGCCAGTCTGCGGATTGGCCGGCCAAAGGCCGAAATCAAGCAAAGTTTCGGACTTTGACCGACCTATTGGAGGCGATATTGGCCAATGCGCGGATTGGCCGGCCAATCCTAGCATTGGCCGACTTCGGGCTTTGACCGTAACATATACTTGTATACCTCATGTAAATTTAATTAATAACAATTTTTAAATACTGAGAAAAAAAACTGCCTCCTCATAAAACTTCAGAAAAAAGAATAACTTTAATTTTTTTTTTACAATACGGATATAACATTTTAAACAGGTAATAATATACTCTGGAAAAAAATTCAATTACAAGTAAAAAAAAGAAAGTGAAAACAGTACAGTGATCCAACCAAACGTTGTTATTCTGATAAACAAAAAAAATCTTTAAAGAGCAAAAAAGCAGCAGCTAATTTACAAACAGGTTTTGTTCTGAAGCAAGATATATTGAGTTGACAAATTTAAAAATGTGCAAGTTCACTTTAAAAAGGTTCCGTGGGATTTAGATATAAATTTACATAATCGCGTTTTTATACCAATCGTACTATTATGAACCTTCTGTATGCTTTGATATTTTAGCTTGTAAAAGTTTTAACGGGAAGTTACCGTAAAAATAAAAAAGGAACTGGCAAACGATTTCGTGACACGGGTGAGAGACTTTCTTTGATAAATGTATAATTCCTTATGTGGCTCGCAGTTAGATCACAAATGTCAATAAAATAGTCCTTTAAAACAATAACAAAAGTGGCGTATTAAAATATAGTTTAAAGATAATTTAAACATAATTGTAAGTATAATTTTAAAATAAATTTCGGCAGGGCGTGAGACAAATCAAAATGATGTCAAATATCTAGAGGTGGACGACACATCTTTTTTGTGAACCATTCCTTAACGTCTGGAACTGTTTTAGAATATGACTGAAGGTTCCACAACCTCTGACATACTTGACAAAATGCCACGCCCTCGTAATGATAATGCATGTAACGTATCCGCCCATCCTCTTCTCTGATTGGATAGTCTTCATAGATACCAACGTACTTGTCCTTCTCTTGTAAAAAACGGATGTACTCGCTGTCATGTTGGTCCAGGTAAAGCAGCTTGTCCGCGAGCTCTTTAGGGCTGGCATAATCTGCCGTGTTGATGAAAACTTCTGGAGGGGCGTGGCGTGAGTACTCATTGCTTGCACGGACCACTAGGATTGTGTTGGTGCTAATGTACCTGAAAAGCTTTTCTGTTATGTAGTCCTCACACATTGAACTCTCGAAGGATAAATAAAATTTGTAGTTGGTGTCGATGGTTTGGAAACACTTATCATCATCGGCCCGTGCGCAAGAAAAATTTCCACATTTGCCGTATACGTCTACAGAAATATATTTCTGTATCTCTGCAATATATTTTTCTCGTTTCCCCGACGATTTACAATTGCTAACAAGCACAGCAGCTTTCCTTGTCTTTTTGGCCAGGATAGATTCATAATCTCGAGTGATCGGTTTAAACCGCCTTCGTAAGATTCCATATAAGGAAGTGACGTCAGAATCCATTCTGTAAGTCATGGTCCAGTTGAAGACAGTCTTCCATCCGAGTTTGTCGTTCTTGAGTCCACTTTTCCCCCACCAATATGGGGTGGGTGGCTCGTGGTTGCTAAAAATAAACACCTGGTCTGGACGCCGTTTTGGTGGAGGTCTTGTCAGCAGTTCACCTGGTGATTAAACAAAGTGTTTATTATTATGAATAAAATAATCACTTAATTTTAAAAAAAAATTCTTTTCTTAAATCTAACCGTTTAATTTTCGTATAAGGATTCCGTCCCCTATGATGCTATAATTAGGGGAATATTCCCAGCCTTTCTCTGGCTGCTATTTATTACATAGGCCTACATAACAAAAAATGGGTAAAGTATCATTTTTTAATTATGTGTACATGTTGGTAGTTAGAGCAATCTTAAATAACACTTTCTTTTGGTTTTTTTTATTCTAACTCATGTAAACTTTTATCCATAGAGAATGTGTAGATAAACACGTAGACACAACTGTCTCACACACTGTTGTTTTAAGACACAATACACGCTTTTGAAATTAAAGAGGTTAGTGCTAAGAGTGATTAATTTATTTAAAAATGTAAATTGGCTGTAAAACGATTTTTTTTTCAAGAAAAGAAATTTAGTTTAAAAAAACTTTTGATAGCAAGTTTTTTATGCATAAAAATCATTTGTTTAATAAATTATTTTTAAAATATATATTAATGCATGCATAAATAAAGCGGGAGAATGGGGTGGCACTTCCAGGGCTATAGAAATGTTTTTTATTAATTAATTTAATTTTTTTTTAACCAGAATAGAATGGCTCCAAAAAAAAAAAGAATTGACCACCAAATACACGCAAACAGTGTACTTTCTAAATGAAACATTAAGTTTTTTTGAGACATCGGAAATAGCGTAAAGTACTACTTCTGGTCACCGGAAATTGTTTCAAGGTTTGGAAGAAACCAGCGATTAAGAACAAATATCTGTGTTTGAAATTTCGTCAATCTAACTGAAAAAGTACTCACGTTATTTGGTATTTTAGTATTTTTAGAAACAAGAAATAAAGTACCAATTCCGGCTATCCGAAGCCACTAAAATTGAAAGTTATCTACATATAAGCTCTTTTACGTAAACATGAAATTATTTCCTTTCTGTAACTGAAACAGTTCTCGAGTTATTGTGTTTCGTCTACCTAGCATTAATGTTACTTAGGTTATCGGCTTTTAAGAAACAAAATAGAGTATGAATAACTTCCGGTTACCGGAAATAGCTCAAAAGTTAAAGAAAACTACAAATTCGATATAATATTTATGTGTGAAAATTGGTCAGCCTAACTGAAACGGTGCCCGGGGTATCGGGTTAACATACACACACAAATGGAAAAGATGGGAAAAATAAGTTTTCTGGCTCTAGAAGGTAATAAAACAACAAAATTAAACAAAAGCTTGATTTTAGATTTTTGCATAGTTGCAATGAATCCTTTATATTCCGTATACGATACAGTGGGGAGGTGTGAAACTGCAAATACTATTTACAATTTTTCTGCACGATGACAATACTTTCTCTGTACGAGAAATTAAAAATCATAGGTCGCTATAGGTATTTAATACATTTACTAAAATAAATTTAATAAGCGCCAGGTGCTTTTCTTTATAGTTATTTAAGTAGGGATGCATTATTATTTTTATTTATTTTTTTAAAACATCTTTTTTTTCTTATTTGTATTATATATATAAGAGCTTGCTGTCAAAATGTTGTTTTTCTAATCACAAAGATGATTATAAACAAAGAAATTTCCAACAAATAGCGGTCGTATGCTGATAATGCTGTTTGTGATTGCTAGATAGAATAAAATCAATTACAATTGGTATGTCTAGGTTAGGACAAGGGATAATTTTAGACATATAGCTAGGGATAGTATTGACAATTTTATTGCCAATAATCAATGGTTTAAATATACAACATGCTATCTAATATTTACTTTTCTTTTTTGGAGCTCATTGAAATGGCATACTACGACTCTATTGAGCTGCTCCTGTTTACTTACCCGGAAAAACCATCGCAGCACTTTGTTCAGCAAACGTTTTATTTGTAGTTATCACACAAGGAAAATCCGGACAAAACCTTAAGGGGTTTAAGCTGTCCATCTTTGGCCAATACCGTGTTGGTATGTACCATAGAATTATTTTTTTCTTGTCAATCACAGCTCCGGCTTCCCGCTGGTCTTCAAAAAACGTGGAGGAATTAAACGGAACAAAAGGCTCCAACTCAGGGACGTATGGACTTGGGTACGGGTCGGTTGATTTGGTTGGCACTGGCTGACGGAAGATGACGCCGTTCTCCATCCATTCCTCTACACCTTCCTTAGTGACACGCCTCTGAAGACTTGAACCTGACCGTATGACTTGTGCGATGATGGACTGACACGTCTGATTACACGTTTCATTTTTGCCCCACATTTGTCTCACCAGTTCTTCGTTGATGGGTATAAAAGTTGGCACTTTTGTTGCAGGCACATTTGAGTTGTTTACCAACTTATTCTGTGTCAGCCCTTCATTGTTTGGAACAAATTGGGAGGAAAGTATTGGCACTTTTGTAGCAGGAACATTTGAGTTCTTTACCAACGTATTCTGTGTCAGCCCTTCATTGATTGGAACAAAGTGGGTGAAAAGTATTGGCACTTTTGTAGCAGGCACAACTATTTTATTAGTCTGTGCATCTGGCACGGCCGCTAACTGATCTCTACCGCGGTTATCACGTGACATGAGCTCGTCCACGTCCAGCACTGAATCGTCAACCAGCTGTCTACCGCTGCTCGCCCCCGCGCCTTTCTGTGACGTCACCGTGTAGTAGAGCAGCGAGGACATGAGGGTCAGCACCGCCAGGGACAGAGTATTTGTCCGGCAGACTTTAAACTTTCGTGACAACTGCAAATACAAGAAAACAAAAACAAAAAAAAATTAAATTTTAGAATATTCATGAAAATATTAAAAAAAAAAAAGAAAATCTTTCTAATGTAAAATTGTGCATGTCTACTTCATGGAAACCTTAGTATCTCCGACCAGTGTTTCTTCCAGACTTTTTTCTCCGGGGGGGGGGGGGGGGGGGGACTTGAAATTTTCAGGGGGGCGGTAGACTTTCTTCGGGGGGGGGGGGGGGCGGACACTGTTAAAAGTATATATTTTATATATAAATTATATAAATTTTAATTTCGTTCGGGGGGGGGGGCGGTAGAATTTTTTCGGGGGGGGGGGGGGGGGGGCGAAGAGATGCCTGGAAGAAACTCTGTCTCCGACAACTAATAAACAAGCTGTGTTTATTTTATGTTCCTTATTCTCGGATTTAAAAAAATCACATAAAAAATCATATTCCTCTCACTGTGTAATGCTAAATTTTATGTTTAATAAAAAAAAACGTAATTATAAAACTGGAATCATCCATCTCTGTCCCCAGGCCACATACGGTAGGACTGCACTATTAAAATATCACTGCTGTAGATGCGTAATAAAATAAGCTTTTCAACAGTTCGATGGGGTTACACAGTTTTTTTAAATAAATTCTAGCAAAATATGCATGTACTCTACTTAGTATACTTTTTTAAAAATAAATTACTTATGACTATTACTTATAATTAATTGAATGGGGTCATCCATAAATGACGTCACACTCGTAGTGGGGAGGTTGTCAGTAATTTTGTGACGATGTGTGATGAGGGGGAGGGGGGGGGGGTCAGATGTTGCGACGTCACATTTTTGCATTATATAAAAGCAATGTTAGAAAACGAATTTTAGACGTTATTTTGCATTTTAGATAACTGTTTTAATAAATTGTAATAGTTTAGACAAGATTTTAGAAAAATATCGATGTTTAAAAAAATTCAACTGCAATTTTGAGGGGGGTTGTAGATTGAGGTGTTACGTCATTTTGAGACGACGTGTGACGGAGGGGAGGGGGGAGGTAAAAATCGTCCAAAAAAGCGTGACGTCATTTATGGATGACCCCAATACAGTTTATTACATTTAAACCGGAAATTAGTTTAGTAACGTAATGTTGTATTGCCCGTAGAAAACCATTTTTGCTTATCTCTGATATGTCAATACTAGCAGGAAATTGCCAGGCCTTTTGTACGTTAGCTGATCTAGAACTTCCTAGGGCAACTTTTACAGAGCACATACATTTAGGTCGATTGTGTTAAAAAAAACTCTATGCAACTATATGGGGTAGGGGGGGAGAGAGAAACTAAATTATTATACAGAAAAAAAGTACATTCTCACACGTCAAGAACGTTAATTAGAGGGCGCCCAAAGGGGGGGGGGGGTAGAGAAATAAGAGCTAATCCTGAAATGCAGTACTGAATTATACATATTCATTTATTCAACGTTAAGAAAATACTGATTTAAAAGTATTGTACATCAAGTGTGTGACACCAAAATCAAAATGTTAAGGGGTTAGGCTCCAGAAAAAAAAAACAAATTCTTAATTAATACGTTTCATTATTTAAGAAGTTTTTTTACCCGTTTTTTTCTGGAGCCTACCCCCTTAAACGACATTGACGGTAAATAGCGCTCTAGATCAGTAGATCTAGATCTAGAATCTAAGTTACTAGATCTATGATTTTTTGTTAAAAACAATTTTTTTTCCATTCATTTACACTATTATCACTAAGTTTTATCACATGGATCTAGAAATCTAGATCTATATTATCTATCACTAATCTTTCTCATATTATTTGTATCATCAGTCTTACGGTGGTATAGTATAAGCTTACCATGTATTCTTATAATCTCGCCTCTGGCCGAAAGGAAATGAAATAATATAACTAAACTGACAATCTATCTGAACGACTCTATTGTGTGAGTGCATACGTTCATTGTGTTTTGAATCTGGTTTTGAACGGCGCGGACCAAGAAGGTAGGCCAAGTCTCTTTATTGCATATTACGCACCTCACCGAGAAGTTTCGCGTCTTCACATAGAGATATTGTACAAGAAATTCTGTGAAACTCGTTTAGTAGACCTTTGTCAAGTTTCACTACGTTTTAGTCATGTGTGGCATATTAAAGTTTAATGTTGCGGGACTCCCAAACTTGCGGTGTCAAAATTCGTAGAAAAGTATTGAAAAATTATTTATATCTGTATTATGAAATCACTCAGTCCAAGTAAAGAAAATACGCAAACACCTTTTTTTTCAGGTTAATTTCAATATTTTCCTTATTGAGGTTGTAGCAAGTAGTAAAATACACTTGAAACGTCACTGGTCAGTGAAGGTCACACACCCACCTAACCCTAACGGTTTTATAGTTCGGGGTAGGGTGGGGTTCGCACTTTTTTCCTAAATAATTCGGAAGCATGGATTTTTAAACTTTTTTTTTATTGGTAAGTAAAGATGTCATTTCAAACAAACAAAAATCATTGTAAGCAAAATCAAATGTGTTTTTATGAATTCAGTCAATGCTTACAGGGTTAAGACAGGACGCCAAATGAGAGCTGACATATATGAAACCTGTCGAAAAGTAACTGCAGCCCTTTTTGGAGCGCCAAGGGATAGGGTTAAGAAAATGGTTTCAACTAAAGTGGGGAAAGGGAGGAGTGTGCCGCTGTTTCTCTGTGATTTTAAGAATCCAGAAAAAAATAATATGTATTGTAACATTATAAAACGTTTGCCTATTTACAAATACAACACAGATGCTACAATTATAAATTTAATTTTAGTTAATAGGTTTGAGTATGTAAGTACTAAGTTTATTTTCAAGTTATTTAAAAATTGGTAATTTCATTTCTTTAAAAAAATAACAGGTGTCTTGAGGAATAGTAATGTATTAATATTATTTAATAGTAATAGTTTCTGCTGTATGTTTATATATAAATATATATAGATGTGGCCTACATATCCCCATGATAGACTTCACGGATGAATTGAGTTCTTATAAAATCTGCAAGAATCAGCGTCAAAAATAGTTTTGTGGCAACAAATCTCGTCTTCTTCATCACCAATGTGAGAGTATTTTGTGACTTAAAAGTGTCCATGCTTTCTTTATGGTGCCAGCAATTTTTACTTTCTGGTAGTTGTATAGGGAGAAATATTCCAGTTGTACACAAACTTTAAATTGAGATTTAAACAAATCTCCACTTTTAACACCTTCCTGAGTTGGAGAAACCTGGTTTTCCAATTATTGCTTGACATGAAAATCAGTGTAAGTCCTATCATAACCAGAAATCAGAAGAGATAACAACGACAAGTAAAAGAAAATAAAGAAAAAAACATTTTTTATAATACTTTACGTACATCATTTAATGAAGACAGTCATTCACATAATAGTAAAATGTGCTAAAAATTACATTAAAATGATACTTATTTAAAAATGCATCACATAGCAGGTAAAATGCATTATCACTATTGTAACATCATCTTGACATTCACCTAAGACAGCAGGGTCATAGTACCAAAATCATTGTGTGACAAGCTATCATAACGTTTGAACACAAGCTTTAGATTTAATTCTTTCACATAATCGCTTGGCATAAAAGTCTCTGTACTGATCTGGCAACTCCTCCAAGGCTTTCAGAGCTCTGTCCACAATCTGATTGGCCCTCTGTGCAGGAAGGGGGTCATGGTTGCCATACGGGTCTTTGTTATCATACATTTTATCCTCTAGATGCCTCCAAAACACATTGACTGCCACCCCAGCTTCAGTGTATGTCATGTTATGGAACCACAAGGCTGCAGAAGATAAAGGTATTAAGCTTATGGGCAGCTATTCTCAGGGCTTACACCTGCACTAGGTCAGGGAAATCTAGGACAATTAAGGAAAATTTTACCTGGAATAAACAGGACATCACCTGGTTCAAGATACCCGTGGTAAGGGGTGGCTAGTGCGAAGTTTGGGAACCTCTGCAAGTCAGGACACTCCACATCTAAAATTTCTGATTTATCCCCTGTAGAATATTTTCCAGTATGAGAATATATTTTAAATAAATGATGGCATACTTAATCAACTTAAGAGAAGGCTATGTTTACAACGCCAAAAAAGAGTTCTTAAAGGATAACTTGTTTATGTTTTGTACAGTATTTTGTAAATTGCAATTTATATTTTAGAGTATACAATAGTTATTTCCCTTGTTTTTTTTTAAAAATTAATAACATAAAACACAACAAACTACCCCCTTCTCCCCCTCCCCCCCCCCCCCCCCCCCCGAATACCCCCTACACCTTTAAACAAATTTCTAGCATTGAACCTATAAAATTAAGAATATATCATAAATTATTCAAGGTATCAAACTGAGGCCAAATTTAACTCATGCAAAAACAAAGGTGGAAGATGTAAACTCACCATTCAGATACAAATACTCAACATCTCTTGGATGAAACAAAACAACTTTTTTTCTTCCAACAATCTGGATAAGGAGATTATCCATTACCTAGTGCAGAAAAAAAATTATATAAATAGTGTTTGCAATCAAAGAATAAAAACATCCCAAATATATATTTTTTTTTTTAAATCACTATCAAATATACATAACAAACGAGGTTAAATGAGGTTTAAATTTTAAAATTATAATCATGAATATTTAAAACTGCAATAAAAATTAAAAAGGACAGTGATCACAGCTTTAAACATTTAGCTAAATAAACAGCTTAGCTCTAGTTTAGTATTAGAACTTGTTAATAATTAACCATTTGCATGTAACTGAATGATTAAAATAATATAATTTATCAATATTGCTACTTAGTAATCAAAATTCTAGTACTGAAATGGATTAATAAAAAGATATTCCATTATGTAAAACTTAATAATAATTATAACATTACAATAAAACACAAACTTCAGACACACAAAAACAAACACTTACATCGTAGTGCGTCCATAGCTGAACTCCTTTTGAGGCTATCCTGAAGACGCTTGAGAAAAATTTCCCATCTTCATAAAACTTTGGGACAATCAAGTCAGCAGCTAGTTGAGGGAACTGGACTGATATGTCGGCTGCATCTTTACGTGGATCCTCACCAAGAGCACGCAAGTAGTATTTCTCTGTCTTGATAAATACATTCTTTAGTTTTAAACCATTACCTTACATTACAGTATTGCAGGATTCACCAATAATTACAGATTGAGGTAGAAACATTGTATTTTGCTTTACCTGCTATACTATAGTGTAATGCCAATGCTTACAAGCTAATATTCAAAACTGATAGAAGTATATCATTGATTCTGATATAGTTATCTGTGATACTCTAAATGTAGGTGGCTAATCGCATCCACAGCTTCATCATTATCTTTGCCCGTTTGTGCCCAAGACAAGGGATAGTGTGGTCAGCTCTATGCCCAGCAGCCTTTGTTTTCCCTTATGTGAGTTAGGTACCCATCAGAGCTGGGTGGACTCAGGGACCTTCTACTGGCTTGAACCCAGCTTCGAACTCGAGACTTTTCAAGTTAGCAGTCTAGCTCTCGACAGCTAGGCTTAGCCGTCCCATATCCACAGCTTAACTTATATACATAAATACAAAATTTAAAATTCTTTTCTATGGTTTTTTTTAAATTCTTATTCTTATATACTAAATTTAATATCGAGAAATAAGTGTCAGTACCGGATCAATAAAAAAGTGCTTATGATGTTCTTCAAATGTTCTATGCACAAAATCGTTAAATGGTAGTGTTCTGAAAAATTTAAGAAGATTGTAATAATCAAATGAGAATAAATACCAACATTTTTCACTAATAATCTCAAAGAGAAATTCTACTTCAGGCCTACCTGTATAAAAAGTTTTTTCTAATAAAATCCATCTGACATGAAGAAGACACATGAACTTTGACCTCTTGATGGCCCCCATGACTTGCTAAATATTCTAGTGTCCACTTGTGTATACATTCACCAATGTTAATTCCCCGAAGTATAACAGGTTCCCTCTACAAAGATAAAACAATAATATTAGACTAACTACATTTTTAATGTGTGACATAGTTAAATGGGAATTCATTTTGACCGCTTGTACAAAAGTCTCAAGTTCAGATCAAGGTCATAGTGCTCATTTCACTGCTCATTCAAATTATTCTTAGGTCACTGACTTGAACCCAGATTCAAACTCGAGACTTTCAGGCTTTGCACTTGCAGTCTTGAGCCCTACCGCTAGGCAACACCTTTCCTGTTATTGATTATGCTACTACTATATGGCTAGTAATTGGTTTACATATTATCAGTGGCGTAGCGAGGTCGGGTGTTACCCAGTGCGGCACTTAATGGTGTCATCCCCCAGAGGCGTAGCGACCCTTCCCGGGGACAAACTTTCAAATTTTCGATTTGCACCCATCCTCAAACTTTCGATTTAACTTTCAATTTGCACCCCCGTCAAGTTTTTTATTTGCACCCCCCCCCCCCCTCAGACTTTCGATTTGCACCCCCCCCCCCCCCTCGAACTTTCGATTTGCACCCCCCTCACGTTTTTTATTTGCACCCCCCCCCTCAGACTTTCCATTTGCACCCCCCCCTCAAGTTTCTCTCTATATATTTTGCTATTTTTTGCCTAGGCGTCACCCCCCTAAATGGCGTCACCCGGTGCGGTCCGCACCCCCCCCCCCCTCGCTACGCCCCTGCATATTGACATTGACGGAATCTCCTTAAAAAAGCAGAAGGGTTACTATTTTAAAATTGTTAAATTAGATCTAGCATTTTACTAGATCTAGATTTATTAATTTTTATTAAAGTAGGAGTAGGGCCTAAACCTAAAGTACTAGATCTATTTATTTATTAGACTATTGTTAGTGGTCTATTACTAGATCTAGATTCTATTAGTATTAGATTAGCCTAGCTCTAGCCTCTAGCTCAGTGTGGTGAGTGTACTGTCCATCCCAGGGCCTGAGTTTAGATTAGTACTTTAGGCGGTACGTAAAATCGGCTGAGGTTAGTAATGTGAATACACACGATACTCTTCTAAAATCAATGGATCTAATACAAATTTAAAAATCCGCTTTGCCTTTGGATATATTTCACTTAGGAATTTCTCTTTTGTGATGTTTTCAAATATTGATAATTCCATTTCGTTTCGGTTTCTCTAAACATCGAAAAGAAAACGGCAGTGATCTCCCCTAAACTTTCATGTAAATCTAGATTTAGAGCTAGATAGGCCTTGAGTCTAGATCTAGATTCTAGATCACGGGTTCCCAACCTGGGGGTCGCGAATGTCTTTCTGGGGGGTCGCCAACTGGTATACTAAACCTTAGTAATTTGAAACAAAACATAAATATTTAGAAGAATTTTTTAAATTCGGCTTCATTAACATCACTGGAAATGTAATAGAGAAGAAACAAAGCGCACTGTACAAAGTTGTTCTCAGTCAAGAATCTATGAAATCTTCAAAACTAAAACGTCGTTTGAGACGAGTCATTCTGAACACACCAAAAAATATATGGAGTTCTTTCGTCGGTAAGAAGCTAGTTGCAAACGCCAGAGACTTGATCAAACAGGAAGTTTTAACCAGCATTAGTGCAAGCATCAAATGAAGTCGTGATAGAAAATGCCAAGTAAAAAAAAAAAAAAAATCTCATCAAACGCTGCTTGTACGTAAATGTTAAATAACACCTTTTTATTGAAATTAAGCTTTCACCATTGTTTGCTTTTCAAGATGATAAATCAACAGACGTGAGTTCGTGTTCGCAGTTGCTGGTCTCTGTCTATATTCATGCGGATGATAGCAAAGAAAAGTTGCTCTTTTGTGAAGATAGCATGGAGAAAATAAATACCTTTTTTGAAACTGGATGATTAAAATGGGTTAGAACGGCTGTGGGGGTTTGTACGGATGGTGCGCCATCTATGTTTAGCTCAAAATCGGGCTTTCAGAAAACAGAAAAGATTTAGCTTCCTAACCACTGCCCTAACCAATTGACATCAAGAGTCTATTGCTAGTATAAGTCGTAAATTATATAAAATCTGAAGCCTTCAAAGAACTGAGCAGAACATTAATATAGATCACGAGGTTCTGCTCTTCTACACTACAGTACTCTGGCTGTCAAACGAAATGTAAATTGTGTTTTTGAATTCAGAGTTTCTTCCAGGCATCTCTTCGGGGGGGCAAAGCCCCCCCCCGAAATTTTTTTACCGCCCCCCCGAACAAAATGAAATTTATATAATTTATATAGAAAATATATACTTTTAACAGTGTCCGCCCCCCCCCCGAAGAAAGTTTACCGCCCCCCCGAAGATTTCAAGTGCCCCCCCCGGAGAAAAAAGTCTGGAAGAAACACTGTTTTGAATTGAAATCTGAAATCAAATTGTGCTTGGGAGTGCAAAGGAAACAAGACTTTTTGGTATACTTAAAACGACATAGAGTGGTTGGAAAGAGTATCATACCTAGCAGATGTGTTCGAACATCAAGATAAGCTTAACCTGAAGCTTCAGGGAAAATGAACGAATATTATAACTTTCCATGATAATCTCGGGGCATTTTTATCAAAGCTGCAAAATCGGTAAAGAAAACAAATATTGGAAATATTGTAAATTTGAGAAACTCTGCGCTGTGGTAGATGAATCTGATTGTGAGATAATTAAAATTTTGAAAGAAGCGATTTCTGGGCATCTTGAATCTCTTGAAAACGAACTGCATCGCTATTTCTCTGAGCTGAAAAAAAGAAGAATCTGCATTTACGCATTACCCGTTCTCTTCTTCCCTTGATGTTGCCAGCATTCCCGATGAATTACAAGATGAATTCTTTGATTTGCAGAATGATTCCGAGTAAGATGAAAAACTGCAGACACAATTTTGGTGTAGTATTCACCATTCATACCCAAACATAAAATTGATTGACTTTTCGAGAATATATTTTCAACACTATTCTTCGATTAAAAACAAAATTAAGATAATTATAATGACATAGGTTGGCGTTAACAAAAAATGTTTTTAATTAAAAACTTAACCACGAAGGTTTTGTGAATAGTATGCAATTTTACCCATGCTTTTAAAACAGTTATCAAGAGTAGTTCATATTGAAAGTCTACTAGAAAAGCTTAATTTAGTGCTTATTAATTTCCATACTAATTTCGGCTTTTTAATTCTATGGGGGTCGCGGGTCACTTACTTTTTATAAAAGGGGGTCGCCACCCGAAAAAGGTTGGGAACCACTGTTCTAGATTCTATATTCCTTTTTGGCACAAAAATAATTGTGCACCAAACTGTTTATAATACAGCGAAGAATTAGTTCTTTATAAAGGAATCATAGGTTAATATTTTTTAAAGGGTATTAAATATCTAGTTAGTCACATTTATGTCAAAGTGCATAGTCATCGAGTCCTCACCGTAAAAAGTTTGAAAGAAATCGGTCTGGTAGAAGTGATCGTTTTGAGAAATCGGAAAAAGCGTAACCATAAAGTAGATCTACTACTGTCGGTCACCGGAAATCAATCAATATTTGTTATAATCAAGAGAACAAGATTTTATATTTTATACTTAGATCTATTATATAAATTCGTCCACGTAAGTGAAACAGTACTCAAATTAAGGGTCATCCACAAAAATTTCGGATTTACCCCTCCCCCCCCCCACTATCTTCAATAACATGTATTGTGTACCTATCAGTGGCGTAGCGAGGTCGGGTGTCACCCCCCCCCAGAGGCGTAGCGACCCTTCCCGGGGACAAATTCGAGGGGGGGGTGGGATTGCAGGCTGAGGTGTGACGTCATTTTAGGGGGGGGGGGTTCTGGCTTTTTGTGACGACGTGTGACGGAGGGGAGGTAAAAATCGTCCAAAAAAAGCGTTACGTCATTTATGGAAGACCCCAAAAATCAATTGAGGCCGATTCAACGTTGACCATGATCGGTAAATATTTAAGAATTTTTTTAAAATTATAGTTTTGACGGGTGTGTCGTTATTTGGGTGTAGGTCCCCCTTTTTTAGTGAAGAGGGGAGGTAACTTTCGTTAAAAATCATGACGTCGCTTATGAAACGGACGGCCCAAGTGAGGTTATAAATCCAATGCTTTATTTACACGTTGCGTCGGGGCATTATTTAACAGGAGCACTGCCGTCTTAATTTCATGTTTTACATGCAGGATATGACTTGTATGATGTACACACTTCGATGTTAAATTCAACACGTGGACTTCCAAAAATGAATAGACAAAGTACCACTTCCGGCCTTTTGGAGGTCAAAGTATAATAAAATATACTTCATATAGATCTGTTTGAAATTTCGACACAGTACTCAAGCTATCGTGTCACTTTTGGTACCGGAAATTGTTCCAAAGGTGATAGAAACCTGCGCATACATTAAGAAATGTAGCTATTATTAGAAATGTGTCCACCTATCCTAACTAAAACGATACTCAAGTTAGGCCTCGACCCACTGCGCATGTCTAGCGCGTTCGTGTGGAATCTCACCTTTCTCTTTTGCAATCCACTTCTACCTAACACATTTTTTTCCAAATGCGCATAGCAAGTGTAGATCTATAAATCCGATCACAATCAAAATATCTATAAAGCTTGAAAGTTTGATGTAGATCACTATGCTTTGTTGTATTTTATTAGCTTTTATTTAGTTCACAATTTCTGTTAGTAGTGTTGGCGACAAATTTTGTTACTCAGTTTTGACCAACTTCTAATTAAGCGATATTTCACACTTAACAAGTAAGGTTTTTCTTTAATGACAATGCAACTTACACTAACACCTAATTTTTAATCTAATTATATAGACAATTAGGAGCAGACAACTGTCTTTTGGAGATCGCGAGCTACTTGTCTGGTTTAAAAACTAATATTTTTAGTCGAAATAATAATCATTAAAAAAGTTTTAAAAAACCCACGTTTTCTGATTGAACTAAAAAGTAGAAAATAAACGCTATACATCACAATAATGCAAGCGATCACTCTACTATAAGCGATGAAAAACGTGGGGCGCCGAAGTAAAAGTTATATTACTATTGATTAGATAATACTATTGACTTTTATTAGGGAGCTTGTAGAGAGTCAACAGTATTAGAAACTGTAAGAAAATGCCGGTTTTTGATCGCTTATAGTAGAGTGATCGCTTGCATTATTGTGATGTATAGCGTTTATTTTCTACTTTTTAGTTCAATCAGAAAACGTGGGTTTTTTAAAACTTTTTTAATGATTATTATTTTCTACTTTTTAGTCTTTGTTTGCATTAAAATCTTGCTATCGATTTTATCTTTTCACTTTTTTTGGGTAAACGAAGACAACTCGTTAAAAGACAACTCGTAAAAAGACAACTCGTAAAAAACACGTTGTGTTAACACATAGATTTGAACCCGTGTCAAGTGGGATAGCAATCGTGTGCCCAACCACTTGACCATATCGTCTCCTCCTGTAAGTTTAAACTCGGTTAAAACTAAATTATCTGCCCCTAAGCCTGTGGCGATGTGGGATCGTTCGCTTCACTGCGCGCGAGGTACGCGTCGCTCGTTTTTTTCTAATGGCTCGCAGAGGAGAATTATATATATAGATTATATAGCGGTCTAAAATGCTCAATAAAATGTTTCCATTGATCAATTTAGTAAAAATAACAATTGAATATTCAATGGTCATCCAAAAGAAAGCTTCCCTGAAAATTTCAGCGCGCTAGCTAACTGGGAAGTGCCAGAAATTTCGATCGCAAGATTTGATTGGAAAGACAAACACAGAAACACAGAGAAAGCAAGTTAAAGAAAACGTGGGAAAAATGGACACCACGGAGCCTAGTTACAGTGAGACACACAAAAAAGTAATATAAACACAATATATGCGCAGAATGACAAAAAAAAAACTCAGGAGAGACAACAACGTATAAGCAATCAGTCCATTTTTTTTGTTCAATGAAAATTATGTGGAAAGTTGATTCCGCGAACTATCGATCTATGTATTTATCATACTTTTTGGGCTGGTATTTTTGTGCCGACTTGCTTTTTTTAAAAGAATGTGCTATCGAAGTATTTTACATTAGCCAGGGTTATCCGTTTCACGTGAATTATAGGCATACAACATTTTCAATGTTATACTGGTTTAAAAAAAAAAAAAAAATTTATAAAATATTGGTCAAAACGCTATGTGCTTTACTACACCTTGTTGAACGATATTAGTGACAAAGTAAAGAAATAACTAAATAGCTAAAATAATTCATTTAAAAAAAAACAACGGTTTAATAACAATCTTTTACGTGATAATGCATTAAATAAAAAAGAAAAATGGATTTTCTTAAAATATGTAATAATACACTATTTAATTTATTACATATTTTAAGAAAATCATTTATGTTCTGCTTTTTAATGCATAACTATAATACTAATCATGCGGAATAGTTGAGTAACACTGCCTAATTTCACAAATTTTAATTAATAAATAAATATTAATAACCCACCGTATCTCCATATATAGCTGAACATACTGATCTCATAGCCTCATGTTGCGCACATGGGCTTGAACTTGTGTATAATAATTTAATATTAGAATGCATTGTTTTATTACTTTGAAACATTTATTAAACAATAGGAAATAATTTATGAAATTTTTGTTTGTGTCAAATTTTAACAGATTTCAAATAATGCAGTGATTACATTTGTCTGTGATACCTAAGAATTTTAAAAAAATATATAGCCTACATCTCACGGTTTTTTAGGAGGCGACCCCATTTCCGAAATTACTGCAAATAGGAAAAATCATCTTGTTCATTGATATAGCTGACTATACCGACGTCAGAGACAGATTTAGAATTTTTTAACTGCCTTAAGCCAACTGCTAGTTTTGAAAAATTAAAAACCATTACAATTACATGCAAGAATCGAGTTCGCTAAGCTCACCTAACTCGCGTTAGGGAAATAATGCTGCCGAGCATAGTACTGGCACTATACCCAGGTAGGCAGAGGTTTGAAACAGATGTACTCTGCATCATCTACAAGTCTTGGGCCCTACCTAGAAGAAGATAGTTACTATTTCAGTAGTTTTACTAGTGGGGTTTGGCTGCAGTGTAAATATCTTAACACAGCTGATACAGATAACCCTTAAATAAAGAAAGTTTGGCAAAGTGCAGAAAACAACATAATCAAAATGTAATTTAATTGCCATTGATATTTTTTTTTATTATGATCAGATTTCTCCATGATGAAGCACAGGTAACTTAAAACAGCTGTTCTTGTTTCAGTATTTGCAATATCAAGTTCAGTCACAGAAAAAGTTGACTGGTATATATAAAAAAAAAGAATAATATATACATAAGAAAAAATAATGACCTTTCTAAAAAAAATTACTTCAAGTGATTTTAACCCCACAAAAAAATTGAAAAATGTATTAGCACAAAATACTGATGTTAACTGAAGATTCAAAATGCTTGATCAACAAAACTGATTTTTAATCACCGTTGTAAGCATTATTTTGTTTAACTACTGAAACAAAGCTAGTTGTTACTACCTTAAATCTAGTAATCTACAGACAAAAAGTAATTAGATCTAAGTACATTAATATAAACTGGTTAATGAACAAAATACCTATTGAATAAACTTCCAGCTTTATGTTGTGTATGATAAGTATGAATACAGATGGTAAAGTGTTTTTACGCTGAAATTTTAATACAGTTGGGGGAAAAAAGACTATCAGAGAAAAAACACTGCCAGCAAAATAAAGGGAAAAGCTATCAACACTAATTTCATGGTGCTGATCATCAGTTTTCGTGTATAAGCAGAGTTTCAGCTGTTTGAAAGTGTTATGTAGCATCAATGTTTCAACCAAGATCAGTGACTTGCATAGCATCCATGCATACCAAATATCCATTCAGGCTGGGAACATGCGTAACTGTACATACAGAGATAATTTACAAGAACACCACATGTAAATCATACATAGGCACATGGTTGATCCACTCTCCTATTTTCCAGAATTTGTACATTCATACAAAAAAAAGTGAATTCATGAAGGCAATATGGGCTGTTAATGACTAGCATTCTGAAAATGAATGCAAAAACAAGCAGCAAACTACTTACATATTAACTAAACTGTATTTACTGAGACAAAATTTCTACTTCTAACATATTGTATATCAAAGAAAATAAGTTTGCTTAATTATGTGCAATGCCTCTACCTTTTTAGTGCATCTTATCCATAATTATGGGGTACATAAAAGGAAGTTTGAGCATGGTTTTAAGATACCTGTTTATTAAGTGCAGAAATGCAACTGGAATTCGTTTAATTTTCAAGCTGACAATTATTGTTAAAATCAGCATAAAGTATCAACAATTTTAAATCTTTAAGTTAATTTTACAGTATTCTAGCACAGTATATATTTTTATTAGGTTGGTACATTGAAATTATTGAGAAAATATTTTAATGTCAGCAGCCTAATTGCATACAAATGTCTAAAAATGTCCATGCCCTTTTAAATGTATAAAAACAAAATATTTTTTACAAAATAACTGATATAAAAAGTTATCCATAAAATAATTTTCTTCCAAGACCACTAAATGTATTAATACTTCACTTTTGCAAAGTTAGTTTGCTTTCTGGAAAAATTGAGCAACGCAATATGAAATCAGACATAAATCCAGCCAAGGTGTTTACTTTAAATGGAACAAACAACGGCATGTAATGTGGTGTATTTCTGCAAGCAGAGGAAATTCTTGCACAACAGATAAGTAAAAATTTATAATCAGCTGAAACAGTCTTGAATGCTGCTCTTCCTCCAAACTGCCTTCATATCCACAAAATAGAAAGTAAACTTCACAAGCATGTCACTAACTCAAGCAAATATAACATAACCGACTTCTTACAGTTTGCCATGTCACAATGGAGCAGCCTTTGAAAGATCCTTAAAGCTGACCTTTGGTCGAGAGATATTGCTCAACATTATGACATGTCCATATCAAATCTGGCTTGGGACTTACACTCAGTGAGCATTCATAATTTCGTCCACTCTTCACTCAGTCTTTTTTTTGCTTGGTTGATATCTCACTGCTTCCTTTTTCACTGTTCACTCACTCGCTGGCAGAATGTGTCAAGTAAACTTTGTATTATTGTTTAATGATGCTGTCATTTCAGTCATGGTGGTGCTGGTGGTAGAAAAGGCCCTTCCACTGACCAGCTGTTTAGCGGAGCAATGCCAGTTTGGGGTGGGGAAGTGTCGTTGACGCCGTCAGTCACTGTTTTTTTTCCAAGCTGTAATAGTCGGAAGGTAGTCTTGTCTGAAGTCCTTTCACAATTCATGCATCTGAAACAAAATTGAAACAATTACATCTTTGTAACTAAATTAAAGAAAAATTCTTATCTGCAGTTAAGTAATTTAATAGATGACATTAAAATTTTTAATTACTCAATTGTGAAATAGAACAGTTATATACCATAACAAAATCATTGTTAATAAAAACATTGCAAAATTGTTAAAAGGAAAACTAAAATGAGAAATTCTAAGTGAAAATTTGAATTCCACACTTTGTGACATACTATTACCAAGGAAATTTAGGACTTTACAGGAATAACAGCAAAACAATTTCTAATTACAGATATAGGTAATATCAGTTGTAATGAGTTAATAGTACATTTGTGTGAAGATAGACCATGCTGCATGCTGGTTTCTAAAAATTCCCATGATATATATAAATAACAGAATTGTTAACATAATTTCAAGAATATGTAACTAAAAATGCAGGGGTGCCACTAATTTTTCAAGCAAATCCTGAAATCCATTTCTCATTATTTTAAGAAAGGCTACGTTTAAAGATACGATTCCAATCATGTTTAATTGTTACTTAACAGTGCAACACAATAGTGTCTTTTTAAAAAAAAAATGAAAAAAAAAAAAAGAAAATGTTCAAATGTGCATTTAATGATGTTTAGTTTCGGATCCATTTCCTTACCCCGTAAATTTCTGTCCAACAAATTGTAATAAGCTACACATTACTATTTAGGTTATAAATTATAGACTAAAAACTGGTATTTAAGTTCTGGTAGGATAACAAGACCTTTTAAAATATTTAGTATACGGTTTTCAATAAATGTGGAGTAAGCTAACTGTATATTTTTTCACTTAGTCATTTGAATTATTAAAAGCACAAAATTTTTTACAGGGTAGTGCTATTATGAAGGGCATTTTTAAAAAAGTGACAAACTAAGCCCCTAATATCTCCTCTTGATGTATGGGCACCACATGTGAAATAGTATACAAAGATAAATTATATTAGTATACATGATAGATAAATACTAGCCTTCATTAATTTTATTTTTAAATCTAGATTATGTATAATTAGCTCATGAAAGTCTAGAAATCATGTCTACCTGAATGAATGCATTTATACACATCTAGATTGAATGGAACAAAAATGTCTTTTAAATCATGTTTTATGCATTCAAACTTCAAATTTTTAGATGCTAATAAATATAGTACTATCTTCAATTTGATCAAAACAAGCTGTAACAAGACTGTAATAATGCCTTTCTTGAATGTAGATATTTGCTGTTTTTTTAAAAAGCTGAATTGGGAAAATAAAGAAATGGCTCTGATATGCAGAATTCCGGGACAGCCCGGAAAAGTAGCACCCCTACAAATGTTAAATTTGAAAGGAACAGCCTAGGTAAATTTGAAGACTCACTACGGCTACCCACAGCCATCTCCAAATGAAAATTGTTGCTGATCAAAATATTGTGATCAACGTCAAAGTTTTTGTCCTCATCACAACTGAGAAATACAAACGTCTCTTCATTAGGAATGACTACTTAAAAATGTGTCTCTAATTCTGTTCTTTTTTAAATGCCTCAGAAAGACTAATCAAAGTCTCAGAGAATTTCAACACTTTTTGAGTGTCATCATTGGCACTGAATCAACATATTTTTATAGCTAAGAAGAGACTGCCTAAAGACTATTTTATTAGGACTCTTACTTTTAGTTGAATGGTTCAGAGAGAAAGGACCATACTCTTTTAAACAGCAGAAAATATAGGCTAATTAAAAAATCAAAAGTTCTTAAATTTACCACGAAGCTGCATTCTTAAGTCTTCGGATTTCTTTAGTAGCCCAGGTTGCTAAAGTTTTGGCCTTTTGTACTTTACTGCGTCTACCCTGAGTTAACAAATTACTGATACTATCCCTATCAACCATAGGAAGCATGCTCCCTCCAAAGGCAGAACAAAGATCCCTGTAAAAGCAAAATGTTTAAAATGAATCATTCACCTATAAGCAGTTGAAAAAAAAATGTAAAACAGTTATAAAATTGATAAGCTAAAAAAAATATTACAGGTCAACACTGACATTTCAAATTCTAAATCCTGCCCTTATACAATGTATTTATTTTACATACCCTATAAGCCCACAGCAAGCTGCCACATTGCTATCACTTTTGTCATCATCAACAGCAATGTGCTCAATAAAAGAAACGACATGATTCACATGTTGTTCTATAAGTATTACATCAGCTGAAGATTAGATAGGAAAAGGTAAATATATATAATATGAATGTAAGATTATTATCTAAAAATAAACAGTAATATGAATTTTTTTTAAATTAGATTAAAAAGAAATTTTAATCATAGTTTCTTTTCATTTCAATTCAACAAATTCTGAAAACTTTACTAAATGAATTTTTTTATAAGGGGAAGGGAGACTTTGGAAAGTACAATTATGCCTTCTCAAAAGTAGGAAGTCTTAAGTAAAAAGAGGAATTTCAAGCAAACAAAAGTGTGTAGAAAATAAACCAGCAAAAAAAAAAAAAAGACATGTCAAGCTACTTCTTAATTTCAGCTTTCAAAAAAATATGTAACCCCTCCCTTCATTTAACTAATATAAAATAATGTCAGCTGTTGCTATTATTGGTTTGATTCAACAGTAGTTAAGGCTACAACAATTTGAACTATTCTGGATTCCTTGATGTGCTGTCAATGAAGTTCATATTTTCTTGACTTGCTATGTACTAGCTATATCCTAGTTCAGGGGTCTCCAAACTTTTCAATCCGGGGGCCTCATTAACTATCAAATTTCAGTTCGGGGGCCAGTTTCTTTCAGGTATGTCTTTGATTTTTCTGGGCAAAGTTCCTTAGCAATCACCGACAAATGATTTTTCTTGGACAAAAAGATTCCGCGGGCCGGATGAGAGGACTTCGCGGGCCGTAGTTTGGAGACCCCTGTCCTAGTTGTAGACCATATGAACAACAGGGAAATTCTAAAGCCATTAACAGTAAAAAGCATCATAATGGAACAGTTCTATTTACTAGATTTTAAATTAAAGATATAATTGAAGGCACAAAGCGCCTATTAGGTTGATTACTCCGTATTTCATTCACTGCATATTTTACTATAACAAATCTTGAAACGAAAGTCTATTTTGGTTTCATAAATCGTATTTCTCAGGATTGTGGGCATGTTAGATAAAATAAAAACATCTGAAATTCTACAAGAAAATCTTCCAACAAAAATTAGATGCATGCCTAAAACCTGAAGTTTCGTGTTTTAATTACCAGAAATTAACTTTGCAATAAATACAAACTGCATACTTTTAATGAAAGCAAGTTAAATAGTAATGTCAGTAATAATTTTGAAAAAAACCAACAACGCCTCAGAAAGACTAATCAATGGCTCAGAAAATGTCACCAGTAGATTATTCATCATTGGCACAATTTTTTTTCCCACAAATAGGAAATAACTTACTATTTGGAGTTTCACCATCACCTTTGAGCCCCTGAACAATACCCGTATATGCCTCAAGACATCCTTCCCTAAGCTCATTTAGGTAGTCAATCATATCATAATCCGTCTGAAAAAAAATTTTTTTTACTCATTAATAACAAACAACTAAGACTTTGTACATGTTCAAGTTATTTACTGGAAACCATAATTAGTTTCTCAAGTCCTCAAAGTTAATATGTAATTATTATCTTAACGGAAGAAAATTGTTTTTGAAGTTTAGCAGCATTCTTTAAATGTACTAAATTTTCTTTAGTCAATCTATTCACTTATAGCTGTCTGTTACAAATAAAAAAACCATATCAAACCCTACATTTCCTAAGTTAGTTGTACTATTGATTTAATATAACATTTCAATAACAAATAAATGGGCATTCTAAAATTGAAATATAATTCACCTTATCAACTTGAGCTTGTGAGGCTTGTTGTAGCGTGGTCATTACAACATCTAAATAGATTTTGAAGTTTGTTCCAATAGCCAAAGCAATATCCCCAAACACAGATAATATTTGAGGTTTCACAGAACGATGTACACCTTCATTCTGCAATTTTACAGTAACGAAGAAATTTGTATTAGATAAAAATTCAAGACAGGTTACTCAGTCTTTCATGGCAAAGAAAATAATCAGATTTTCCAAAAGCTAGGAATATTTTATGTTTACTCCCTCAAAATAAGTTACTTTTCAAAGACATGAATAGCATTTATTACGCCAGGCAAAAATATACATTTCTGAACAAGAAAACCCTTAGATTTTTAGGGTGATAGGACAATAAAAACTGCAGATACATTCTGCTGAATAAATTTTTGTGCAGCTTACACTGTCTACACTAAGCTGCAACTTAAACATGGTGTGGGACACATTCAAAAACAGAAACACATAATCAAATAATGGAAACTGAAAAAAAAAAACCACCCAAAGTTTTAAAAGCTAAGATGAACAAATTACTGAAATTGTGGACCAAAAAAATAGAAATTTATCATGCTTCAAAACAGCATATAGTTTGTTGACTGTTTATTGTTAGCATAGTTTTTTAAAAACATAAAAAATGTTACCCCCAGGTTTTCCAAAAGCATCATCATTAATTCATCACAGTGTGGTAAAATGTTAGTGCCAAGAGCACGACACAGGTCACCAACAATGCCAACAGCAGCCAAACAAACCTTTAACAAACAATAAAGTAACTTTACCTAAAAAAGAACTATTTGCAACAATAATTCAACTTTACCTAAAAAATAACTATTTGCAATCACCGTAAGACCCTTACTGTCATCACTGTTAACTAATTAAATATAGCATGCTCATGAAATAAACTTATTAGAGACAACTGGGTTCTACATATTTACTTTCTTAACATAAGCGCAATTTTAAAATGTAGCCATTTCCTGTATGTGCTTTTCCATTGTGTAAAACTTTAAAATTTTAAGTAAGAACTTAAAAACACCAATTTTATTTCTTTTATTATGTTTTCTAACAAAGGGTTTAAAAGGGTTAATGTATGTCCAACAAAGTTGCATTTTTTTAAAATGTTGGATAACAAGCCAATGTTTAACCAGAATTGAACCACAGTAACAAGTTTTAACAATTCTATATCAATTTGTTTTCATATTCACATCTTGTTTATCTTAGCATATTATACAATTGTATAGCATTCTGATAAGAAAACAGAATTTCTCAAGAAGTAGAAAATTGTTAATACATACCTGATATTCTGCATAGTTTTTCAATCCAAGAAGCAGATATGGTTTGAAGGCTTCCATATAGCCCTGGAATCGTTCGCCCAAAACTAAAGATGAGAAAGCAATAATAAAAACACCAGTACACTATTGATAGCTTCATATAATTACCTATCAGTCAATTCACATCAGACCGTAGTGGCAATTTATTTAATCATAAGAGGAATGGCGATGCAAGAACAAGAACCTAACTAATTCTATAATTGGCCAAATAAAATCAAGTAATAAATACACATTTTAAACCAACCTTCAATTAAAGTGGACATAGCTAATAAAGCATCTTCTTGAACCCCTCCTGCTTTGCCACTAGTTGACTGGAACATTCTCAATAGAGCAGTCATAATTTGGTCAGATATTTTTGGAGCATCTTCAGGTGTAACCTTTCTCAGCACACTCTATAAAAAAAAAAAATTAGGGGGTATCCCTTTGCTTTAACATATAGTCACGTATAGTCTATTTAATTTCAATTAAGTTAAAAAAGTTTGAATAACATAAGTTTATAGTAATTTATTTTAAAGACCAGTTAACACTTTTCAAATGCAATCAATTTTTAAAATTCCAGCAGAAGATGAAGTGATATTTAGGGACTCTCTCTTAATAGAAGGTGTTTCTATTGACATATAAGGTGTTTCTATTGACGGTATTAGTCAATTTGTAACATTCAGTAATCAAAACTGTTCTATTTAACACCAAACTTTTAACTTGTAAAAAGATATATTTTTAGCCATAATACCTGAAGAGTAGCACATAGGAGGGATTGAAGATCATTGTATTGTACCCTATCATTAGTTGACTGAATAGCACCCTGAAAAATATGAGATTAAAGTTGGAGTTGACTTCAAGAGCTTAACCTACCTGGTGAAGCCATACCCTGATAACACAATTATAATTACAACCAGATTTTAAAAATTACAATAAGCAAATCCAAAAAAAAAAGTCGCTGTAAATAGGATGGTTATTTTGAAAAAAATAATTTTATTAACAGTAGCAGCTAGAAAATCAAACATTAAAGCCATGTTATATTATTTTTTAAAATAAATATATTTAAGTTAAGAATTTACAGGCAGCTGACATATGATCATGAAAAATTTAAAACAAACCCTAAATGGAGTAAAAAGATAGTACATTACCTCCATAGATAGAACTCTTTCTAATCTTTCAAGAATAATCATTGTAGTTTTTTGTACAATCAAATAGCAATTCTGCAAGTAGATTAATAAATAGTGTCAAGTGTAGTCTAATAACTTGAAAAACAAAATTTTGACCACACTGTTCTATCATATGCAGTGAGTAACTCTACTTCATCTGCTCCATGTGACTTGGGCAAGATGGAGAATAGATCATATAATCTCAGTCACATATAAAGAAAAATAATCCAATTTAAAAAATAATCGGACCAGAAATTGCAATAACCAAGGCACAGTACAAGAAGTCATATTAATTTTTGTCAATCTTATACTACGGTAATCATTTAATAACTCCCTTTCACCTTGGTGATACATGCTTTCCTCCAAGTAAAAATGCACTAAACTTGTCAAATTTGTTTCATAATTAATAATTAAGGTTTTCAAGTTTAATTAACTTTTTTCTGCCTAAATACGAAGAAAATGACTAGGCAAAAAAGTTTGTTATATTTCTGCACAATATTAAACAATATATTAAACATATTGAGTAAACTGAAGGCTACATGTGGATTATTTTTAGCATGTCAAATCAGAAACAACATAGTTAATTAAGAATAATTTTATTAATACCTTGGGACTGTTTTTAACCAATTCCATCAAAGCTTCATAAGCAGCATTGCGTAGATTATGCTGGTTGCCATCCGTCCTACATGAAAAGGTAACAAGAACATGGTTAGTTTTAGTATATTAACAAAAAAGAAAAACCCCATAGTAAACAGGGGAAGAAAGGGGAAGTGTTCTCATTTTAGTTATGCATATTTAGTGTATTTTAATCAGTTGTGTCATTACATAAAACAATTACTGAGGTATTGATATCCTAAAATTTTTTTTTTAACTCTATTTTACATTTTGTATTTTGAAAAATGGACTGAGGAATTAAAATAATGTAGTTGAAATTGGGCGAGCTTGTTTCTAGCAGCCTGTTCTTTATAATTAAATTTCCTGGTACTATTTATATTATTGGCTAAAATTCAATATTAACAAAAAAGGTTTTAGTGTATAGGCATCACCATAAAGTATGAAAGACAAAAGCATATGAAAAATAAAAGTAATGTGATTCTCAAATTTAATTAAGATGTGAATAAGTGTGCAAAATTTGTTCTAAAATACAAATAATTTCATAAAGATTTACAGTATAATGTTACAAAATTAAGTAACATCCATTTTCAAGATCAACACAAATTCTAACTACAATTTAAAACATTTTTTTCTTCCATTTTATATATGAATAGGTGTGAATTATTCAAGGAAGTGACCAAACCATGGAAAAAAATTGGGATATTTTTTTGGACAGGAACTCAACATATTTTATCGATTTCCTTTATCTCAGATAAATGTTTAGTATAGCTAAAATTTTAATTAAAGAAGTTTATGTTACTCTAAAATAACACGTCTCGTCTAATTGCAATCTAATGTATACCTTATAAAACCTTTTTCTTTTTAAATTAAATTTTACTATGTAACAAGGAGGTACTGAGTTTTATTTTAACATTAAGCTAATTTAATGATAAAGCTGTACTCTAGTTTTTAATTTTAAATTGTGCCTTATATTATAAGGAATATTCTTTTAAAGATAGAAACTGTAGCTGAAAATGAAATATCAGGTTTCCGCTGAAAAATCATAAGTCACATCCCTGATTATTAACCTCCTATATTCATAAATAATATTGCTTTTAGGATGGTACATACTCCTTAAATAGCATTACCTGTCTGCAGTTTGCAGAAGTCTTTCAACTATGATTTCAAAATAATTGGAAAGACAGTAAGTTTCTGGCTCAGTACCATCTTCAGGCTGTTCAGCATTTTCATATGCTGCTTCTGCAAGACTAGAGAATGCCTGAAACAAGATAATTATCCAAAATACTAAAAGATATAAAAAACAGAATCTAACTCTCTATTAGTCTAATATATACTTCACTTTTACTTACCCAACAAACATTTGTAGCAACACGAGGCTCAGCAACAAGCCCTTCCACAAGAGCATTTAATAATGGTGTTAAACAAGCTTCATGTAAAACGGATTCTGGTAAAATCTCACAAACTCTGCCAACAGTCCAAGCTGCTGTGTCCCTCACAACAACACTGGGGTCTTTGAGCAGTTCAATTAACATAGGCATGGCCTGTTCAACAATAGGTTTCATTTTCTCTGGATCTGGCCCTTCCAAAATTGACCCTAAAACAAATATGAAATTCTGATTTATAACAATTGGAAATACACCCGTATATGCTAATTAAAGCATCACAAATGCAGTAGAAGTATCTTTACATTTGCAAACCCAGAAAACTAAAAACACAAAGAATTAATTTTCACTATCGATAAATTAAAAACTTTTTTTCTTTAAAAAAAAGTATGATTTTCCTTTATACCTTTTGTATATATTACTTTTTAAAATTTCAACCTATCCTTTAAAAACTATAAAAACCTTGCATTAATTTAACAAGTAAACTTAAAATTTTAAATTTAAGATCTTTACTTTTTTGGACTTCTAAAAATATTAAGGATAAAAACATTCGTAATAAAAAAAAAAAGAATAATTACCAAATGCCATTACAGCTGCATCTCTGTAACGCCAATTCTCATTTCTGATATTATCCCTGACAAATGGAAGTACAAATGGGACAACATCATCTTCACAACACGAAGCCATAAGCATCAAACACACACCAGCAGCTTTACAAGGATTCCACTCATCATCATCATCAAATTCCTCCTAAATGAAAATTGTTGAAAGCATTTAACTATCAATTTAAAAGTAACCTCTTCTAATATTGTTAAAAATCACAACAGATAAGGTAACATATATTTGTGTATATTTTTTATCTATTTAGCAAGAAACAATTTTAAATCAGGAACAAAAATGTTTTAAAGCTTATTTAAGTGACAAACAGCATTATCAATTCTAACTAACGTTGCTGTTGGAAATAGTAGAACTTGCCTGTTTTGTAAGTGTAACCAAAAGAATTGGGACAAGATACTGCAGGGCTCCCTTGGCATAAAACATACTTGTGCGTTCAGGCGGACGACCTTGCTCAGCAGCCTGAATCGAACATTTTTACAAGATTTAATAATACTACTATTCGAAAAGTCAATCAGGAGAAGAAAAGTCAATCAGGAGAAGGGAGTTTACAAAGTATCTTACTTCTGATAGCTCTATAGCTAAGTCTACTTCCTCATCACAGACTGTAGACCAAAATTCTATTCCCTGCAGTGCAATCTCGTCATTCTCATGTTCCATAGCATCTATTGTAATCTACAAAAATAAAAACAACTTTCAAGGTAAATAATTAAAAGTTTACAAAGTATCTGTATGTTAAGAAGTAAAACTTATTTGTATTAAAAAAGATCACTTACAGCAAAAAGTGCTGGGCCCATGTAATGTGTCATGTATATGTAATACAAGGACATTATTTTGACCAAGCACTGCATGGCAGCCACTCTGACCTGTTAAAAAAAATGTATAGGTTAGGCAAAAGAATTATTAACACAGAAATAGCACTTACTAAATGTGTAACTACTAACCTTTGTGTCAGTAGATTGTGTGGCTTCACAAACAACCTGCATGATTAAATGACGTTCTGCCTACAAACAAAAGTTTAAAATGTTAAAAGTTAAAAATGTTATATTTGGGAAGCGTTTACTAACAGCTTCTAGACATCCATAAGATGTGAAAAAAATTATCAAACCTGCATTTTCATTAATAAACTAGATGTGCTAAATGTTTACCTCTTGGTCAAAGTTTGCTTTAGTGAATTCCAAAGAGTTGAGTAGTGCATTTGTTGCAGCCAGCCTCACATGATTACTGCAGAAATAAAACATTATCAAATCCAACATTTCAATTTTACACTTACCTTTACTTACTTCAAAAATAAAATAAATGCATTCATTACAAAAAATTAATATACAACCTGGGTTCTTCTTTCTTCATTGCATGCACAATAGCTGTTAAAATTTCATTTGACTGTGGCTGAAGGATCTCTGGGTCCTAGTGAACAAATGTATTTAAATGACATACAGATTTATCTATTCTTAAATAATGAAAATAACAGCCTACATTATTCACAATAGATTTCTTACTATTTCTTGACAGATGTAGCCAACCGCTTCAAGTGTAGATTCTTTCATCATCTCTGTACTACCAGGATTAATGACATTACTTGTAAGGCGGGAAATGAGATCAGGCCACATTCCATGTGGCAACTCAGCACAAGCCATGTAGGCCACACATTGAGCAGCTGAACTAGGTCGTACTGTTTCTGTACCAAGAGAATCCAGTACCTTTAAAAAACAAAGTTCATATTACACGATATTGTACAATAAACGGAATAACAAAACCATCATAAGAAGAATTGTACTTGCATTTTGTTTAATGTGACTGCGGACTTCATCTGGAAACTGCAGCCAACGTTGCTGGTGCTGCAGTTTAATAGCATTATCCTTTGAATACAATGCATTCTTTAGTTGTAAGCCAGCCTGCATACGAGCAACAGGACTGTTCCCTCCATGTTTTAAAATATCACTGAGTGATTTTAATAACTCCGGCTGAAATGAAAAAAAAAAGCTTTTCAAGACACACCAAGAAAGAAGGCTGAAATGAAAAATAGCCAATCAAAAGACACCAAAAATAAAATTGTTTAAAAAAATTATAAAATTACTATATTGTGATAAGCAGATTTAAAATACTCACAAGATTCTGAGCAGCAGCAGCTTCCAAAAATTGTTGTGCAGTCTCTAACTCATGAGTATCTACAATAAATAGAATATGAAACTCAGTGCACTGGCTTTTAGAAATTCTGAACAAAACCCACAGTTCCCTTTCAAACCTGACAGTTTATGAAGCCAGTGAAGTAAAGATTTCAATTGGCACCAGTTATTCACTTTTTTTTAAACAGCTTACCACATACATAGGGATGTTTTTAATTTCCTATCTTTTTAGGGATGGACAAAGTAAGCCTTGAGCGGAAAAAATTCAGTGTAATTTGTAATTTAACTTGTTAGTTATTGTGATGGACATTGAGATAACTCTTTCAATATATGTAATTATGGGAATACAAGTTTAGTAATCCATATCGAATAGGTGTGGCTATTCATACATTGACTAATCTAAGTGGAGCATTTATTTTTTCTGCAATTCCACTAATTATGCTACATATGCTGTAATGTAGGTCTAATATCTTTATATCTAAATGGTCCTTAACCCAAAAAAAAAGTTCAATGCAGTCTTTATTAACTAGATCTAAGTAAAATTAAAAAAAAAAAAGCAAAATAAAAACTCTTGAGCTAAAAGAAATAGAATCCACAAGATGCCTGATGCAAAACCACTTCAACCAAAACAGCATCTAATATAACATTGAAAAGATGAATGTCATACACAAGATATAAATAAAATGCTTGCAACCTTTAAAAATTATTGGTCAGCTAAAAATAGTTTGAAGGCTACATTTTTGAGTAAACTGCAAATAGACAATGAATCTGCATTTAAAAGCTATTTTGCGTGTAGACATTTTTTACATTACATACGGATATACTTAATAGCCTACTTTATTCTTATGAGGAACGACAGTGCTGATTTGTTATAAGAAACTATGTTCCATGGCCTTAAAACTTTCAAGTGAGGTAACTTGCTGCTACTCAATACCTATTTTATACTATAAGCACTAATGTAAATCTTACTTTGTAATACTAGATCTAGATCTACTTGATTTTTTTATGTTTTATCTAGATCTAACTAGTCTAGAATTCTCTTAATCATGAATCTAAATCTAGACTAGAGTCTAGATCCTAAAATCTAAAACAAAAAAAGTGGAGTTGTCACTAGTGACTAGATATAATATAAATAAACTGGTAATCTATTGCTTTAGGTACGTAAAATCAGCCAAGACTAGTAGTGTGAAAAAAAGTGACTCATTAAATTTTAGTAATTATTTCACATTTTAGGAGGATTTATGTTTTGAAAGTAACAAAAATGTTTCAAAGTAACATGTAACATTAATGTACCCGTTTGTAAACAATTGTATTAAAACTTTTCAGTAAAAAATAAAGATGAGCGATGTTTTCATCAGATGCAACCAAACTCATTTACTTAGCAGCCATCTTATTAGTTTTTATTAATTGTAAAATCATAGTTAGAGATTCAGGGGAAACCACTCTAAATTACAGATGACCGCTGTTTATATAGCAAATCTTTCTCGCAAACAGTGCTGTTTGAAGTTAATTCCTGGTTTATATTGATAGATTTAGCCATTGATTTTGGTTCATTATCCAGTTATCTCTAATATTTGACACACATAGGTGAATTTTTATACCAGTTTCCGATAATAGAATATTTTTAAAAGGGGTGTTAGGTTACTGCTAGTTAACTTACACATATTGCAGGCTAATGTCAATGCTAACCCCAACCCGTCCTACCATATGACTAACCCTAATTTCTAACCATAAAATTAGTCGAGATTACAATACTACTAACAACCCAACACGCCCATTTTATGGAAGTCTATTATCCGACATCAGTTTTTTTTAAAAAATAAATCACAATGTAATAAAATATAGTTCAATTAAAGCCTTAACAATGCCAGAAAAGCATTTTAAAATTTGCTTCGGAGAATGAATGCTAAATTTAGAAGTCGTTGTCATTAAAATTAGGCCTAATAGAACTTTTAAAATATCACATGGAGAGTACAAAAATGAATTGGAGGTTGTAGAACTATTAGGGTTATCAGTCTCGAAAAAATAAATCAGACAGGCCTACGCCCTATTTCAAGCACCTTTTTTTTAAAATAAGACAACTTCTGAATGACAACCAAATTTTTTTTTTTAAACCACCTAACCGCTATTTGGTGATCACTAGTAGGAAACTCTGGGTGCATGGCCACTTGAAAAGTCTAACAGGATTTGTGGTTTTCTTTAGCTTCAAGCATGATGGAGAGGTGTGTCATGCATGGCAGTGACTGCCAATAAATATAAATAATAGGCCTTGGCCTAATTTAGTTTAAAAACGAACTAAAAACTTCAAAAATTAGTGCTAATGGCCGGAAAATACGGAGCACGTCCTTCAGGAATGTTCTTTGTATAGTCAGGCGCGAGTCAGACACTGGCCCCTGCTCACCCCACTCAGGGAAAAATTATATGGGGCACCTGCTGATCTGGAGACCACAATCCGGTTTATTCACGAAGTTGGACTTGTCTAAATCCTCCACCATTTTCTCAAGGCCGATTCTAGTCGGAATAAGATACGCATGCGCAATGGAGAGAAACTACGACTTAGCGGCGATGTTTTCGATGGTACTGCGCATGCGTGTGTTTACAACCGCAGAACCCTAATACTAACCCTAATCCTATCCCTAACCCTAATCCTATCCCTAACCCTATTCCTAACCCTCATTCTAGCCCTAACCCTAGCCATAGGTCACTGCGCATGCGCAGAACTATCTTTTGCCGAAAAATCTTATTCCGAGTAGACACTTCGTTTTCTCAAGAACGAAGAAGAAGTGCTAATGGATTAAATATGGATGTTTTATCATTCAGTGGTCATGTTTCAATTGAAAATTGAGTAGGCCTACCTAAATTTGAGATTTAGATTTGAGATCTAGATTCTAGTATGCTAAGAAAACCTACAATTTTACACACTAGGCTTTTTGATGAGAATTACAGAATGATTTTTTTTATTAATAAACCGGTAGTGATCTCCCCTAAACTTTCTCGAATATTCTTATATAAAACAACAGGGGATGGTAACTGGGGATATAGTTATGATCTTTAATCCATTTTAAATACTGAATCTTTTAAAAATAGAATAGAATCTCAGTAAAAAACAATTGCGCACCAAGCGAACGCCTAATAAAGGTGTGTATAATAGTGCGCAATAGTATTAGTACTTTATAAATTTACATTAGCTTTTTGAGAAATCGGAAGTAGCGTAAAGTACTACTTCCGGTCAACGGAAATTACTCAAAATTTAACAGAAGGTAGAGAATTAGATCTTTTACTTACATGTGAAATTTCATTTATCTATCTGAAATAGTACTCAAGTTATAGGCTTTTGAAAAATTCAAAGTAGAAAAAGTACCACTTCCGGTTATCCGAAATCGCTCAAAAGTTGATACGGATCTACGATTTTGATATAATACTTGTATATGAAATTTCATCAACCTAGCTGTAACAGTACTCAAGTTATCGTGTTTACACACGGACACACACACACACACACACACACACACACACACACGGACACACAGACATACGGACAAGATTGCAAAATTATGTTTTTCCGTATCAGTGAGATGTAAAACGTCGAGATTTGCAAAAATCTCGATTTTTTTTTTTTGCACGATTACAAGACTTTCTCTATACTTCGTATATACGAGAAAGTAAAAATGTATCAATAATAGCTAGAACACTAGTAAACTAAGCTAATTTAGCATATTTTAACTTTCTGTGTAAAGTCATTATTACTGAAAAAAATTCCAAAGTCAGGTCAGTCTGTGGCAACCTCCAATGAACTTGACAGAAGGAAAAAAAACTTGACCCGTGACCTTCATTAAAAGAGAATTTGCTTTTATCTTTTTTTTATTTTTAGTAAACATGTGCTTAATCTTACCCAATAAGTGATAAAAATTTGAAAATTAATCCTAATTACTGCTGTAAAGTGAGATAAACAGCTTAATAAACACATGTATTCTTGAGGGGGTGTGGCACATCGCAATTATAACTTAATGTTTCTGTGTTTTATGACTATATTAGTATATTTGTACACAATCAGGATGCTATGCTTTTAAAATTGATAAATGGTAAGTATACCAAGTTACAAAACCTGCAATCTAACTAATAATCCATACTTTCAGTTATAAAAACTGATCATCAATGAAGAAAGCGTAAACATTCTATTTTTAGGTGTGACATAAAAAAACAGTCATAAATCTAGCCAAATGATTGGATTCTTGCGCAGCACACATTTACCCGCGCCTCGTTTTCACTAAGCAAGATTATAATAAAATGGCATTATTGGGGGGGGTGATCGTTTTCCCACGCACATATCTCATTAACACACCAAATTATTACCAGTTAATGGTAATGTGTGTAAAATTAATACTTTAAAGTTTACATCTGACATAAGCTGGTTTGCATCTGGAAGCGATATGTAAGAGTTATTTGATATAAAAGACAAGAATTCATAGAGCTATTTTCACTAACGCGTCGCTTGCGAGACAAACAAAGAAATTAGGTCAAAAGTACATCTGGGAATTCTTAAATAACAGACTGAAATAGAAACGGATAGTTCCGATGTCTAAAATTAACGATGGCCTCGTAATTATTAGTTTTATCCCTCTACCGTTTAGTGAAAGCGAAACTGGTCGCCATTTTTATTAAGCGCATGAGCCGTGAGATGCCACAAAAATGACAAACCCGGAAGCGTTGAACCGAACGGCCTATACACACCTAACTAAACGATAGAGTAACAATAAACTAAATATTAGGCTGAAATTAAAGTACAAAGCAGGTTAATCATTTAAAATTTGTAGATCTAGACTGAGTCTTAATCTTAATATCTAAATTCTAATCTAGATAGGCAATTTCTGTTGGTAAAGTAAAAAAAACTAAAGTTCATTTGGCCATTCCTACCCGAATTTGAATAATTTTACCCTCCTGGGCTAAACATACTTAATTGAGGTGCGTCGTAAAATAAGTGAAAATTGTAAGTAAAAACTGTAACTAATGTGAATAAGGCATGATATATCATAGATTATTAAGTTAATCGAAATCTGGAAGTCAGTTTCAGTTTGTTCGTCACATGAGACAAGTAGGCCGAGCCTTCCCAGAACTTCAAATATTCTAGTGTACAAATCTAAGAGCCTTCCCAGTGTTTTTTTTTTAAATTTACCTGGAGACACTGTTTTTTCGAGGATTTTAATGAGATCCATGGCGAACAGTTCTGCGGTTGATTAACTTCTTTCCTTTCAATACCTAATTTAAATTGCTGCAGATCCAAAGAAAAAAAATAAACAAGTCACTTCGTTGCAGAAGGTCAGCTCAACACATGTGGAAATGCGCAATGATACACCAACTGAATTCCGGTACATATAACATTTGTATCAGATATTATAATTGGCTGTCGTTTTAGAAATTATTTTAAAGAACCAATGAAAACCTCTGTAACTAAAACTTAAGAGCAGCCCCGGCCTGTTGCCGGCAGTTCAATATTCAGTATGTAACATCATCAAGAGAAATATTTTTGTAATTGATTTTAAAAGAGAACTCACTTTATTGAAGCACACTACATTTTAATAAATACAAATTAATATATCAATATATCAACCAAAACCTTTATGCAGTTTTGCGCATTAGCTTCCTTTTAGCGGTTAGTTATCGATTACAAAACACGGATTCGCGCCCAAACACAAAACAAAATTAACTAAATACAGCAACACTAAATTTTAAAGTAAAAGAGCACACAATTTAAATCATTTCCTTGATACCCTATAATCTCTATTAGCGCTTGTATTATCTGTATAAAAATATTTCAAATATGTATTTGCATTTAATGAGCTTCTGTAGTTAACGTCACACAATCCCCCCCCCCCCCCCACATTTCTTACTATTTTTCCGAGCAGTAGACTAATATTATTTGGAAGTGAGATCGCTTTTAAGAATTTAACTTTTAAGTAGGCCTAGCCTGTGTCGGCCAGTGTTTCTTCCAAACTTTTTTTCTCCGGGGGTGCACTTAAAATTTTCGGGGGGGGGGGGGGGCGGACGGCGGACACTGTTAAAAGTTTATATTTTCTACATAAATTCCATTTCGTTCGGGTGGTGGCGGTAGAGATGCCTGGAAGAAACTCTGGTGTCGGCCTAGTATCATTAGCATCAAAAGAAAGGTGGAGACCCCATTTTAAAAAAAAGGCAATATACATGCATTTAAAAAAATACAATGCTTGTCTAAAAACAAATGAACACGAAAAATATGTTTGTGAGGGGTCGTCCATAAATGATGTCACGCTCGTAGGGCTAGGTCCTAGGCCTACACGATGCTCAGTTTAAATGTTCTTAATTAATTTTTTGTGACCGAACGAAAGGATATTTTTGAAAACTTTCTTCGGCAATATTGGTCTAAATTATGTCATGAATCGATTGGTAAATGTTTCAAGTCGCTAAGTGGTCTGGTTGCCGAGATATGGAGCAAAAACTGCATTTGTTTTTTTGCTTTTCCGGGAAATCCAGGAAGGAATTCCGGGAATTTTTTTGCCCACAATCATCCTTGGAACTTGCTTAACATATTTGCTTTTGGAACTAGTCCTCGATATTGCTTCGTTGAGGAGGAGATACGACTTAAAGGCTGCGGACACACATCCATACATCCAGAATTGCGCTAAAAATATTTGAATGACAAATAAGAGTTGCGCACCAAATGTGCGTATAATAGCGTCGAGAATTAGAGTGGTCTCGAACCAGACAATCAAAGTAAAATGAGCGTCGATAATAAACGAGGATTATTCAAAATGGTGTGTCATAAACCACTCTTCCTTATAAAAGCCAAAGTGAAAGTTGTCTCATGTTTTTGTTACAGCTATTGGCGACAGTGCGTTGGTGTTGCTTTGTCTAATTCAAAATTTTGAATGTCATATTAAAAATTTACGCTCTTCAAATTGTTACAGAATAGTAAATAGGCCTATTATATCTGTATTATAAAAAAATTGCCTTCATGAGCAGAGGCGTCGAGAGGCGGGTGCGAGGGGTGCGGACCGCACCGGGAGACACCATTTAGGGGGGGGGGGGGTGATACCAAGACCAAAAAAAATTGCAAGGTATATAGAATAAATAGTTTTTTTTTTTTGGTAATTAGAGTTAAAAAGTATTTTAAGTACATAATGACGATCCCCACAAGGGAGGGGAGGATAAAGTAAAGATGCAAACTATAGAGCAAACAATGTTACACTTACACCCAGCTGTATTAACAACAGACTATAGATAAACATCGTTTGTATTAAATGTGTACATCAAAGGTTTTACCAAGGGGAGTGGGGGGAGGGGGGGTGACACCAATTGTAAAATTTACAGAGAAAAAAAATAGGGGGGGGGTTGACACCATGAGATGCCGCATCGGGTGACACCCGACCTAGCGACGCCACTGCCCATGAGAACATTTCCGGGGAAGATGATCTAGAATCTATATATGGTGATTTAGTGAGATGTAGTAATGACTCTCTTGGGGACACATGAAAACAAAGAAGTCACTAGACTTAATAGAATTGGTCTAGATTAGCGTACGGCTTGGTGTGAAGTCACAACGATATCTGTCAAGCGAAACACATAAGTACTAGGTCTAATCGTAGGCTGGAGAAACGGGTCGGGTTGCCCACCTCAAATTCAAACATCAGCTACCAGACAGATCTTACAATCACACAAGAGAAGTAAAGAAAAGACGCACTTCGTAACATTTAGTAAGTAGCTTACAATCACACTAGACAAGTGAAGATACTTGCACCTCATAACATTATATACCCTTTTGAACCTAACGATCCATAGGTCAGATGAAATAGAGTTTGTTTCTTGAACATGGCAGGGAAGGTTTGGTCAGCACCATGTCCATCCACCTTTAGTTTTCCTAACCATCGGAATAAGGTGGACTCAGGGACGTCCTGTAGACTCGAACCTAGGATCCGAACTCGACACTTTCATTCCGGTTAATGATTTGCCAATATATTTGAAGCTTTTACAAATTAACAGCTTATTTCAAGCTAGCAGTTGAGCGCTCTACAACCCAACCACACTGTTCCATGTAAAATTTAATAAAATATGGAAAAGGCTTCAGATTAAGACATTTTTTTTATTTAGTACATTCACAGAAGTACAATGACTTAAAGCATCACAGTATCTAGTGGCAGAACATTTATTGATATGTGATAATAGGATTTGTGATGATGTGGAGGGTCTATTAGATGTGTGATGATGTGGAGGGTCTATTAGATGTGTGATGATGAGGAGGGTCTGATAATAAGATATGTGATGATGTGGAGGGTCTGATAATAAGATATGTGATGATGTGGAGGGTCTATTAGATGTGTGATGATGTGGAGGGTCTGATAATAAGATATGTGATGATGTGGAGGGTCTGATAATAAGATATGTGATGATGTGGAGGGTCTATTAGATGTGTGATGATGTGGAGGGTCTGATAATAAGATATGTGATGATGTGGAGGGTCAGATAATAAGATGTGTGATGATGTGGAGGGTCTGACAATAAGATATGTGATGATGTGGAGGGTCTATTAGATGTGTGATGATGAGGAGGGTCTGATAATAAGATGTGTGATGATGTGAAGAGTCTAATGATGAAATGAAAATTTCAGACTAGACAGCCAATGGGGTAGGTGAAAAAGAGTCCCTCTTTCTCTGAACTCTGCATACGATTATGAATGGACTGTGTGGTAGGCATATGCCCAGCTGCCTTTATTTTTTTCCTTGGTCAAGTCAGGTACCCATCAGGTACAATGGTGTCCTACGGACTTTAGCATAAAAGCCAAACTCATGACTTTAGAGTTAATAATTCAGCACAGTGTCTGCATGATGTGATTACTTGATAAATAAATGATGCTAAATTACAATGACACACTAAAAAGTTTGATATCTAATACATAAGTATTGCATGACAAAAACAAATTTTATGAAATTAAAATAAAATTTTAAATACTAAGCTAATACCAGCATAACAGATCTGCATACAAATATTGAGATTATCTAAGATTTAGAAATAGGGTGAACAATTAAATTTACCATTATAAAATGAAAATTAGATTAAACTTTACAAAATATGTAATACCCAATTAAATTATGTTTAAACTTAAATAAGTATGTCTTCATAACTTATATTTGTAAGTTATCAAATGATAAAATTCAGCATTTCAAAATAAATAAATAAAAGCATATATACAAAATGAGAACAAACGAATGAATTATTAATTAAAACAAAATTAAGATATCGGGACAGATTTTTTGTCATTAAGTGATAAAAATGTGCCAACAACAGTTTTATTTATGTGACATCATCAGTTAAAAATAATACATATGCTTTTGTACTTAAGATTCGAACATACATCTTAAGTAATTTATGCACAATCATCATACAGAGACATCTAACATAAATAATGCACAAACATCATACAGGTCATACAGAATTGAAATGACAAAGCTACAGGTAAATTTATTCCAGGCTTCACATGATCAGGTAAGATGTGATGTCATCTTGAGTATCTCCGCAGCAACTGTAGACAAGGCTATATCAGCATGGGAGCTAAAGGCATTAAAAAATTCTTTGTAAGTTCAAAAATCATAAAGAGTTTTGGCATCATGATTAAATATTGATGGTAGAAGTTTTTAAAAAAAATCCTTTAAATTTGAAATAATAAACAAAACAGATTAAAAATATTTTAGTGTAACTTTTATACTCAGAAATTCATTCTTTACAGGATTTTAAAAAATAATTGAAGTAGATAATAGTTTTAAAGAAAATCTTACCTGGCAGTGTTAGCCAAAGACTGAATTGTTTTGGCCAGGACATCTCCATGCTTTTTCATTGAGTCAACATGAACGCTGTTGGTGCTTAGTATCCTTTTAATAACCCTTAGTAAAACCTTTTGCTTCCGTGGCTCAGCTGACTTGAGAATTTTACTGTAATAATCCTGAAAAAAAATATTTAAAAATGTCAAGTTTTTCTTCAATAAGAAATACATTAAACATCACAACAAAAACACAAAATCGGGGAAAACAATTTAACATTTTAATTAAAAGGTATGTAACTTTCCCTCAATCAAACCTCATCCTTTATAATAACATAATAAAGGGTGTAAGATTTCTTTGTCAGCGAGGAGAAAATGAAACAGATTTGACTTTACCTATAATAATATTTTTTATTCTACAACTTGATTTAATAACATCTAATGAAAATGACAAGTATTTTTCATGTAAAAAATAACAAGGTATAAGAATGAAGTAAACTGTGGGATAATTGATCTTAGATAAAAAAAATCACCCCCTCCCCTTGGTTTCGGACTTGCTACATCATGTACAGAATTAGTGTGATGCTACATTTTGATGCTGTAAAACTTTACATTAGGCTGAAAATTGTGTGTGGGCGTGGGGGTGATGATAAAAAAAAGATGGGTCTATTGAAAAACAAACTCATGTTGGTGTTGTCTACTTTTCTTAGACTTTCACCAACTTCTCTTCTAACGTATGTGTGGATCCATTTACCTTTCTAGACTGGTTATGTGTCATAGAGGGCCATAATGCTGAAGACCCAATTAATTAGAATTTTAATTAAAACAATTAGACCAGCATCTCACCATATTTTCTGATGTCATGGCATCACGATTTTCACCACCAAACAACTGCACCAACAGCGAAAGAGACTTTAAGGCCAGGTCATGAATTTCATTATCTTCATAGCACAGCTAGGGGTGGGGATGAAAGGGAAAATAATGTTAAAAACATGATTGCAAATGTAATAATTCCTTGGTACATGGTAATAATGTAATAATTCCTTGGAAATTACAAAAAAAACATAATTTGGTAAAATTAATCTTAATCATCATCTAATAAAACACTTATTCTAATTGGAGGTATTCTGAAAGGATTAGATGCAAAGGCAAATAAGATGAAGAGCATTTTTCAAAAGTGCAATATCCGTATTTCATGTGCTTAAAGACACATAACCCTTTTTAATTTTTTAAGTTACTACCTTTCAGCTTCTTAATAATTTCAAAACAATAAAAAATTTCTTCATTCACAGCATATTTAACTTAAGTTTGGCCCTTTAAAAAAATGCTACTCAGTTATTGTGTAGAAAAAAATGTTACCAGCTGAGTGAGTAGTGAAGTCAGATCAGTCAAAGACTTGTTGATCATCAGGAGCTGCTCCCCTAACTCAGCCTCTTTGTGTGCACCATCTCCACCTTTGTTCTTCACCTGCAAACAAATGGTGAGGGGGAAGTCATAGTGGTGCCAGTTACACAGATGGCAGATGGAAGAAATACACAAAATTTAAATGATAATTAATTAATTACAGATGGCAGTCATATGATGGAAGAAATACACACAATTTAAATTAGAATTAATTGATTACAGATGTGAGCGGGTGCATGGATTATTTATTTTGTATTATTTTATTGGGTGCGAATCTGTGAGTGAATGGTCCACTGGACAGCGGCTACGGGGATTCCCCATCCGCCCAAAGCGGTCAGTATAAAAACTGACTGCTCGGATAATTTCTTTTGACCAGAGGAGAGATGTAGATTGGGTCAGTTTCTGTGTGGACACCTCGTGCTTGCAGTGAGGTTGCTTGTGCAACTTGGCTGGGTGTTTTGTATATAATGTTTGTGTATAGTGTTTTGTATATATTGTTTTGGCATGTTAAAGTCTGTTTTGTTTAGTAGTGTCAGTAGTTTTTATATCTATTTTTTTTTACAATTTTATGATTGGTTCCATCTAATAAATTTAATAAATTATTGAAGTTTTTTTGTTTTTATTATTTAGGCTTAGGTTAGGTTTATTAACCAGTCTGGGTTTAGCCGGACTTGCACTGACCGGACAGTAGTTAGTTAAGCTTAGAAGGGTAGATTTTAGTGATCCCCCCCCTAGCAGGGCTTACACAGATGACCGTCATATGATTGATTAAAAACAAAATTTAAATTATAATTAATTAATCAATTAATGATGCAAGTTACAAAATGGAAGTCCAACAGATGGCAGTCATTTGATGGAATAAATAAACAAAATAATATTTATAATTAATTAATAAATTACAGATTCTAGTCATACAATGGAAGTCATATTAATACCTGTCATACACTGGAATGAGTAGATAAAATGTTATGACGGGTAATAAAAAAAAAACTAAGCTAGGCACAGTATAAAAAAACAGATTTTGGGAACAATTTAAAAAGTTTGAAACTTTTCACTTAGGGTGACTTTCTTTGGTATTGTTACCGGTCTTACAGTATCAAAGTTAAAAGAAGAATTACTTTATGGCAAAGCAAAGAGTTGTTACCAAAACATTGTATTTACACCATTCCAAGATGTTAAGTAATTAATATTCAGTCATTCCTCATCAAAGAAATCAGAATGTCAAATTTTGTTTAGCATTTCCAGCATTAGTCCAACAATGATATTCATAGGCCAGGACGAGACAAAAAAAAAATATAAGTCCTTCCTGGCATAACTAACTACTGTCATGGCTGTTACCTGTAAAGCCCTGCGAACAACTTCAGACACGTAACGCAGGATGGCATTGAGTGAGTCTAAGAGAGTCAGCAGCATTGATGTTGCTGTTTTCACATCTCTGCCACCCTCTTCACCCTCACACACGGCGTTCCACACCTCAAAGAATAAATTAGTCAGGTGATCAATCAGACCTGGGGAAAAACAGAAAAAAAGGAAAACTTTAAAGTGACGTTCATTATATTTTTTGTGTACTAAATGAAACCTAGAAGAAAGACACAAAGAGGCAGTCCAAAACCCCCAGGCAATGAGATGTCTTGCAGACACCAAAATGGCAGGTAACACCCATAGATAAATCATTGAGTGGGGTGGGGGTGCATAATGGGTGCTTAGTCCCACGCTACCAAACAATTTAGGAAAAAAATTTTGAAAAAATGTTTTGTTTTATTAAATTCATTACAGTATTACTACATTGCTTTTATGAATAGTAAGAGAATGCATGACAATATAATGACAAATAACAAAGCAATCTAAAGTGTAAAATATATATATATATATATATATATATATATATATATATATATATATATATATATATATATATATATATATATATATATATATATATATATATATAGACTTAAGGCTGGTACAGTTTTATGTGCAGAAGGAAAACTCATTAAATTTAAGTTTATGTGAAAAGATGCTGTAGCTCAGTAAACAATTAGGAACAAGACAAACCTTGGTCATAAAGTTCTCTCATATTTGTCTCCTTATGGCAGACCAGACAGTTCAGGACAGCCACCACACCCTGCATGACTCGGCCAAGAACATTGTTTTGGTGATCCTAGGAGTGAACAACACACACAGATCAATGGCCCAGTAGGTCAGCTTGCATACATTTTAACATCTCATTATCAATTCAACTCACACAGATCAATGGTCCAGTGGGTCAGCTTGCATACATTTTAACATCTCATTATCAATTCAACACACACAGATCAATGGTCCAGTAGGTCAGCTTGCATACATTTTAACATCTCATTATCAATTCAACACACACAGATCAATGGCCCAGTAGGTCAGCTTGCATACATTTTAACATCTCATTATCAATTCAACACACACAGATCAATGGTCCAGTAGGTCAGCTTGCATACATTTTAACATCTCATTATCAAATCAACACACACATAAATAGCCCTGTAGGTCAGCTTGCATCCATTTTGACATCTCATTATCAAATCAACACATGCCTATTAGGGCTACCAACACTATCATGTTAATTTACTTACACATTTTTTCTACTTGTTATCATATATCACCACACTTATTTTTATATTAATATACTACTTATACAAATTCATCTAATAACATCAACATCTTAGCAACAAACACATCAAAAGTCCTGTAGACCACATTGCCAACATTGTTATGGGCATCTTGCAGAAGAAATCAAACTTACTATTATCTTCCAACCCTAAAATAGTTAACAGGGTCAAAAACCTGAATTTTTGTCTCTACCAACCAAACCCTTTGTTATTCAATTTTTAAAGGCTTTTTTAAAAAATATCCAAAGTAGCCATTTCCAGCATAACAGTCATTAAATATCAAACTGTTGTAAATTAAAATAGTTCTAAATAATGTAAAACAAAAATGTAAATTATATTAAAATGTTATGAAAACCCACCATTAAAACTTGAAAAATCACAATAATTAGCCCCTGCTGCTCTATCTGCTTTATAAATAGACTGTCATGTTCTAAGAAGGATAGCATCAGCTTTAGCGCATAACTTGGTAGTGGGTCTAAATCTAGAAGTATGGGTTCGAACCTGTGCGTCAGAGAAAAAAAAAGACATTTGTTATTATAATTATATGGCTTTTTCTCATACATTAAAAAATCTATGGACTCAGCAGAGGCAAGAAATGTAGAAAACACCCTAATGTACTTACAAGGCCAGGAGTTTCTCCTATATGATTGTACTTACAAGGGCAGAAGTTTCTCCTGTATGATTGTGTGTAGTTGTGATGTGTTGACCTTGACATCTATACCAAACTGGTCCTGTGTCAGGTAAACTGAGGCCATGTCCCCAAACAGTTGTAAGGCTTGGGCCTTGGTGTCCACTGGTAAATAAACAAAGGTCAGAGGTCATAAAATTTGGGGTCCACTCAAGAGCTCTTATTGATAAGTAAAACCCTAGTTTTCAAGTCACTGGATGACCACCAAAAATATTTTAACATTAATAGTAGGGTTTATGTTTTTTGACAGGGTTATAATTAGATTAAAGATTATGATGATTGGAGTGAGGTTCAGGGGTTAATTTTAGACATAGTAGGTCCATTCCTAATCAAATTAAGCTCCCCTTTAAGACCTAAAGAACCATAGGGTAGATGAAGAAGAGTTTATTTGTTTCTTAACCTCCACATATGAAGGGATGGTGTGGTCAGCACTATACCTAGCTGCTTCAACTTTCTCCAACATGAGTCAGATGCCCATCAGAGCATCTTAGTTATAATGTTGCTCTGCAAAAGGGACAGATACGAAGTGCATAGGGACAATATCTGGGCACATATGAAGGACTGTATTTTCCCATCTCTGGCTCGTATGTTAATTAAAAGAAAAACTATCACGTAATTGCAACACTGCAATTAAAGTTGTCTTAAGATTGAGGAACACGAAAAAATAATAAAAATACTATTTTAATAGGTAATAAGTGTAACACTGCTATTACAGCTGTCTTAAGATTGATAAACATGAAAAAATAATAAAAATACTATTTTAATAGGCAATAAGTGTGACACTGAATTAAAGTTGTCTTAAGCTTGATGAACATGAAAAAATAATAAAAATATTATTTTAATAGGCAATAAGTGTAACACTGCAATTAAAGTTGTCTTAAGCTTGATGAACATGAAAAAATAATAAAAATATTATTTTAATAGGCAATAAGTGTAACACTGCAATTAAAGTTGTCTTAAGCTTGATGAACATGAAAAAATAATAAAAATATTATTTTAATAGGCAATAAGTGTGACACTGCAATTAAAGTTGTCTTACGATTGATCACCATGAAAAAAATCAAATACCATTTTGGCAGGCAATAAGTGATGTAAGCAGAGGAAGAATGTCTTTGAGTATGATGTCATTGTACTGGATCAGGAGGTTTGGATGCTGGGAGATTCCTTCTAAAACTGACAGGGCTGAGCTCACAAATTCTGATGCACTTATCGTAGCTGTGTGTACAAATGAGACATAAATCAGGTTGTATAAATATACATTCTATTCTGTGTGAAAAAGGCTAACATTTTATTTTATAAACTTGAAATAAAATTTAAGTCATGGTTTTTTTTACGTAACTTTAGTTTCTTTACTATAACAAATAAGAAAAAACTTTTTTTTGTATAAGAAACTTCTATACAGCATCACAATATGATTGAGGGGGTAGGTAACTCGAGAACTCACCAGATGATGAGTCAATATTTGTCTCCCCTGACTCAATCATAACAACATGACCTAACAGCTTGACATATTGGGTAAGGAACTGTGGGCTAACTATAAATCCACGGAAAACCTAAAAAAAGAAAATTGTCCTTGACATTAGAGTAGGCCTTTAATGGTACAATAATGGTGGGGAGTTGGTGGAAGTGACTGAGGTAAAAATGAATTTATTAGTTGGGGGAGTGGAAGTAAAGATGCTGATGACTAACTCCCTATTCACCTGGCTAGTCACAAGGTGATTGAATATGGGGATCAAAGGTAGCGAGGATTTAATCTGTTTAATCTGGACTGTGCTGGGATGTTTGCGACCTCCGACCTGGTCCAGGCATTCCAAAATTTCATCTGATGGAAAATTAAATATTTATACAGGAATAAAGGCATTACAATATATGCAAAAGCAATAGTAAATATTTTTTTAGTGACAGACCTCAGAAAAGTAAAGTGGTAAAATTGAAACTAAAACAGTACTAAATGGAAACAGTAATTGATATTATCAGGACTAAAAGTAATGGAAATAGAAATTGATCTTACCCATGACTAAAGGTAAGCGCTGGACTATTCCTGATATGAGCAGCTCAAGGCACTGGGTCAGGTAATCTTGGGCTTCGACTGGTTTAGGCGCTCTGGGTGTCTGGCGTCTGCTGTCTCTCTCAATATACATCACGAGCCTAGCAGGATTTAACATTGACAACACATTACAAACACAGATGTGTTTTAAATAATGTAATTTAATGTGCAAACCTATTTTCCTGTGATATGTCCCATATGCTACCATATCATTAAATTTGTCTTAAGTTATGCTACAATATCTAAAAATTTAACTTTGAACGAGTTGACCTGCCTAAACCAATTCATCAAAGCATTAAACATGGCACAAGTTTAATTGCAACTTAATTTTATTAAAGAACTTGGCACTAGTTGTAGTGCAATGTAGTTCAAATAACATTCAACTTGGCACAAGGTTACCTAAATAAACCAATCCTACCCAAACATTCGGGACTGAGTGGCCTAGCGGTAGAGAGCTGGACCGCTAACCCGTAAGTCTCGAGTTTGAATCCGGGTTCAAGTCAGTAGAAAGTTGCTGAGTCCACCCAACTCTGATTGGTATCTAACTCACAGGGTAAATAAAGGCAGCTGGGCATAGTGCTGACAACACTATCCTTCATATGCAGGGGTCACAGAAACAAGTGAACTCTACTTCACCTGCCCCGCTGACCTTCAGGTTTGAAAGGGAACTTTACTTACTACCCAAACATTCCCCTTGGCGCAAGTTGACCTACATACACCAATCCTAACCAAACATTCACCTTGGAACAAGTTGACCTACATACACCAATTCTACCCAAACAATCAACTTGGCACAAGTTGACCTACATACACCAAACATGGCACAAGTTGACCTACATACACCAAACACAATACCAAGCAGCTGAAGACCCACCTGGCCTGACAACAGCTAAGCAGCAGCTCACTGTTAACATGCACCATCTGGTAAATCACAATAAAACCTTTGGCTCTGATCACAGCCGAGGGGCTTTCAAAACATCGCATTATCTTCAAGCAGAAATCCTGTGGGCAGAGTGAAAGCACAGGTATAATTTGTGAACTAAGGAACATTTTTATCCAATCATTAAAATGGATGGAAATCTAATAACCAATTAATAACCAATTAAATTACCAATAAAAAATGTAAATAAATTATATTACGATTCCAGAATTTAGACTCAATGTTGAAGATATAATTATTCTGTGGTGACCATTAAAGTTTTGGTTTAGTTATAAGTTTTAAGTAGAAAAATTATATCAAGATTAAAAGCAGTGAGAAACGAAATACATACAAGGTCTTTACCATATTGTTATAACTGGGATTAGCATAGAATAGAAAACTAGGATAGAATATGGTTTAAATCTTAATAGTATTTATGGCCACACTGCTATATTGTTTAATTGTAGATTAGATAGATCATAATAGCTGTAATAGGAATAACCCTTAGTGTATTTGATTGAACGTCCCCTTACTAGATACAAGTCTGAATAGCCTGTAGTTGTCCCAGTCGTAAAAAAGTTCGAGTTAATGTATGCACAGGTTAAGCGCCCGCCCCTCGCGGGACTGCTGGGGTTAGGCAGGGTTTGGGTTACCTTAGGGTGAAGTTGGGGCCGTGCGAATGAATTAAGTTAGTTGAATGCTAGACTTGTTATCGTGTGGAAGTGTGTGTCTTGTGCTCCGTGGCAGAACTCTGTGCTAGTTTATTTCGTGTATTAAAAGTCTTAAAATCGTACGTGTGTTGGCGTTATTAAATCAAAGTTTAAACTGTTACCTCAACCCTCACTGCAGTCATCACCACCATCAAAACAAAGCACACCGATGACTACATAACACATATCCTGATCAAAATCCCACATATTTACAAAATAGTTCATAATTACACTATCCTAAGATATTACTTCAAATGAAAAAGTAAATAAAAAATTGAAAGCCATGACTTGTCCTGTTGTTATTTAAAAATGTGGTTAAATAGCATAAAATATAAGATGACTCCAGTGTACCTTGTCCTGTTGTTATTTAAAAATGTGGTTAAATAGCATAAAATATAAGATGACTCCAGTGTACCTTCTCCTGTTATTATTTAAAAATGTGGTTAAATAGCATAAAAGATAAGATGACTCCAGTGTACCTTCTCCTGTTATTATTTAAAAATGTGGTTAAATAGCATAAAAGATAAGATGACTCCAGTGTACCTTGTCCTATTGTTATTTAAAAATGTGGTTAAATAGCATAAAAGATAAGATGACTTCAGTGTACCTTGTCCTATTGTTATTTAAAAATTTGGTTAAATAGCATAAAAAATAAGATGACTCCAGTGTACCTTGTCTTGAAAGAGCCTACTGGAGTAACCAACAGAGGCCAGGAAGGAACCAATCATGGTGATGACAGCCTGCTGTATTCTGGACACCCCACTGGACAGTGCCTGCATGATTGGGGTCAAGCCGCCAGAGTCTAACAGGTACTGGAACAGGGATGGGCTCTGGGAGGTTATCCGACAGAGGGCCTAGGACAGAAGTGTTGATGTTGTTTTAGTTTTTATTGAATAGGTGCTCAACTATTTTAATCATATATTAAACCATTACAGTTGCAGCTATTTAGTTATTGATTTAGTTATAACATCCAGCTCTGTTCTTACATATATTGTTAAACTCTATAGTTATTGATATGTTACACCCTATTTTTACTATTTACTGATTATTTATATTCCACAGTTAAATATTTACTGACATTGTTATACTCAATAATTTTATATTTACAGATAATGTTGTACTCTATAGCTATATAATTACACATATATTGTTATACTGTATAGCTCAATACTTACTGATAATGTTGTACTCTATAGTTATATAATTACACATACTATATTGTTATAGTGTATAGTTCAATACTTACAGATATTGTTGTACTGCGTACTGCCTCTAGAGATGAGTGTTTGAAGAGATACCACAATGACTGACAAACATCTTGTGTAATAAATTTCTAGAGGAAATTAATTTAAGTATAAATTTTAATTTGTAAAACAAAAATATGACAGATTAATTTTGAAAAGCAATTACAGAAACTAGAGAAGAGAGGAAAACATTGCTAATGCAAACATGCTAATCAGCACATTAAAAACAAAAGACTCATAATTATGTCTTAAAAATTAATAAATAATCTTCCAGTTTTAACACTCTCATTTACTTTCCATACAGTGGCGTAGGCAGGGGGGGGTTAGGGGGGGTTATAACCCACCCCATGGACCCCCAAAATGACTACTTTTTTACGTTAAGCTATAGCTATTGACTTGTGTCAATATTATTTAGGGCTTAAACACTAAACACTTAAGCCTGGCAGCCTCTAGAACAACAATGTATATCATTGTGATGAGAATTGCCTGTAGAATTTAGTTATGAATTTTATTATCGCGCTAAAGTAAAGTATAATAATCTGGAACGCAGTAGGCAAAGGGAAAGTTGGCCAAGGTTAGATCAGTTAAGGAGTGTCGAAAGGGAGGGGTGGGCTACGTGGGTAGGCCTTTGTTGTCTAATATGATTGTAGTGCAATCGGAAAGCGTCTAGAAATGAAAAACAAAAAAAGGAATTGATTATTATTCGCATTGAGGTTCTATAATGTGTATGTTTTTACTACTTCAAAGCATTTGAAATTCATTTCACTTAATTTTTAAAAAGATAAGTAAACTGAAAATGATAAAGATGGCAGAGGGAGGAGTAGGCAGGGGTGAGGGGAGGGGGGGGGTAGAACCTTCAAAATGACAATCCTTTACGTTAAGTTACAGCTATTGACGACAATGGACTTGTGTCGCTATCAGTATCATTCAGTGCTTAAACAACAAACACTCAGGGTCGCAATAGGCGAAGGGAAAGCTGAACAAGGTTATCAGTTAAGGGGTGTAAAAGGGGGTGAGGGTGGGATGAATATTGGTACGTATCAATTATAAAATACTACCGGATGCACATCTGGCAGGAAGGCGTGGGCTTGACCCACAATTGTTGACACAAAACTTTGTGTTGGTAGGCTATATAAAAAAAACTGCGTATTTGGTTAAATATAGATGTAAAGCCAGGAACCTACAGTAGTCAATTTAGACAGAATAGAAGACCAATAATAATTTGCTTTCTTCTTCGTATAGTCGTGTTTTAATGTGTATCTTTTAACTACTTCAAGCAATTTAAATTCATTTTAATGATGGCGGAAGGAAAAAGGAAATTAAAAACTACTTTATTAACTGATTTCTTTACAAAGAAAAGTAAAACTGAAAATGATAAAAATGAAGATGGTACTATTGCTTTTCAAAGTACATTACATCAAGAAATTTCGATAAATTCAGCACCTTCGACTGTTTCTTACGCAAATGATATCGGCAATTTTATCAAAGGAGTTATAACAGACGATACACGGTTGTATTTATTAGAAAACATCTGGCGTCCTGATGAACTTTTAAAATTTCCAGCAAGCGGACAAAGAAATTTAAAGTTTCAATATTTGTGGCTACTTAGGTGGAACTGGTTGACTTATTCCAAATTACTTGATGGCGCATTTTGCAAATATTGTGTTTTGATTAGTTTGAATTATCGTGGTGTAGGTAGTCAGCCTATGGATAAGCTATCAAAAATTTCATTTTCAAACTGGAAAAAGGCAACAGACAAGTTTAATGAGCACCAGCAATGTGAGTATCATAAAAGAGCAATTTTACTTTCCCAAAATCGTAAATCGGTGATGGAGAAAAAAAATGAACTTATTAAAATCTCCTTAAATTTATCATAAGTCAACAAATTCAAGAAAATCGTTTAAGATTAGCGCCCATAATAGAATCTATAATATTTTGCGGCCGACAAGGAAATTTTTAGTTGGAGAAAACTGCTGAAAATGATGGAAATTTGATTTTTATAATTTTTTACGATAATGTACATGTGTTACTTGTTACAAAACAATAGCTAATACTAAGATAAGTTAGTCGGTGGCACCCACGAGTTTCTATTGTCACCAGCCACCAATACTTTACACGCACGCACTTACACATGCATATGTACACACACACACACACACACACATATATATATATATATATATATATATATATATATAAATATGTATATATATATATATATATATATATATATATATATATATATATATATATATATATATATATATATATATATATATATATAAAATGCTGGAAAAAAATTTGAACCCCCCCATGAGACGATCCTGGCTACGCCACTGTTTCCATACATGTTATGTTACCCATAGCGAGCAAACTTATTGTTAATGAGGCATGTTGCTTCACATTGATATGGTTGTGATGAAATAAACAAACCTGTGCATGAGATGAAGTAGTAGACACAACTGTTTCAATTATTTTACTTGAGATATGGTTCAGTACTTGTTCATCCTGAAAAACAATCAAAATCCGTCTAAAATAGACATCAAACAGGAGGCTGTTTAAGCTAACAAGTGCATTAAAGCCTTGTCAAAGATATAAATTAACATGCATTAGACATTTGTTTGGCAACACAGCAAGTCATTTAACCCTGCAGTTGTGGCGAAGAATGGGATTTTTATTCGCTTTTAATTTGAACTTTTAATTTCATTTGAAAACTTTTTCTTCATATCAATATCATGACTATCTCTATATTTTCTTTTTCACAGTTGTAACGCTTGGTAGTTGGAAAAGTGATAATCATGTGTTTTACAATTTCATTTATGGAGAGTTCCAATCCTAAATTTGTGGCTGTTTCAGATAAAAAAAACCACTGAGAAAAATGTATACTTGTAATATTTATATTTTTATTTAAAAAAAAAAATCAGGATTAAAAATTTTGCCAATCACAAGCTTTAAAGGACTAAATATTCCATAGATGTAGTCATAAAGCAGTTTGCCTACTGGTGTTGCCAAAAAAAATTAATGTTGATATAGTAATCAAATTTTAAAAATATTTAAATAATGCAAATGATTGAAATTTAAAAAAAAAAAGTGAACTGAAATATTTAATTAAGAATACAGATGAGCATTCACAACTTTTTTCAATTCTTTGATTATAAAAGAATAAAAATTGAATAAAATGGTGGCTGAAGTGTTACAACAAAACAATTTATTTGTAATTGATTTTCATGTATATATTTTCACTTTGATAAACAGATGACAACTATTTCTAGTTATGGAGTGCTTAACCTTAAATTAAAATATTTTAAAATCTAAATATTTGGAGCTTTAAACCTCACAAGTTTAATACGAGTAACAAGACAAATGAAAACAATAAAATGAAAATAAAATATGATAATTCAACTTTATAAGGGGTCATCCATTTATGACGTCCACACGCGGGGGGGGGGGGGGGGTCCGAAAAAAACTGACTTTTGTGGACGCATATGGACTTGTATAAGGAAAAAAAGTGGATTTTTGTGGACGGGGGGGGGGGGGGGGGTGTCCCAAAATCCAAAAAAATTGTGGACGTCATAAATGGATGACCCCTAATGTTACTAATTTTATAATCAACAACTAAAAAATAAATAAAAGTTACATTAGGAAGAAATGATAGGTTAAAATTGTTTTACTTTTATCAGACTTTAAAATATCTTGTTTTATTGTGTTTGTTTTCTCGGGTGGGATTTAGCTAATGGTATGGATAAACAAATAATAACTGATTATACACCATTTTATGTTGCAGTATGAATATTTAAACTTGAAAATAATATGCATTTCTTTTCTTTGGTTTTTCTACTCAATATTTTTACATTTTAAATATCTATTTAACCTGGTCTATGTGCTGAAATTTAGTAGTTCTGGATAGTGTTTTAAATAAAACTGTTGTGTTAGGTTTAGCTACTTACATCTTCTGGTGAATTCTGAATGTTTAAAAACAAAATAAATATAGCTAAATTCAGGTTTAATGAAATTCTGTCTTGCAGAGAGTGAGAAAAAACAAACAGAAATGATTTCAACATTTTGTGATCTGATGTTGTTAAACTTACATGTCCTGGTCTAAGCATGATGAACAAAAATGGGAATAACAACAACAAACAAATAATGCCCAATGATCTTACAAGCTCATCTGATAAAACCTTACCCCTTCCCTGATTCCCCTGATGACTGTGGTGTAAGCTAGAGATGGCACCGTCCACAATTCTACTGCCTCCTGTTGCTTTTGTTCCTGTAATATTCATACTTTTACTTAGTAACATAAAACATTTTAAAATTTCTCATAGAGCAAATCATAGAGTAACAGAAGTTATGTTATCTACTATGTCAAAATCTTCTAAGCTGTAACATGTTTTGTGCTGAACTTACCTGAGCAGATACCAGTGCAATGAGTTCACCAAGTGCAGGGAGTAATCCTTGTTTTAACTTGGTGTTCTTCAGGTTCTCTCTCAGCAACTCAGTCAACGTGGTCAAGGACTGGGAAACAAAAGCTCAAAATTTATTTGCTGTTATTCAAGTCTCTGACCCGGGCATAACTCATGTTGGAGAAAATTAATGTGGTAGGAAATAACACTGATAATAATAGTTTTCTGAGGAATTTTGGTATTTAGTTCCCTTCTCCTAAGTAACAGACCATAAACTCTTGAAGAACAATTTTTTTATTAGCTTAAAACCAACCTCTGTAATATTGACACTTGTATCCAGATGATCCGTGAAGTGGGCAACTAAAGCCATGGCCCTTGCTAATTTTAACCGTCTGAAATATTTTTAAAAACAAGTTTAAAATGGATTCTCAGTCCCACTTCTTGTTGAGGCGTCTACACCCAAGTCACTTCATGTTCCCTGCCTTGAATGTTTGTCACTTAGCTAGTATGGCTGATTTAAAGTATTTCCATCTAAATCAATTTTTAATGCCAAGTACAAAGGTGAAAATAATTTTGAAATAAGACATTTAGACCCTGAATAATCAAAGTTGTACTGTTAATTCTACCCATTAGGTGTGTGTGTGGGGGGGGGGGGGGGTGTCAAACATTTCAAATCAACAATTAAAAAGTCTGCTCTCTATCCTTACACTTACATATCTACATGTGAAGACTCTTTCATCTGTTTAGCTATTGCCCCCAACAATCCATGTTGTACCTGTATATAAATAATTGCTAAGTATTAATCATTCAGTTTATAAACTACTCAATTGGGGGGATGTTCAGCTTATTTTTTAATATAGATAATACAACCCAAATGATCTACATAATATTCACTTATTTATTTTAAAGGCTGAAATGATTTTTCTTTACCCCAAAAATGCATTGTTTTTTTTTCTAAGGTGGGTTTTAGATATTAGTATTGATAAACAAATAATAACTGGTACTTTTAGTACAGAATTTTTAGAACCTTCATAAAAAAATGGGATACACAATATTTAAAATTCTAAAATATACTTAAAAAATAACCAGTTAAATGTATATGCCTTTAACTTTAAGTAAACAGTAAGTAACCATAACCAGACCTTAATCAGGAATAACCAGTGTTTCTTCCAGACTTTTTCTCCCAGGGAGGGGGGGGGGGGGCACTTGAAATTTTCAGGGGGGGGGGGGGCAGACACTGTTAAAGGTATATATTTTCTATGTAAATTCGTTTTGGGGGTGGGGTGAGGGGGGACACAGTAGACTCTCTTTGAAGAGATGCCTGAAAGAAAAACTGGCAATAACCATTACCAGGCCTTAAGCTATAGAAATTACCATTGCTGTTGAGAGCTGCCTACAGGATGCCACACATATTAAGTAGTGGAGGAGGTGAATCCTTTTCTGTGATGGCGGGCCCTTCTCTGTCTGGGTGATGTTTTCAATTACAGCCTTGGCTTGCTTCTCTATTTCTTTTTCTGACAATGTACCAAGCTTCTCAACTGAAAAAAAATCTCAATCACTGCCACTGTTGTCTCATTTACAGCAACATTATTTCAATTTACAGCAACATTTGTCTCAAGTAAAGCAACATTTGTCTCAAGTACAGCAACATTTGTCTCAAGTAAAGCAACATTTGTCTCAAGTACAGCAACATTTGTCTCAAGTACAGCAACATTTGTCTCAAGTACAGCAACATTTGTCTCAAGTACAGCAACATTTGTCTCAAATACAGCAACATGTGTCTCAAGTACAGCAACATTTGTCTCGAATACAGCAACATTTGTCTCCAGTACAACACTGGTCTCAATTACAACAAGATTTGTCAAAAATACTGCAATCTATATTAAAGGTACCACAAAATTTGTATCAAGTACAACATTTGTAAAAAAATATAGACTGCAATATTAGTTTTAATTACTTAAATATTTGCCGCACCCAGGCAAAAAAAAAGTCAAAATTTTGATCTGATGAAAGCAGTGTCAGTCTTACTAAAATACTGCATTAGTTATGTTAGCCACACAGTCATACTTTGACAGGACCTACCGCTAAATGGTGGCACTGGGAGAATCTTCACATCAAATTTACATGGAACTATTTTTTGTATCTGAAATAAAACAAAATTTTAAAATCAATGAGTTTTAGAGGATTACTTGTTTGAATATTATCAAAATGTAAGGGAACCAAAACAATATATTCTTGTCCTATCATCATCATCATTTCCCGTTCGTGCCCAAGACACATGGGGCAGATGAAGTAGAGTTCTTCTGGTTCAGAGACTTTGGCATTATAAGGGATAGCGTGGTCTGAACTATGCCCAGCCGCTTTAGTTTCACTAAGGTGAGTTAGATACCCACAGAGCTGGGTGGACTTAGGGACGTTCCATTTATTTGAACCCAGATTCAAACTCAAGACTATCGGGTTAGCAGTCTAGCTCCCTACCGCTAGGCCCTGCCGTCCTTTCTAATTTCCTATGGTTATATCTTTTATTATTTTTATTCACAAAATTATTTTCCTTTCTGAAGAGTACTTTTGCTTTAACCTGTGATTGGGATGTAATGTTAACATGTTAAAAACCTAACCTTTGGGTTATCAACAAAGTTAACATGTTAAGAACCTAACCTTTGGGTTATCAACAAAGTTAACATGTTAAGAACCTAACCTTTGGGTTATCAACAAAGTTAACATGTTAAGAACCTAACCTTTGGGTTATCAACAAAGTTAACATGTTAAGAACCTAACCTTTGGGTTATCAACAAACTTAACATGTTAAGAACCTAACCTTTGGGTTGTCAACAAAGTTAACATGTTAAGAACCTAACCTTTGGGTTATCAACAAAGTTAACAAGTTAAGAACCTAACCTTTGGGTTATCAACAATCTGAGTGACAACAAAATCACTGTCATGAAATATCAATCTTTTAAGTTCACTGCTGGTGTCCTGCAGAGTTGCTTCCCCATCTGTTGTACTGCCAATTGTTTCCCTTGTTGTGACAGGCCTGTAAGGGGAGGTCACTCTATCATCCGGTGGAACAGCTGTGTGTGGTCGAGCACTGTCAGACATAAAAGTTTAACTGCTACATTTTTAGTCTGGTAACATTTTAATAAGGAATGAAACAACAAATTTTTTATGAAATGTCTTTTCAAATAATTAAACTAAAGTGCTAAATAAAAGTATGAAAAGTAAGAAATATTTAATCTTCTGGCAGCATGGCAGTGTTCTAGATAAAGAAGGTAACGCAATCAAGAAGAAATGCCCTGGAGGAAAACAGTGCTAAATGTTATTCAAATAATACAAAATATTTCGTTTGAGGCTGGCCACTTGTAATTAAAATGGTCACTTCAGGGTTAAATTAATCAACCTAGCTTGGTTCTAATTACAGCAAGCTAATAGAATCTTTACCTTAGTGTAAATAAACTTCCCCCACTTTCCATCCCAGGTGCAGTCTTAGGTCGCAGGTATTCACTCATGCCCACCACTGTGGCTAAAATATATAAAAAGGAGAATTGATAAAAATATGTCATGAGGTTTACAGTAGTACTGGTGAAATCAACACAACAAAAGGTGTGACGTACAGCTGTAAGTGTGTCAAAATGGTTAATTTATAAATTAGCCCTCTAACATTTCATGGCCAACATGTTCACTCCCAGTTAAGCATATGCTATTATCAACAGCCTTTTTTTCTTCCATTACTTTCCAACTGGCCAACTAAAACTGTTGACTCACCTGGTCTACTACTGTCCACTGTGTCAAGTGTCGGCCTCTCTAAACTGTGCCTGGTGTCCAGCCCCTTCACCTGCCCTAACACCGAGCTGACCCCATGGTCAAACACCGAGGACACACCTAGGGCGGAGGCTGTGCTAGAACGGACCACTGAAGCACCAGAAGAAAGCTCATGTGCAAATGATGCAAGCTCCTTCTGCCAGAAACTGTGACTGACCAGCTCTGTCCATCCCATACTAGAGAAAAATAATTAACAAGGCTCCATTGAAAGACAGTTTATAAATACATAAATCTAACAAGTGTTTAAAACATAAGTGTAAGAAATCGAATGTCGGAAGAAGCTTACCGCTGTGTTGGGTCTTTTTTTAATAAACCTTGTAACAGACTGAGAAACTCAGGAGAAGGTTTGGCAGAAATTCTTATTCCTGTAGTGGGAAAAATTATCGTTTAATAACACAATATATAGTACAGAATAAGTTGTAAGTAAACTTAAGCTTAATTTTAATAGCATCAATAAAATTACATTTTTTAAAATTAATTCATGAAAATTCCAGCACATGCATTCATGCTAAAGTATACAAACAATCCCAAAAAGTAAAAAAATATAAAACAAGATCAGTCTCTTAATAATATCTCATCCTGACTTGAAATTTCCCAATTTTTTTTTAATAGTGTAAGTTGAGGAAAAAACCATTCAATGCGCTGGAATACTAGATACAATCCTTGTAAAATGACTATTTGGCACAGAATTTTTTTTTGATGTATACAAATAAAGAAAAACTACCTTTAACTTTTGGAATCGAGAAATCTTTATTGAGAACTCTGTCTTTGATGTGCTCTTCAGACTCAGCATAAAATGGAGGATAACCTATGATGTTTCAAACAATACAGTGATTTAAATTCTGTTTTTTTTTTATAAGACATTATAAGGATTGTTACATTTTCTACTGTTAAATAGTGCTTTAATTTAGAGTTAAATAAGGGCTGTTATAGTAGAACTGTTACCAGCAAACATTTGGTATAGCACACAGCCCAGGGACCAAAGATCACTTAGCACATTAGGTTGTGCCCCTTGGATGAGTTCAGGGGCCATGTACACCAGAGAACCTTTCGAAGCAGTAGAAGATAATAATTAATTTCATCAGAAAACATTCAGGCAAAAATGAATTTCCTAGATTTTAAATATGTAAATTATGTTGCTTTCGTGAGGTAATATTAACTAATTTAATGAGCATCCAATCAATGATTTTTATAAGGATAATTTTTCAGATTTTTAGTGGAAGGTCTAACTCTTTGGTTAATAAGAACGCTGTAATATAATTTTAAAATAATTTCATAACATTTAGCTATTGAAAAAAAATTCATTGTAACTATTATACCATGTTACTTTTTAATGAAAGCAGTAAAAGGCAATTTAAAAATTGGTGACTAAAATAAAAACATTTGCAAAAGCAAATCCAACCTGAACACTTGTTATATCTCATCATTTCCTCTATGGTCAATGAATTCCATTGTTCACCGGCCTCAGCAAACTTGATAAACAATTCCTCCAGATTTTCACCTTCACATTTTGACAGACCAAAGTCAGCATATTTTAAAACACCTGCTGTGTCTAGCAATATCTGGACAAAAAACAATGTCAGTACTTTAACACATCTTTACACTTGCAACATGTGTACTATACATGTCTAAAAAAGAAAACTCTCAGCAAGTTAGTATACATGTTCTGCTGGAAAATGTTTTAAATAACATTTACTTGCTGAGATTATTTTCCTAGACATGTATAGTATATACATTGCTAGTGTTTTTTAGGTTTTAGTGATAATATAAGGATGATAAAACATGATACACCAGACACTTGAATGGAATCACCAGGGAAACCGAAAGAGAGAGCGCCCAAGACAGACCTAAAGATGGAGTCTTCTTGAAGAACTGAAAACAGCAGGAATGTCTAGGGAGACTGCAAAATTAACATCAGCGACTGGACAAAATGGAGGGGTATGGTTGAGGCCCTATGCTCCACAAGGAGCAAAGAGGATTAGGTCAAGTCAAGATAAAACATGATAGACATTTGATGTAAAAAAAATGTCATCGTAAAATAAATCTGAAAGTAAATTTTTTTATTTTTAATGACTGGGAAATTCTAATGATCATAACTAGTATGATAATGGATCAAATGGTTGTGAGTTGATATAATGTTATTACCTTGCTGGGACGAAGATCATGAAACAAAACATTTAAAGAGTGAATGTAGTGTAATCCTGTCACCAGCTGAACACCAAAGGATCTCACTGTTGATTCTGGTAAGCAGCCATCTTGTGCAATCAAAGTTTCAAGGCTACCACCATTGCAAAGTTCCACAACCAGCCACAGGTGATTGCTTGTTTCATACCATTCATGGAACTTTACAATGTTTTCATGTTCAATATCATGGGTCATGCGAACCTTAAATAAAATAAAAATTTGATTGCATGTTTCATATTAATGAAACTTAACTGTGATACATGTTCAATATTACATTTACAACCAGGAGAACATTGAACTTAATTTTTTAGAAGTGAGTAAAAAAATTATTCCAAAGCTCAGAATAAAAAAGTATAGCAAAAAACTCTCTTGGGAAAGTAAAGTAGTGAACTCAACATAAGAAAGGATTATGCTGTCAAAATCATATTTAGCTGACTTTAGAGAACTAAACCAACTAGCTAGAAATCATGCAATACATTATCTCACAACACCACCATATACAGATATGGAGCATATGGAGTAAAATGTACCAAATAAAGTTATACACCATTATGTTATGCAGTTAATACAAAATTTAAAAAATTTATTATTTAAAAAAATTCTGTGTTATTTCTTTTGCTAAACCCTTTTATTTTAAACTTAGGTTAAATGCTGTTAGGTAGTATTAAGTATCAATCAATAATTGATGCTTACAGTATTGGTAACCTCAGGTCTTTTACATTTGTCAATACAATGAATAGCAACAAAATTTATAGTTCCTTTTCGTCTGCCTTTATATATGATTGAGTGATCTCCCTTCCCAAGTTCTTCATACAACACAAAGTTCTCCATTCTGGTGAAAAATAGTAGAAGAGAAAGCAATTTAAGACTAAACAATTTATACTAAGCTTATAAGAGAAAACATAATTACATAAACATTGCAAAAAATTGATTCATTTAAAAAGGAAGAAATATTTTTAGTCTTTAATGATGTTAAATAGTCAATTACTGAATAAGTTAGTGTACACTTGCTAAATCTGTTAAGTCAACTTTAAAAAAAAATGTATCCTTATAGACTGGTTAATTAACCGTCAACTCCAGAGTTATATCGATTTGTTTTTCATAAAGGATATACTTAAAAGTGAAGAGGATAATATAAATATTGCAAGGCTGGTATCCGCAGGGGAAGAGGAAAATAGGCTGGCCAAGGAAATCCTGGCAAAAAACAGTAGAAAAAGAAGCAAGTTCTGTGCAAAAAAAGAGAGCTGTTCAAAACTGAGTCAGGTGAAGAGGTGTGGCTGTAGCCCTTTGCTCCCCAGGGGCCAAAAAGGAATAAAGAAGACATCAGGTGTGTGGCATCAAAATAAAAACTGTCACAGTGATTGGTAAGAAACGCTCCTGCTCCTACCCTTTCCAAGTTAAGGGGGGTACTTTTCTGCCAATGTGAATAGCGATATATAAAGGGTGAGGGGGGGAAATTGATACATCACCCCTAATGCCAAATTAGGTTGTTATGCCTCTGTGAGGTGTAAAAGCTCATATCAATCTTTACCTTATTAAATAAAGTGCATTAATCTGCCTTCCACTGAAGAAAGAGATAAAACGCAAAACCTGTCGTTTCAACTTTGAACCACAGTATCATTTGGCATGTCAGTTCCTTGTAGAGAAGCAGTGCAAAATCTCTTTAAATTCTATTCCTTCATGTTTTCTGGAGATTATAAAAGTTTGGTTTTGACTTGACACTAACAATATGCACAGTGTCAATGAGTAACAGACCATCCATAAATTGGGGACTTTTTATGATAATTTTATGGTGAGGGGGAAGAAAATTTAAGAAATTTAGGTTGTGAGGTCACACTTTTTAATCTACATTTCTAACATTATAATGGCAATGAAGACGCACTGATGCTGACTTTGACAGTTTTAAAACGAAGTGACTACTCGGAAAAAGATTTTTCTCCCTAACGTCTTCACTTAGTCGGCAAAAGATAGTTCTGCGCATGCGCAATGACCTATGGTTAGGGTTAGGATTCGGCCTAGGGATAGGATTAGGGTTAGGGTTGGGGTTATGGCAAGGGTTTTCTGCGTTTGTAAACACGCGCATGCAAAGTACCATCGCCACAATGGCAAGTTGTAGTTTCTCTCCATTGCGCATGCATATCTTTTTCCGGCTAGCATCAGCCTTTTTAAAAAGTAAAAATAAATATTACTGCTACAATGATTTTTAAAATAATAAGTAACATTAAGTTTAAGTGAACACATTTTAGTTTAGGCCTTACACAAATTTCAGATGATAAAATAAGTAATAAATTGGACTATGCCTAGGCCTACAAAATTAAAAAAAAATTAGGCCTATTCTCAAATCTCAATATTTTGCTGGTAGAAAAAGACTTAAAAGTCTTCAATTTTAGTCATGAATCAAATTCTTTTACCTTTACGATTATGTGTGAAAGTGCATTTATAAATGATTGAATAGCGCATTCAAGTCTAGATGCTAAATTTAACTCTAGTATAGAATCTAGATCTAGAGACTAGAACTAAATCACTAAATGGAATTTTGTTGATAGTGTTTATTAACTTTGTACTGACTGTTGCTAGTAATTTTTATCTAAATTGTGTACTGCTGAATTAAAAGTAAACTTCACAAAACAAAACGTTAATTAAATCCACACATTATATCCGCAAAAAGGGTTTCGAATAATTGTTTTAAATAACTGCGCTAACCATAAAAAAAACTTGGACTTACATTAATTTCAATTGGGGGTGGGTGCTAGGTGTGGGGGCGTCGACAATCATAAGAATCAGTAGCGTACGCAAGGGGGGGGAGGCGGGGTGGAAAGCAGGGGGAAACCCTAACCCGAAAACTTGAATACGCCTCTGATTATCTGATAAGAATGGTTAAAGTAAGCCCATATATTTTCAATATATTTTTTTCTATTAGGTCTTGCAAAGGCTACTTTATTGTGCCACACACCGAGTGTCGAAAGGAAGGGGGGCAAGGGGAGGGGTAAAGAGGCGCCTTTCTCAGATCATAGTCTATTTTCTTGAAACTAAATATCGTCAGATTTATTTTGAAATTTGGCTCGGTAAAAATTTAACTGTAGCAGAGGCGTAGCGAGGGGGGGGGGGGGGGGGGGGGGCGGGGGGGGGACATATGTCCCCGGGCGCCGACCTTAGGGGGGCGCCAAATTGACAGTTTGAGGGGGGGTGCAAATGAAAAGTTCGAGGGGGGGGGGTGCAAATCGAAAGTTTGAGGGGGGGGGGTGCAAATGAAAAGTTCGAGGGGGGGGGGGGTGCAAATGAAAAGTTCGAGGGGGGGGGGGTGCAAATCGAAAATTTGCTCCCGAGGGGGGCGCCAAATTGAAAGTATGTCCCCGGGCGCCGGGAAGGGTCGCTACGCCTCTGAACTGTAGCAACCATCTTATATTAAATCACATTTATTTAGATCTAGATCTAATTGCAATATTACTTTAAGAATTGTCGTTTACAAAACGTTAAAATTCGGTTATGATTTCACGTCCTCGAATACAATAGACGTTATGCCAATGTAGACATTCTTAAAACTGTAGGCCATTATTTTGTTATTATTGTTTCTTTTTACCCAAATAAAATAAAAATCTGTAACTGAAACAGAGCTTAATTTAGAATCTAGTAAACTATATTTATGATATAGATATCTAGATAGATCTAAGTCTAGAAAGTCAAGGCTTACTGGATACACTATGACTTTGTCTGCTATGCCAATTTTATTTCAATTGCATTTTCCCCCAAATTTCTACTAAATATCTGGCATGTAGTTAGATTTATGATGATGTAGGCTTGGCTATGGCTTATTCAAAGTATCTAGTGCTCTGTGTCTGAACAGTTTTTTTAGTCCTAGTTTACTAACTTAATTGAATTCTTATTGCTTACAAAGTAAAAGTAAGTAGATCTAGATAAAATATACTATACTTTATTGTTGTATATTTATCGAATTATGATTGTCAGATCTAAGCTTTTATAATTATTAATTATGGGAAATTCCCCCAAAGAGGGCCAAAGACAGAATCACCAAAAGTCCAAACGAAGTGTCTATTCACAGTCGACTGTGAATAGCCGTATTGGGGCTATTCACAGTCGTGACCGTTTTTTGATAGAAATCTAGATTTAATGCTAAAAATACCCAACTGTGCATGAAGATGTGTGGTCGAGCGGTCATGGGGAGAGGCTGTCATGCCAGAAGGTGTGGGTTCAAATCCATGAGTTGTCAATTGGTCTAACGACCCTTAATGTTGATTCTCTATGCCTCTTGTCTTAATCTTATTTTCAAAATATTTTTTCACAATTAGATCTAGATTCTAGATTCTACTTGAGTTACTAATGGAAGTGTTATTTTTGTTAATTTTTTTTTCGTTTGTGACGTAATTGTTGGCATATCAGCAAAAAAATAAAGGACCTGTCCCGTAGATTTTTGCTAACAAAAGTGTGATGGAGACTGTGAATTATAGCTGATGAAAAAGGACATCCTATTTCACCTGATGTTTATTCTATGTGATAATGTGAATTTTTAATGGTAATTGATAGTTGAATAGCAATGTGAACAAACAACTAAACTGATAATACTTAGGCTTAGGCTAATTAGTATAATTTATTTAAAAATTACTACATCTATTATTCTAGTGTATAGATTTAGAGAGCATAATTGATCATCTTATTGTATGACCTATGTAGACGTAGCCTGTCTGATATGAGCCTAAAAGTTAAACTAAACTTTAACGGTAATAACTTTTTTATAAAAATATAACAAAATAAAAATAGCCCTGCTCTCTTAATCTATACCTCACTCCCCAGTCACAATAAATTCTTTTATTATTTTAAGATATTATTCACAGTCGTATTTAGCAAGAAATGACAGCCGACTGTGAATAGCCGTATTGGGGCTATTCACAGTCGGCTGGGAATAGCCCCAATACGGCTATTCCCAACCGGCTGGGAATAGCCTTGGCCAAGTCCAAAATGAACAGAGATGTGAATGAGTTTTTAACTTTCTTTCATATATAATTTATAATGTCATAGATCTATATGAATATAGGCTAGCAGCTAGTTAGTAGTAGGCCTACTACTAATAATACTATTAACTATTTATTAAGTATTGACTTGACTTCTCCGTCTTAGACCTCTTTGCTCCTTACCTTATGGAACATAGGGCCTCCCTCCACCATTTCCTTCCATTTCTTCCGATCCCGGCTATTAATTTTGTCGTCTCCCAAGACATCCCTGTTGGCTTCAGTTATTCAAGAAGACTCCGCCTCCAGGTCTGTCTTGGGCGCCCTCTTTTCCGCTTTCCCTGGGGGTTCCACTCAAGCGCTTGGCGTGTAACATTTGGGTGAGCCTTTCGCAGTGTGTGACCCACTTCCTCTTTCTTATTTGCACACCCATAGGCTCCTGCCTAGCTTTCCTCCATAGTTCTATGTTCGGCACTTTGTCCTGCCATCTCAGTTTCAATATCTGTCTAAGGCATCTATTCATGAAGGTCTGTATCTTTGCTGTGCTTGCTTTGGAGACTCTCCATGTCTCTGCTCCATACAGCATTAAGTATTAGGCTAATGTAATTAATTAAGAAATAAAAAAATAGCTAAAAATCCGATACACTTAAAATAACATAAGTTACCAATACCTATTAGAAAAATCGGATGATTATAGATACCGGTGTCTGATAATGGAATCTTCTTTAAAAAAGGGGTGTTGGGCTGTTAGTAGTATTGTAATCTCGACTAATTTTATGGTTAGAAATTAGGGTATCGTAGGACCAGGGTTAGGGACAGGGTTAGCATTGACATTAGCCATCCATATGTGTATTTAGTTAACTACCAGTAACCTAACACCCCTTTTTTAAAGAAGATTCCATTATCGGACACTGGTATAAACCTCCCGAAAAATCATATAGGCCTACATTATAATTATTAGTCAAGACAACACCATATTAAATACACACACAACAGACTTAAATGATTCCGTTAAAAAAAACAACTGTTCAATGGTATTATGTTTTTTTAAAAAGTAATTTTTATTATATTTGGCCGAGAAAATTGTATAAATTTCATGTCATACGTCTTGGTAAGTAGATCTATAGATCTAAATCAAGTTGGAATGAAATAGTTCATTTCTTCATGTTCTAAAATTGGAAGATGTGGAAAGCGAATCTTTTGAAGATAAGGTCATTAGTATTGTGTATCATTTACTACATTCTGTGTTTAATTCTATTTTTGTCCTACAATCAAAGACGTCTTTAGTGTTGTGTACTTCCCGTAGTTTAAACAAGGGACATGTGGCGTTAATGTTTTTATATTACTTGTATCTTCTCTAGTTATTTAAATTGTAATGTATAATTTATTTTCTACTTTTTAGTGCATTATTACATAAAAGCTTGTTATTAAAACGTTTTTTATGACTTTTTTTCAGCATGTGTATTTAAGAACTGTGTTATCTAGACTATTTCACAATCTCTCATAATAAATAAAGTATGACACATTTGAAAGTATTAAAATTTTCTGTGATTATTTGAAAGTAGTTTACAAATTATAAAAATGTTAATTATACTTAATCCAATAAAGTTAGAATCTCAGTGGACTATAATAATTATTGAGTAGTCAGCAGTCCTGTATGAATATGCATATAAAAACATAAACTACAATGGCACCTGAAACTAAAACAAAGTTAATTTTTGAACTTCTAGAGTTACCATGTCTGTAACTGATGGAGCCAGTGGAGGGCTTGTTTCCGAGGAGGTGGGACCCATGACTCAACAGTAAGTTTATTGTAGGCTACTTAATTATTGTTTTTACTAATTATGCCTTAATAAAGTTAATTAAGACCGTAATCTTGTATTTATTATCGGACAATTTTGTAAAAAAAAAAAAAGTAATTTTAATAGACTTAAATCACATTTACAAAAAGTCTTTAAGAGAAAATTATTTCATACATTTTTTTTAGATTGTCCAGCCAACCCCTTCCTTGTTATTCCTACAAAATGAACTACCCAAGAAGGGGGACTGCAATGATCATCAACAATGAAAGATTTACAAATAATCTACCACAGAGAACAGGATCCAGCTTAGATGCAGACAGATTATACTCACTTTTTAATCTCTTGAAGTTTGAAAAAATCATCCAGCTAGATGACTTGAGAGTGGAAGAAATGAAAAATGAGCTTACTAAAAGTAAATAATACATTTTCATATCATTAAGTGTCCCTTAATAGCAGATAGTTAATATTAACCAAATATGAATATTGGAATATTGGGATTGGGTTGTCAACACTATACCCAGATGTCCTAACTTTTTCAAGTTATGTACCATTAGAGTTGGGGTGGGAGTGTTTGGGGAACTTAAGAAACCCTACAAACTCAAGCTGTTGCATCAAACTCAGGGCTTTTGAACAATCAATTGTTTGCTCTACCACTTAACCATTAAAATGCTGCAATATCTAAATGAAATACTGTAGCATAATTTAGAAGATGAATAGATGCAAATAAATATATTTTTGTTTGTTTGTTTTTTAGTTGCTCAAGCTGACCACTCCAACAGTAGCTGTTTTGTATGTGCCATTTTGACTCATGGCGAAGAAGGTTACCTCTATGGTACTGACGACAAGCTGAATGTTGGGGATCTGTTAGCACCTTTTAAGGGTAACAGATGCAAATCCCTTGCGGGCAAACCAAAAATATTTATTTTACAGGTAAATGCTTAAAATCTTTTTAAAACTAAAAACATTTTTTTATTGTTAAAATGTGGAGACTATTTTACCTGTGTTGTTACAAAAATGATAAATTCCCAGCCACAATGGATGTTAGGGTTGGAAACAGGGTTATGGTTGCTTTAACGCTAAATAATTCCTGCTGACATTTTTAAAAAAGTTTCTAATATTTTATACTAGAATAATAAATAACCGCATTAAAGTGTTCAAAAACAATGCTTCTTCTTTGTTTTAATCATACTGGTTTTTATTTTGGCATTATGGAGGGTTTTTCAAATTACATTATTATAGCATATTTTTATTATCATGTATGCCTAAAATTTTGTATTATATTAGTACTTTTAAACATGCTTAACTCTTGGTCAGGCACACATGTATCATTGGTTGTTTCCCTTGTAGCTGATCTGATATGTTAATTAAGTAAATGCATTTAATTTTATCTATTTAGTATTTACATTTAGCTTGTTGAAATAATTACGATTTGAATTATATTTAAATTGTATTTAAAAAAAAATTAATAGCATGTTTATGTTTAGTTGCTTAAACTGAATTCAGACGAATTAATTTCATTTCCTCTTTTCAATACTATTGACATATTTTATGTAAGTAATAAACCAGCAGGCTCAGTATAATGTGAAAACATTGTTGAATCATCATTCATTGTGCTAATTCTTGCTCTTGTCTATGAATGGTTATTAGGCTTGCAGAGGAGATGACCTGGATGATGGAGTAAGCACTGGGGATTCAGGATTTGATGCTAGTGATGCAGGGGTTTTTGACACTCCAATGCAAGAATTTGAGGAAGACATTGACGAGAGGAAAATACCAGTTGAAGCTGATTTCCTCCTGGCGTATTCAGTTGTCCCAGGTAACTAACCAGTCTAACCATAGCTAAATTTTAGAAAATGAAATTGATTGCTTCCCTTTAGGGTTTTGGTTTAACACTTTCTACCGCTTAGTGATTTGACATTCATTTCATATTACCTAACCATCACAGACTTTCTTTTTTTTCAATATCTGCCACTAAGGTCTTTGTATGTTTTATTTTATTGATCTCACTTTTCTAAATACTTTAAAAATTATAAAAAGTTTACATTAAAAACATTTAACATAAAATAATTTAACGAACACCTTTTAATCTCATCTACAACAATAGTCTTAGCTGTCTGTCATGCATAGAGTTATCTATTTCTAGTTTTATTTAAAATACATTTTATAAAGTATAACACTGTCACACTTTATTTTAGGATATTATTCTTGGAGGAATCCAGACACAGGCTCCTTCTTTATTTCTGCAATAGATGAAGTTTTTAGAGAAAACTGGCGCAAGCTGGATCTTCTAACCATGTTTACCCGAGTCAACTATAAAGTCGCTCATGATTTTGAATCTTTAACCAGGGATGCAAACCGTTTAAAAAAGAAACAAATGCCTAGTATTACTTCTATGTTGACAAAAGATGTGTTTTTTTGAAGTTGAATAGTGTAGCATTGGATTCAAAGAAATTAGTAAAAGGATATTAGAGCAGATATTTTTTTTGTAATCTCATTTACACAAAAACGCTAGAAATTTAGGCTAGGTATACTATTAATTGCGTCAAATTATTCAAATATAGGCTCAGGTAATGTTTTAAGTGCAACTATGTAACGTTTACGAGCTAATTGCTAAATTTGATTTAAAATTGTCTGTTTCTTGTTTTCTGTTTGTTAGATTGTTAAAGCTGCTGTATTTATTTATTTCCAATCATTAGTCTTGTGTTTATGAATAGAAAAGCTATTTTAATTAAAAGAAATGGTTATCATTGGATAATTTACAGGAACTACTGTTAAAAAAAAAAGCCAGTACTTGAACCTTCTTAGTAAATTAAATGCAAAATTAACTGTAAACAATTTTTTAAAAGTATTATAATTTAAATGCTAATATTTCATTACTTGAGGGGGGGGGTGTGACCAGAAATTGTGTGTAAGCCTTGAAAGGAAAAAATGGTAACACTACATAAATTTCTGTATATTCGTATGCAGTATGGCATACATTTATCTACTAAATTAGTATTTAACAGGCTTTGTACATTACATTTATTGAAAGTTATTTTCTTGATGTTGTCTTCATTGTTAACTGATTCAATGATTTTGTTGGACACATTTGTGTTTGTTACCATTGTTTGAATACTCATTTCATTTACAAGCATACATTGTCTGAAATATCTGATGCACTTTTTATCCTATGGTTATGTTCATAAGAAACCTCATTAGTTATGTCTATGATTGTTTAGTTAAATGATTGCCTTTTTTTTACAACTGTCACGGTATGTTGTCACCTAAAAGCTTGAAACTAGTGTTCCCATTTTTTGCTAACATACACATTTACTGTGTTATGAGATTATTATTAAACAAATAAAAGATAAGTAATACTATAGCTTCTAAAATTGATGTATACTACAACTTAGGCCTAGCGGTAGAGAGCTAGACTGCTAACCCATGAGTCTTGAGTTCAGATCTAGGTTCCAGTAGAACATCTCTGAGTCCACCCAGTTCTGATGGGTACCTAACAAAGGCGGCTGGGCATAGTGCTGACCACACTATACCATCATATACCGAGGTCTTTGAAGCAGATGAACTCTACTTCATCTTCCCCCGTGTGTCTTAAGCACGAAAAGGCAATAAAGATGGTAATTAGTTGCAACTTGATAAACAATGTGATAAAAGATTATAGTTTATATACATTTGCTGGATTGCTGGTTCTTACATTTTTGGCTCACAGAATTTAAGCCAGTTTTCTTTTTAAAAGATTCTGAACAAAATATTAAATAGCATTTTGTTTTGTTGACCTTAATGCAGTCAACACCCAATTGTAAAAACTTACTAGGACAAACATTCATGCTGTAAATTATTGTACATAGTACATACTTGTATGTAATTTTTACCACAAAATATTTACATATGCAATGGTCCCTGCTAGAAATTATTTTTTGTGATTGTTTGTCATATTTTCAACTTTTTGGGAAAATGATCTCTAGCTGGGATGTTATTGCTACTTTATCTGGTCATATGCTGTGCTTTGAGAGAAGCTTTTTAGCTTTATTTACACTTGAGATATATATTTCCTCCTTAATTCTAAAGCATCAATTTAAAAATAAAATATTGTCCTTTTCACATGAAATTACTTTAAAAATAAACTTTTGGTTAAAATAATGGCAGGAAAATAACATGTATTTTATTATATATATATATATATATATATATATATATATATATATATATATATATATATATATATATATATATATATATATATATATATATATATATATATATATATATATATATATATATATATATATATATATATATATATATATATATAAAATGTTTTAGTGTACTTGAATTCTCGTTAAATTATGCCTTCAAAAAAATACCGGTGAATGCGAAAAAAGATTAAAATAATAGTGCTAAAAGTCAAATTAATAAATCATTTGCTTCCAGTCTGTAAACTTCTTGTTTTATGTATAGCTATATTGTTTACATTACACATTGAGAATTTTAAAAACTACCGCACTTGTTATATAGCAATTAACAATGTTTACAATAACCACATTTTTTTTTCTATGGTACACTTAAGTAAGTTTTTTTATTACTGTGGTCTATCACATAAAATACATTTTCTGTTTAAAACAATTTTGTGATAATTCCTGTGCATTATTTTTAGCTTATTCATAAAACCTAAACATCTGAGAAGTCTTGAAGATAAGCTAACAACTGAAGTCTAGTTCCTAGTAGTTGGGCCCAGTTTTTGCGTTAAAGAGTACTGTTGTTGTATGGCTTCAAAATAAATTTTAAAAAACATGTCTGAACTAACGCGGAGTTAATTAATTAGCCAGCTAAAATCAATTAACAAATGTTTAGGAGTTAATTAGACGGCTACATTTTAAAGAATTTTACTAATTAAAAATATACTGTGGAAAACGGATAATGTTAAAATTTGTTGTTAATGGAGAAGTTTTGGGAATACCCTATTTTTGCATAAAATTTTGCTTCAAAATAAATTTTAAAAAACATGTCTGAACTAACGCGGAGTTAATTAATTAGCCAGCTAAAATCAATTAACAAATGTTTAGGAGTTAATTAGACGGCTACATTTTAAAGAATTTTACTAATTAAAAATATACTGTGGAAAACGGATAATGTTAAAATTTGTTGTTAATGGAGAAGTTTTGGGAATACCCTATTTTTGCATTATCTTGCTATTTATAGGGGGAGTAGCTCTTCGCGTTCTCGGCCTCGTAAAATAAACGCTATTTCTTGTAAATGATGACCCTATTAATTTAGCAAAATCGTCTACGGAAATTCCCACCTTGACTTTTAATTTGAGGGGATATATAATGTAAATAAGGACCACATTCATTTTTCAAAATGGTCTACGGAAATTCCCACCTTAACTTAATTTGAGGGGATATCCAATATTGTAAATAAGGACCTCATTCATTTTGCAAAATGGTCTACGGAAATTCCCACCTTACCTTTTAATTTGTAGGGGATATCCGATTTTACAAGACTATTTTAATTTTAGTCAGCATACAGAAAGAAACTGAGATTTAAAACCATTGTAGCATATTCTCTTCGGGGTTTTCCGCAATTGCATTTTTAGGAAATCAACAACTCACGGCGGAATAAGAAAACAAGTAAGGTCTTGAAATAAAATAAAAAATACCCGAAGAAGACTAACTGTAATAGTAAATCCTACTCTCTCACCTAAGGTATGTAAGCCAATACTTTATATATTACGAATTCTTTTAAATCGTTAAATAAACTGTAGAAGAAATGTATTAAACTAGTTTGTATTACTGTCGACAACATGAGTAGAAAGGTACAAAGATAAATCGTGCCAACATAATGGACTCATAATCAGTCATAGCTTAAAACGAATGGTAATGGTTGATAATTATCTGAAATAGGGCTACTTAGAACTAAAGGTTTGTGCACACATAAAAATACTTTTATCCACATCAACCCCATATAACATTATATGATATGTTAACAGACCATAACCTCTTACTATAAGCTACATGATTCCCATGCCCCCCCCCCCCCCAATAAACAGGTATTGTTGCTTGTTCAAATAGAAAGTAAACAATTTAACCTATTGGTCCCATGAGTCGTCCCCAAATGACGTCATATTCCTGACTTTTCTGACAAGGACGAAGGTTGTCACACTTTTGATTGTGGGGGGGGGGGGGGCTATAGTGACAATCGAGTGTTCTATAAAATAGCTTTATAACACACCCCTTCCCCTCATTCTCAGAGTTTCTTCCAGGCATCTCATTGGGGGAGCAGAGACCCCCTCCATAAAGAAAGTCTACCGCTCCCCCGAACGAAATGGAATTTATATAGAAAATATATACTTTTACCAGTGTCTGCCCCCCCCCCCGAAAATATCAAGTAACACCACCCCCTTTCCGGAGAAAAAAGTCTGAAAGAAACACTGCCATCATAATACAACACAATATTATAGGACTATATATCACGCGCACAAATGGTTTAAATTATGGTTCGTTTAAGGTGTTTTACAGAGATAATTATATAATTTTATTAACCAATCATATTAATAACCAACCCAACTATGCGAATTATTATAAAGTGCAGCGGTAAACTTGATACGCATTTTTTATTTTAAAAAAAAAAACAAAATCTTCAACAGTTTTGTATTTTGTTTTCAGGTGAGCAAGGAATGGCATCATAAGAGGTTGACCGTGTTTATTAAAACTGGTAACGAAATAAGGTACTGCATCAAAGAGAGAATACAAGTGATGGGTTTGATAAAAAGCCATAATCGTACATCGGCACAAATTTTCCTTCCATTACTTGTTGAAAGGAACTTATTTAAGTTATTGCGTATACAAATCCAGTTCCTCTAAAACACCAACTTTAGTTTGTCAATCAGGTACAAAATCAACGTTTTTCTTCGAAAATGACAAATCTTTATGTAGTAATTTTTTGCCATTTTATTTTCTTAAACTCATTGACACTAAAAATTGTATTAACCGATGAATCGATGATGAACTGCGATGCCGGTTCTTGCGACAAAGGAGAGTTCTTTGATGTTCAGACAAGGAGTTGCCGGCCTTGCTCGAAAGGCACCTACAACAAAATGCGCAACCACAATTGTCTTTCGTGAAAACCTTGCTCAGAAGCCGACCACTATGATGCTGAGATGGTTGTGGAGAACTGCACCAGGACGTCTGATACTGGAATCGTCTGCAAGCCAGGCTACTTCAACGCGCATGACGACGTGGAGTTTGCGACGGATTGCGAGGCGTGTTCAGTGTGTGGTGAAAACGAGGTTCTGCTGCAGGCGTGTTCAAATACCAGCGACACCGTTTGTTTTCGGAATACAACAAAAACAGAACCAACATGGGAGTCAGAGCCTAACACCAGCCTTGTCAAACAACTTATAATAACAGTTTTGGTTTCTGTGGGCTTTGTAGTTGTTGTCTCGATCGTGATTTTAATCTACAAAAGTAAATATATGTTTAGTTTAAAACGAATACAAAATCCATTTCCTCAAAGAAGTGAAATCGACGTGTCGTTTACCAAACTGGAAGATGAAGAAAGAAATCTCTAAACCATGCTGGCTAGGCCAAGTGCTCCGTATGTCTCAGTTTCTCGTGCCGCCCTTTATTTAACCTAATAAAAATTAAATATTTTAAAATAATTGCTTTTACTAAGCATTCCTCATATTTTTATAATTTGTTTCTAATCAAATAAATGACCATTATTTTGTGTTTTTTCGTATAATTCTTAATATTCGCTTTTAAAAAAATTACTTAATATGAATGAGAAGAAGCTTATTCAGTGCACGTGTTTTGGTTTTTTGAAAATCTTTTATAAAATATTAATTGTTGTGTTTGTATGCAATTCTCAACATTTTCTAGTGCATCAATTTTTCTCTCAAATTTGAAATGTTTTAGTAGAGGTTGTGCTAGAATTTAAAGTCTGTATATGATTTAGTTATCTATTCTACATCTTGTCTACTCAAGTACTCATGTAATTCAATGTTTTGTTTTAAAATTTTACTGTACATTGCTAACTGTTGTACTATAAAAATAAACGCAATTTTTGTCTTAAATGCCAAAAAAGTTGATTGCATCCTGTACAAGTTCTGTATACGTTATTTATAAATTAACACCTTTTTAGTTGTTTATTTCATAATTGTTTCACTATTCGCCCCCCCCCCCTCCCCCACGAACACACTCCTGTGACCCCACGTCTCATCAGACTGGGCCACTCGTGTTATGAAAGGCAGAAATGACGTAAAAGCAAAAATGTGGAGCAAAAACACCAACGGGCGCATCGACGAAAAAAAAAAAAGACCGCGTAAAAGTTAAGCTGATGTAAAATGATTAAATAGCCATGATTAAAAATTCTAAACCCTGTTACTAAGGGCAACATAATTACACTAATGTTTATTCTAACTATGAGAAATAACATACACGGATGAGCGTACATCATCCTTTTCCATTCGCGTCCAAGACACATGGGGCCAATGAAAGTAGAGTTTATCTATTTCAATGATATCGGCATACAGGGGGATAGTCTTGTCAGTACTATGTCCATCAGATAAAAGTTTCCCAAAAGTGAGCCGAGTACCCATCAGAGCTGGGTGAACTCAGGGACGTCCTACTAACTCGAGTACGGGATCAAGACTGGAGATTTTCGGGCTAGCGTCGTAAGCTCCACCATTCGACCAAGGCCATCCCCAATGAACGTACATACTTACATCTAATCATTTTGCCTAAATGTAAACAAGGTAATTAAAAAGTCTAGTGACAATTTTAGCGCAATTTCCTTATGTTATCTAAAAATAGCTCTGTCGTAGCGTAAATCAAGAGCAGAGTTAGTAAAACCATTGGTTAAAATACATGTTTTATTTACAATAGAGTTACATGACTAAAAACCATTGCGCGCCTAGCTACCGAACGTGATGTCGCAGCCATTGAACCAGGGTTTCTTCCAGACTTTTTTCTCCGGGGGGGGGGCACTTGAAATCTTCGGGGGGGGGGGGGGCGGTAAACTTTCTTCGGGGGGGGGGCGGACACTGTTAAAAGTATATATTTTCTATATAAATTATATAAATTTCATTTCGTTCGGGGGGGGGGGGGGGGGCGGTAAAAAAATTTCGGGAGGGCTTCGCCCCCCCCCCCGAAGAGATGCCTGGAAGAAACTCTGCATTGAACGTGATGGCGCAGCTATTGAACGTGATGACGCGTGTGGTGTGGTTGGATAAAAATGCCTAATAATTCGGTCCAAATTTTAATCAATTCAAAAATTTTTTTTTGACCGAACGAAAGGATATTTTTGAAAACTTTCTTCGGCAATATTGTTCTAAATTATGGCAGGAATCGATTGGTACATGTTTCAAGCCGCTAAGTGGTCTGGTTGCCGAGATATGGGCCAAAAACTGCATTTTTTCGAGGTTTTTTTTTTGGCTTTTCCGGGAAATCCATGAAAGAAACCCGGAATTATTTTAACCTATGTTCATCTTCGTAACTTGCTTAACATAATTGCTTTTGGAACTAGTCCTATATTGCTTCGTTGAGGAGGAGATACGACTTAAAGCTGCGGACACACATCCATTCATACATCCAGAAATGACGCAATTCTCCAGAATGTAAATTGCGCTAAAATATAAATGTGTGCAGCCTACTGGTGCCCGGGAACATGGATTACAAACATAAGTAAATTATTATAAGCAGCTTTGATACACTTACAAAATCAATACATTTTAAAGTGAAACAAATATCACCATGTATTTGATCGTATGCTGTGCTAGATTATAGGCAACTAATCGTTTTTTTAATTGCATAACTTATATTCAACAGATTGACATAATGATCTCCCCTATTAAAAAAACACCAAGGAGCGCCACCGCATTGTCTTACTAAAGAAATTTTTAAAATGGTTAAACCATTAAGTTACATATTATTTTTAATCATCACATACGTTATAACGGCTATACTTGTACTAAGAGAAAAAAAAATCGACAAAAGTCTGTGCCAATCTGTCTTGTTACAATCTCACTTGGTTGACTAGCTTTTTTACGAACCTAGGTTAAAATCAATACTTAAGTACTTTTCATTTATGCTATTTATACTGGAAGGTTAAGTAAGGTCTGTGTATTGATCAAAAACATATCGCCATATGAGATTTACGCATGACAACAAAATGGAAGGCGATTGGAACCTTTCCAAGTTGTGCTTCAACAAAAGAATAAAGGAGACGCGTTGGTTAATGTAATCAGCTCCAGGGGGTGGGGGGGGGGGGGGTTAGAGCTACCACCGCATGGACCCCCTCCCCATTTCACAACTATAATTGCATATATATATATATATATATATATATATATATATATATATATATATATATATATATATATATATATATATATATATATATATATATATATATATATATATATATATATAAAGTATAATTTAAATTTGCATACATAAACGTATGCACATATTTCTCTAATGAGAAAGTGATCATAAAGGAAATGAATAGAAGGTCACATACATTATTTGCACCTAAATAATATTCACATACCCATTTTTTTCGCATTGAACATAATTTGTGATGAGCAATACTCGAAGTCATCAAATTTTGCAATCAACATCATTCACACTAGACAACAATCACATTCAGCAAAATTCACACACCATTCACGAAAACCTTAATTCTATCGCTACTTCCGAGCATATTGTAAATACTAAACACCAGAAACAAAACGTTTCACCCCCAAACCTATCCTCTAAACAGTCGGCTCTATACCTAAATTGTGTGCAATGTGTTTCGTTCCCACACATTAGTCAAACATTGAATAATGTTACAACTTTGTCACGATTTTACCAGAAAATTGTCTCGTGTTTATTTGTGAAATTCCTTATCATACCCTCCTCTTCATATATATCGCTTGCCCTTTAAATCAATACCAAGGAACCATCGATTTTAATTTCGGGGAACTATTCATAAACCAGTACAGGTAATTCAATCTGCGTCTATATTTAAACCATAAATAGATTGCAGAAGTCCGCGGTTAAAAATTTGTTTGGTGTCATGTTTAGAGTGGTACCGTAAACATTCTTCTTGGTGTGTAACCATGTCTGCAACATTACTGCTGTCTTCCGACTGAAGTAAATTGCTACGTCTTTTGACACTAATAGTGGAATGTATGTTTTAAAATTTTAAAAAGTATACACTATATTGAGTTAAACAATTTTTTAAATTGTATTTTGAAACAAAAATTCTTCTGGTTTCAATATAAAATATACGCTGAGTTGATGTAAGTACTAAAGAAGGTAAGCAACTATTTGATTATTAACAGATACTAATGGCTTTGTATCAACATTTAAAATAATTTTTTTGGTTTAGTAATTTTTTAATTAAACGATTTCATAAATTAATGTGTTCAAACTAAATGTATTCTATTTATAAAAACAAAATAATTTTTTTTTTTAAATTTAGAGTCTTCGAATTACAGCCAAGTTTCGTCAAATGGTAAGTCAAAGTTGGTAGACGAAGCTATAATGTAACTAATAGGTTAAGTGTAAAATGAAAATGTGAACAGGTTTTTTTTGTCAAAGAAATTGAATCAAAATGTTAGCCATTGTGGAGAGGACATTTGGACGTCTGCAGCAGATTTCAGCCATTGATTACAACTACGCGACTTGCATATATACCCAACTCGTAGAGATACCATACAATATGGCACCTAAACCAGAGGCGTAGCGACCCCTCCTGGCGACCGGGGACAAACTTTCAATTTGGCTCCCCCCTACCCATATATTTTTTATGTTTATAATTAAAAACTGCAGCTAAAATGAGCTTTTAATTTTTTCCAACCCATTTTGGCGCTCCTAGGGTCGGCGCCCGGGGACATATGTACCCCCCCGCCCCCCTTCGCTACGCCTCTGACCTAAACAGAAGCAATTCGGTTAGTGTTGCGTTTTTCGATACAGTAATTAAACAATTGCTCAAATTTTAAAATAAGTGAACATGTCTAAACTAAAATTAAACTTTATAAAAAAACTTGTTTTTCAGGCCAAAAATGTAAACCCTCGATCAAAATCAGCCCACTCCCGCTGTCGTCTGATTAATTCTAAACGATGCACTGAGCTTATCACAGCAGCCGATTTACTGAAGAATGGTGGGCTTGTGTGTGTCCCCACCGATTCGGTTTATTCCATAGCGGCTTCAACGGACTTTCCCGCCTCGATTCAAAAGATTTTTGTCGTGAAAGTGAGGGATTCAATTCATTCATTGTGTTTGTTTCCAATTTCCAATGTGTGATATAACACTAACAAAACGTTACGACGCTTAAGTTGAGTTTCTCTCTAACTTCAAAGTGTATTATGACTCTTTCTTCTGCTCTAAGACGCTAACATCATATTTATTTCCTGTTTTCTATAACGCTAATATTCTGTTTATTTCCTGTGTTTTACAGTGTTTCTTCCAGACATTTTTTCTCCGGGGGGGGGGGGGGGGGGGGGGGGGGGGAAAGCGGACACTGGTTAAAAAATATATATTTTCTATATAAATTCCGTTTAGTTTGGGGGGGGGGGGGGAAAGGGCGGTTGACTTTCTTCTATAACGTTAACATTCTGTTTATTTCCTGTGATGTATGACGCTAACATTATATTTATTTCCTGTGCTCTATGATGCTAACATTTTGTTTATTTCCTGTGCTCTATGACTAACAACTCGGTCATTTCCTCCTGACAACCCTTATACTATGTTTGTTTCCTTTGTGTTATATGAGACTAACTCCCCTGAGACCACCACCTAACCCTGAGGCCCCTCCCTCCCCACAGAACCGACCAATGGATCGTTCCCTCTGCCTGTGCCTATCTGGTGTTGACGAGTTGGCCGCTGCTAAACCGCCCTTCAGTAAACTCCTGTGGGCCTTCATCAGAAAATCTTGCCCAGGTCCTACCGGCATCGTGGTACCTAAAGGCGAATGGCTGCTGGTAAAGTTCTTTTAGAGGAGTACTTTCTGTTCTTGACATTTATGTAGAAAAAAACACACGTTTTCTATGAACATCTGATCAAAATGTACTTAAATTTTTTTAGCGCAATTTCCATTCTGGAGAATTGCGTTTATTAACTCGTCTTTTCTGGGAATGGATGTGTGTCCGCAGCTTTAAGTCGTATCTCCTCCTCAACGAAGCAATATCGAGGACTAGTTCCAAAAGCAATTATGTTAAACAAGTTACGAGGATGATAGTGGGCCAAAAAAATTCCGGAATTCCTTAATAGATTTCCCGGAAAAGCAAAAAAACCTCGAACAAATGCAGTTTTTTATCCATATCTCGGCAACCAGACCACTTAGCGACTTGAAACATTTACCAATCGATTCCTGCCATAATTTAAACCAATATTGCCGAAGAAAGTTTTCAAAAATATCCTTTCGTTCGGTCACAAATTTTTTAAAATATATTTTAAACTGAGCGTCTTGTAGGCCTAGTTTTAATTTAAACTGAGCGTCTTGTAGGCCTAGTTTTAATTTAAACTGAGCATCGTGTAGGTTTTTAGCGCAAAGCGCTGAGGTTCGAAAGGATTTTTTAAATTACTTATTTACTTATTAATTCAAACGTTATTTTTGTATCCTATTAATTTATTTATAATTTATATGAGAGTGATAGGGAGTTACAATTACAAGGTTTTGTTTCGCGAGGCCTAATCATTTTTTCACATTTTTTAAAAACAATAGAGTTATATGACTAAAAACCATTGCGCGCCTACTGAACGTGATGGCGCAGCCATGGAACGTGATGACGCATCTATTGAACGTGATGACGCGTACATAAGGAAATTGCGCTAAAATTGTCACTAGACTTTTTAATTAACTTGTTTAAAACAATACGTTTATAAGGACATACTAGTATAGAAAAAAACATAATGTAAAAAAAAAAACGAACTAGAATACGAAATAGATTTTGGACGAAAATATAGACATGTATTGTTTAAACGGACTGTTTATCAATACCACAGACAAAGCTACGACATAAACTAAACATTAATATTTTGTAAACAGAATATAATGTCTGAGAAAGCACTGGACATGATAGGGAATAAGAAAAGTATTTGTATTCGAATACCGGACCACACGGTGCTGTCCCACCTCATCAGTCTGGCCGGACCTGTGGCTATATCGTCTGCTAACATCAGCGGCAGCGACGAGAGTACTCACCACGATATGGTGCAGGAGGCTTTGGGTAAACTTTTTTCTTTTCTAGAACATTCTCAGGAAGATTTAGGTAAACTTTTTTCTTTTCTATAACATTCTCAGGAAGGTTTAGGTAAACCTTTTTTTTTCTAGAACATTCTCAGGAAGCTTTAGGTAAACCTTTTCTAGAACATTCTCAGGAGGCTCTAGGTAAACTTTTTTTTTTCTAGAACATTCTCAGGAAGGTTTAGGTAAACTTTTTTTTCTAGAAAATTCCCAGGAAGGTTTAGGTAAACTTTTTTTCTTTTCTAGAACATTCTCAGGAAGCTTTAGGTAAACTTCTTTCTTTTCTAGAACATTCTCAGGAAGCTTTAGGTAAACCTTTTCTAGAACATTCTCAGGAAGCTTTAGGTCAACCTTTTTCTTTTCTAGAACGTTCTCAGGAAACTTTAGGTAAACTTTTTTCAGTTCTAGAACATTCTAAGGAAGCTTTAGGGAAACCTTTTTCTTTTCTAGAATATTCTCAGGATACTTTAAGTTAAATTTTTTGTAGAACATACTCAAGAAGCTTTGGTTTAATTATTTATTCTAGAACATGCTCATGAAGCTTTAGGTAAACAAATATTTCTAGAAAGTTTTTTATGGAACTTTAGCAGAATGGAGATATTTTTTTCTAGAGCATTCTCCCGATGAAAATTTAGGTAAAACTACTTATTTTCTAGAATGGCTTCAGGTAAAAAAAAAAAACTCCAATTGTGAGTTTAAAACGAACTAACAAGTTAATCCATTATTCCCTCAAGCCAATAATTGATCTCCTGTGTTGCAGGGGAAAAGGTGGATGCTATAGTGTGTGACGGCTTCTCGCTAGAAACTGCAGCTTCTAGTATCGTCAACTGTCTGGACATCGACGAAGGTGTGTATCACACGTATATTTCATGCTTTTTAAAATAACCACACTCCTTTCTACACTACATATATTTCATGATTTTTTATAACCACCCTCCTTACTTCACTACATGCATTTCATGATTTTTTATAAACACCCTCCTTTCTGACACTTCATATATTTCATGATTTTTTATAACCACCCTCCTTACTTCACTACATGCATTTCATGATTTTTTATAAACACCCTCCTTTCTGACACTTCATATATTTCATGATTTTTAAATAACCACACTCCTTTCTACACTACATATTTTTAAATTTCAAAAGCATATTTCCTACTGTATTTATGTTCCGGTATTTAGTACACTTTTAGCAGTTTATTACCGTAGTTGATCTGCCAAATGGTAGATTAGTCATCATTTTGTGTTGGTACAGAACTGTCTATTTTATGTATCCTATAAACGAATGTAGACGGAATAACACATGATAATGTGGGGCGAAAAAGATTTTATAAAACTCTTTTGAACTGATTAATACGATATTTAAAATACAATATTTAAAAAAGAATAAACGAGTCAGTGTATTTATTGACAGAGAGCAATTATTTTATAAACTGTATTTATAAGTTCAAAATTTAGGTAAAAATTTAATCAGTTACGCAGTCTAGCATTACTGAATTATTAATCATTAATGTACTGAAAAATATTTTATCCTAAAATTTGTAAAAGTTTTTTTTGTAAATGCGAGACACAGGGCATATAAAATACAGAAAAAGAAATATATTTCATTGAATTTTCACCATAGCAGAGCTCTTCCTTATAATGTAGAATAGTTCTTCAAGATAGCTTTTTTCAAAGAATTGATTCCCAAAATATTTTTTTCTCCTGATTTCAGATATCATCAGCTACTTCCGGATAGGATGCACGCCTCAAGAAGAAATTTATGCAAATTTTAAAGCGGCGAAGGTGCACGTGTCAAGCGTGGATACTCGGACAAGGGAGAGAGCAAAATCTAGTAAGCGAAGGGACTTCGATAACAGAGACTAGAGGAAAAAAACAATGATAAGAAAATTGAGGTGAAGTCGTCAACAACAGAGGCAAAGATTACAGAGTAGAAAAAGATACAAATACAATATATGAAGTGAAGCTGATTGAAGAAAAACCGAATTCATTTTAACATGAAATTAAAAGTAAAATAAATCAGTATTAACGGCCCTTTGTGTCATGTGCAACGAAAGGAAAACTTGCTTGGCTGATATTAGATCAATACTCATTATATTTCTTTTTTAAAACAAAACAAATATTAGATGTCTGTATCTATAATAGTAACAGTAAATGTATCATATGTATAATACTTTCAGTAATCAATTAACGATGCATGTTTAAATTACTATCCTTTAAAAACCATAACCAAATTGAAAGAGTTTTTGTTTGTTGAAGACATTGTTATCATTACCTTTGTCTTCATGAATGATTTACGTAATGAATATATCTATACATATATATACATACATACATACATACATATATCTATATATATATATATATATATATATATATATATATATCTATATATATATATATATATATATATATATATATATATATATATATATATATATATATATATATATATATATATATATATATATATATATATATATATATATAAAGAAACAATGTCGGTTATAATTATTTTTAACGTGAATATTTGTTTTATTAGACGTGAAAATATAGAATAAAACGTAAAGTTAAACACATTTTTACGACCTGTTTTATTTATTAACCAAATCAGCAACTGGTTAGAATAGGATAAGTAAACCAAGATTTAAACCAGCTGTTGGGTTCTGATGGGTACACACCGGACTTTGCACCACATGTCTATTCCTATAGGGCTGCTAAGTAGGTCACCAACCAGTTCTACGGCTCAATAAAACCTGCATGAGCCAAAGAACTGTTTATTGACCTACTTACCAGCCCTTTAACAAATACAGATAATAACTATTCCCAGGAGATGGTGTGTGTGTGGGGGGGGGGGGGGGGGATAAAGAGGGTGAGTAGTTATGCTACAGATGAAATTAAAAACGTCCTTTCAGACTTGAGTGTCCACATTTTCCAAGTGCAGCTTGACCACCGGGTCTGTCTAAAGCTGGACTTTGCACGGGGTTCCATCCCCCACAGTTATCGATTTATTCATCACAACATAAATTGGCTAAAGAACACAGAAAAAACCTAAAGCCAAGTGGAGTGACGGGGAAAGGGTAACGTCTTTTCCCTGTGTATATTATTATTTATTTAGTTAACAGTGTTTTTGTTTGTTTGCTCTTAGTTTGTGGTGAATCTTGTAACTCAATTTTTACCTACTTCTTAAGCAATGATTTCGTTAAAACTTTTCTTACACATTAGTCTCTGATAACAACGCAAGAATATCCATTTTAAAAAATCTGATTAGTTAAATTAAGTTAAAGAATTATGAAATTAAATGACAAAAGAGGATATAACAAGAATAAAAACTTGAGATATCTCAAGCAGCTACTCGACCGCGGTGAACTGATGCAGTGTTTCTTCCAGACTTTTTTCTCCGGGGGGGGGGGGGGGGGGGAGCATTTAAAAAATTTTTTTGGGGGGGGGGGGGGAGATTTGAAAATTTCGGGGGAGGGGGGCATTTGAAGTGTTCAGGGGGGGGGGGGGCTAAAATTTCCGGGGGGGGGGGGGGGCGGACACTGCTAAAAGTATATATTTTCAATCACGGCTGGTTGGTTTCTGTCCCGAGGGTCGGGCATTGACAAAGAAGGAACAAACAACTCTTTTAGAAATCGCAATCTACTGATCCAGTTTCAAGGCAACTATTTTTGTTTCGTATAAGGTATCGTGTCAACCTCATAAATAACGAACAGAATGCAAAATAATATTAATAATAATAATATATAATAATAAAATAAAATAAATAAAATATGCCAACTAGGCTTTTTTTTATAAACTTAGATTTAGACGTACCATTTTAATTTTTAAAATTGATAATTACTAAAAAGTAGAAAATAAAACAAATACAAAAACCGCCTTCATAATAAGCCTTTAAATGCCCTTAACATGAGAAAATACTGATCCCTAGACTGGAGAAAAAAAAAGAAAATAAAACAAACTTGCTCTTTAACAAAACTGCTGATGAAATCTCTTGCAAATTTAGCAGTAAGAAAAGAAGAGTAGTCAAAATTTAGAAATAGATATCGTATTTTTGACCTTTCAAAATCACACAGGAAATGACGTATTTTAAAGTCGAAATGCAAAACCTTATATATTGTGTGACAGCATTCAAATAAATTGCCTTAAAATGTTTTATTTTAGTTTATTTTTATTCTGTGTATTACAGTTTGAGCCGAGTAAGTACAAGTTAAACAATGTCGTTGATGTTGAGATATTCTTATAATGTAAGGTCAGCTGACGGCAGTTAAGGAAAGCAATTAAAATACTGCTCAAATAGGCCATGCACTTAAAAAAAAACTACTTCCACTTCCATTTTAGTCTATCTAGATCTGGATTTTCTATTTAGTGAATGGAATCAGCTAGAAGAGGACAAGGTGTTCCAACTTAATATCTGTTGATAATGATCTTTTAAAAAAGGGTGTTTGTCAGTTGCGTTTTTTAATTGGTCCTAAACAGTTAAGTATTTGTTTTGGTTTATAATTTGTAGCTATTTGAGTATCATCATTTAAAACAAATTACGAAATATGAGTCTAAAACTTATTTCTCTATACAACAAATTACAAAACACGAATCAAAATTGTATTTCTCTATACAACAAAATACGAAACAATCTAAAACATATTTCTCTATAAAACAAACTAGCTGCATCCCGTGCTCCGCCACGGTAAATCTTTTTTAAATGTACCAACTTGGGAACAGAACAAAACTAAACTAAACACAACACAAACGAACGCAAAAAAAAACAAACGAAAAAACACACAACACTCATAACATAAACACATCTTAAATGCAATCATAAAGGCATATTGCTCACAGTCTAGCCCGTAGCGCCAAATCGCGCCCTTTCCGAGCGCCGACGGACGCGTCTGACACAGTTAATGAGGAGTAGCGACCCTTACCGGCGCCCGGGGACAAAATTTCGATTTGCTAGCCCCCCCCCCCCCCTCAAACTTTTGATTTGCACCCCTTCCCCTCAAACTTTCAATTTCCACCCCACTCCCTTAAACTTTAGTTTTTGCACCCCACCCCCTCCCTCCCCCGCAAATTTTCAATTTGTTTTTCCAACCCATTTTGGCGCCCCCTAAGGTCGGCGCCAGGGGACATATGCCCCCCCTTTGCAACCCCTCTGCTATAAAACCCCTAGCTTGTCCGCAAACCGAAAGATAGAATAATAATTAGTAAATAATACGTTCAGTGTATAAAATAAATTAAAGGCATTATTTAGAATATCCGTGTTTTACAGACCATATTGCACATTATAAATTCATGCATTTTTTTCAGTACTTTTTAAAATTTACAATAAAGTTTCATGACTAAAACCATTGCGCACCTAATGAACGTGATAATTAATATACTAATGGAGAATAGTTTATTAAAAATTATAATTAGTAAACAGTAAATTCAGTGAATAAAATAAATAAAAGATAGCCTTTTATCAATCAATGCTAATTATAATATTCCAACAATAATGTACTCTTACACGTCTGCATAATTTGCAATCACATTTTGCTAATTATATTATTCCAACAATTATTCCGTCTTGCAGATTTTGCATTCACATTTTTAGCTCGAGTTCAATTTATTTTTAAATTACCTCCTTTGGCAAAATTACTAAACAGTTTAATTAGATTTTTCTACCCTACTGTTATTATGTTATAAAAATGTATCCATTTTTTTCTAGGAATATAAACGAAAATGATATTTGACATTGATCCTTTTAATATGCTTTAGCAATGTGCGTGTATTTAATATTTTCTTTACGTTATGCAAAAAAGTAAAAACGGTGGCAATTATAAAATAGCTCTATGCCGTTATATAAACAAACCCTACTCTGTTTCATATAATAAGACACTGCAGTGCACTGAAAAGCACAGTATGGTGCGATGTTTACTTTTATGGTTTCAAAATCTATAGCGATGACAGAAGGACTGACACACGCTCAGCCCGCTTATATTAAAGATTATGAAAAATTAATCTAAAACGTATTTCTTTATACAACAAATAACGAAACATGAATCTAAAACTCATATATCTATACAACAAATTATAAAACACGAATCAAAAACGTATTTCTCTATACAATAAAATACGAAACAATCTAAAACTTATTTCTCTATAAAACAAATTATGGAAATGAATTAAAAACGTATTTCTCTATACAACAAATTAGCAAACACGAATCTAAAACTTATTTCTCTATAAAACAAATTATGGAAATGAATTAAAAACGTATTTCTCTATACAACAAATTAGCAAACACGAATCTAAAACGTATTTCTCTATACAACAAATCACCAAACAATAATCAAAAACGTATTTCTCTATACAACAAATTACCAAACATACTATAAAACTTATTTTTCAAGCGGACGAGGCCAAGGCTTTTATATTACCTCCATTCGGTATCGTTGGACAGGCGATGATTGTGAAGTGTAAACTGACGTAAGTATTTCCCTCTCAAAATAAATCTTACTATATAGTCTAGATAAGAACCAGGGGTGTACGCAGAGGATGGGGGATGGGGGGGGGGAGGGAGCAAGGGGAGCGGCCTAAGACCATATTCAGGAGAGTGGCGCCTTTTCGGGAAATTTATTGAAATGAAATTAACAATTGCAACTGCTACAAAGAAAAAAGTCACCTTACAGCAGTGGCACACGCACTGGAGTTGAGGTGGGGGTGGGGGGGGGGGGGGGTGGGGTGGAGGAAGAGCAGGCCGGGGAGGGTGCTCCACTAAGAACTATTTTAAAGATAATGGCGTCTTATCTGGGGAAATTTAAAACAGACTTTAAAATGTTTCAATAAAAAAAAACAGACAACAACCACAACAAACAAACCAACCTTAATAATTCAAGTGTCAACTAGAACTCATTGGACACCCATATGACGCTTAAATAACTTACTTTGTATAGAGGCAAGGCGACCCATTTTCTGCGCCTGGGGCCAGCTATCAACTTTGCGACCCCATTTATATAGTTATTCACATTTGCAAAAAAGCGCCACCCCCCCCCCATCCCCAATTAGGGGAGATCCGTGGCCCTTTTTACCAGTCACCGCCCCGTAACGGTTTTTATGTTGGTATCACACAATTGATGTAGAAAGCAGTTAAATAAACACACAAAGCGAAATAACGTTCTATTTTCTTAATTTCGACTGTGTATAGTTAAGTAATGCAGCAGTTTCTACCCCGTTCAGTGCCCCTAAGGTCTGCGCCCAGGCCAGCCGCCAAACCCGAACTCCCCTAGCTACGCCTCTGATTTTGTAATAATATCATACGCGCATCTCGGCTTTATTTGAGCGCAGACAAAAAGGAAGCGCCTTCATTGTAGCTATAACAATCGACTATACCAACAGTAATTCTGATATTTACTACATACCTACTGGTTATGGGTCCTGAGCCACATATTTTCGCTGTACACTGGTTATGGGCCCTGAGACATATTTTCACTGTACGCTGGTTATGGGCCCTGAGCCATATTTTCACTGTACACTGGTTATGGGCCCTGAGTCACTTATTTTCACTGTACACTGGTTATGGGCCCTGAGCCACATATTTTCACCGTACACTGGTTATGGGCCCTGAGCAACATATTTTCACTGTACACTGGTTATGGGCCCTAAGCCACATATTTTCACCGTACACTGGTTATGGGCCCTGAGCAACATATTTTCACTGTACACTGGTTATGGGCCCTAAGCCACATATTTTCACTGTGCGCTGGTTATGGGCCCTGAGCCGCATATGTTCACTGTACACTTGCTATGGGCCCTGAGCCGCATATGTTCACTGTACACTGGCTATGGCCCTTGAGCCGCATATGTTCACAGTACGCTGGTTAGGGACCCTGAGCAACATATTTTCACTGTACATTGGTTATGGGCCCTGAGCCGCATATGTTCACTGTACACTGGTTATGGGTCCTGAGCAACATATTTTCACTGTACACTGGTTATGGGTCCTGAGCCGCATATGTTCACTGTACACTGGTTATGGGCCCTGAGTCGCATATGTTCACTGTACACTGGTTATGGGCCCTGAGTCACTGTTTTTCACTGTACGCTGGTTATGGGCCCTGAGTCACATATTTTCACCGTACGCTGGTTATGGGCCCTGAGCCACATATTTTCACTATACGCTGGTTATGGAGGAGCTGTTTAACATTTCTCGTGCATCTATTTAAACAGACTTCGTGAGGATGAAGAGGACAAAGTAGCCAAACTTCCATTCCTGTTTCAAGCAAGAACCGAGAAGACGTCCACATCGCCGAAGAAAGACGTGGTAGGTTGAAAGCCACTACGGCTATTTGTCGCTGGGTTGGTAAAAGCCACAATGGCTTCTGGACATGTGGCTGATAAAAACCAGTGTTTCTTTCAGAATTTTTTTTTCTCCGGGGGGTGGGGGCACTTGAAATTTTCGTGGTGCTGACTAAATTTTCCGAGGGGGGGGGGTATATTTTCTATATAGATTTCATTTCGATCGGGGGGGGGGGGGGGAGGCGGCTCTCTCTCTCTCTCTCTCTACCCCGAAGAGATGCCTGGAAAAAACTCTGATTAAAAATCACTAATGGGCTCAAGCCTTGTCCTAGTAAACGTAGCCCACATATTTATGTTCGCACTGGACATTGGGAAAGTTGACACTAACACGAAAGATGGGTTATTGCTTTGAGTCGTTGGGTGTCATGGATTTCCCCAATAGTGAATCAAACTTTAAGGTCAGTAAAGTTCTCCTTTCAGACCTAGGTCAGATGAAGTAGAGTTATTATGTTTCTTGAAATCGGCAAATAAAGGGATGGTGTGGTCAGCAGTATGCCCAGCCGCCTTAACTTTCCCCCAACGTGAGACAAGTACCCACCAGAGCTGGGTGGACTCAGGAGCGTCCTACACTTCCGAGTCCGAACCGAGATCCGAACTCGAGACCTTCAGGCTAGTTGCGGGACGCTCTACAATTCGACCAACCGTCTCACGATTTAAACCACCCTAAATAAAGGCGGGTTTAGCATTGCGCCGCCCACACAATTCCCATACGGAAACAACAGATGCTAGCCGGAGCAACAACACTAAGTAACCAGTTCATGGAAATTACTTTTACGTTTAGAGTAACTGTAACAACCCGTACATGTCTATTGTGTTATTGTGAGTTCTTTCATCCAAGAAGACGATCAGCAGTTCTTACAACTGGTAACTTTATTTACATCAACAAATAGATCCACAAGAAAAGTGATGGTAAATCCATAGTAGAAAAAAAGGATAATCAAAATACAATCTAGAAACAAAGTGACGTGGTGACATCTTCCAACATTCTTCTATACAGGCACAGCGAAAGCTAGTCCCCCTTGCGCTCCCCTTTTATACATTATATTCTCTCTTTAAATTTGACCGTATTCTGACTCAATGAAACGCTTTCCGGTTTTTTTTTTAAAAGACTTCCTTTATGTTATGATCGGAGATATAAAAAATTTGACAGGAAAATCTCCGATACAAATTTGCAGATTTGCAGGATCGACAACTGGTTAAGCTGTGCCAAACGGTTGCCAAACGCCACGAGGGAGCTGAACGATATCAAGGAGGACCACTGCAACTGTGGCTACAGAACTAATCAGGAACCCTACCAATTCACCTTTTTCTACTATCTGCACAATTTAACGGACGCGTACACCAGGGTGAGGGTTTCGACTAATTTTACAAGCTTTTTATTTAACTTGCTTCTTCTGGCCTTTTGTTTCTCGTGCTTCGTCCCGTCAACTACCGAAACTGGCGAGCGCAATTTCGACTACTTTAAACTCAGTGATTCGTTTGAAACTTGGCACGTGGGTCAAGACTCAATGACAATGCAATTTGGCATCAAAGTTGACTTTGTTGGATGCCTAATTAATTTTTAAATAATTAATTAAAGTCTACTATAATAAAGTCTCTCTATTATACGCACATTTTTCCTGTTCATGTACTGCGAATTTAAAGTTTTTAATCATGCAAATAATGCAATTATATTAAAACTTTTAAAGTACTGATAAAAATGTATTAAAAATAGATAAAATCCTTTTAAGTCTGTCTAATTTCAGAAAATTTTAATTAATTTATAAAAATAATTAGTCATCCAATTATGTCAAATTTAATCTCACATTGCACTGTCTTCAAGTCTTGACCCATGTGCTAACTTTGGAACGAATCTGTCAGTTTGAAGTGCCCGAAACATCGTTCGTCCGTTTCAATTTATGACGACAGACTGATGGTAAGAAGACAGAGGAAGCAAGTTAAATAAAGTCGTGTAAAAAAATTTAATAACACGTTTTTATGTAATAATGCACTATAAAAAGAATAAATAAATTATTTTCTGTAAATATCTAATAATGAACTTTTTTTTTAAAATAACTAAAAATAAAAGCGTGGGTCGCTTCATTTTTATCTTAGTTATTTTAATAGTATTTCATTATTATATATTCACAGAAAATAATTTATTTGCTGCTTTTTTTAAAAGCTTGTTATTAAAACTTTTGAAGCATTGTTTTGTATGTAGGCCTACGTCGCGCTTAATGCTTCGCCCTTCTTGCTTCGAAACTGGCTAGCGAAATTTCGACAATTTTAAACAGACCGATTTCTTTGAAATTTGGCATGTAGGTCAAAATCCGATATCCCGAATAACCACTATACACACACACACCCACACACACACACACACACACACACATATATATATATATATATATATATATATATATATATATATATATATATATATATATATATATATATATATATATATACATGTATATATATATATACATATATATATATACATATATATATATATATATATATATATATATATATATATATATATATATATATATGTATATATACATACATACATACATTAAGGCGTATTTAAAAATTGAAAATCCCACGACAGTTCTCGTGTGCCCTGGAAAACGTGGAAAGAGCGGAGACGGTTGGTGTAGCAATAGCAGGTAAGTATTTGAAGTGACTGCACGGTGGTTGTACACAGTGGCGGAACTAGAAAAAATGGGCCACCCCGCAAAAAAATTTTTTGGGCCCCCCATATATATATATATATATATATATATATATATATATATATATATATATATATATATATATATATATATATATATATATATATATATATATATGTATATATATATATATATATATATGTATATATATATATATATATATATATATATATATATATATATATATATATATATATATATATATATATATATATATATATATATATATATATATATATAGAAACACACAATACGAACATAGGATACTCATTTCTGGCCTGATCGGGTTTTGAAAAAAAAAATTCAATTAAGTCTAATCACAACAACCTGTCATGTGTATGAGTGTATTAGTCTGTTTTGAAAAACTCTTTTTTCATTTAATTTGCCTAATTATTTCTGATCATTAAGCCGGTCAAAAGTATATAAATCATGAAGCTTTGTATAAGTAATGGTGTCTCGTGTTATGTTTATTTTTATGTTTTTTTTATATTATCAATTTTAACTACATTTCATTTTTAAACTATACCATTCTTTAGTACTTATATTAATTATTTTTTTTTTTAAATAAAAAAATTGCTGTTTAATTTTATTAGTACAAATCTATTAAAAGGGGCGTATGAGCACCCCTATTTGACTATTTGAAAAAGGGAAATAATTTATGGAAGTGGTTTGAACGTTTGCCTATCTTTCACACTACAGCTCATGTGTATATTTAAAAATTTTTTTTTTACGCAACAGCATATCTTAGCTACTATATAACAATCTATATATATAATTCTCTTCTGGGAGACGCTAGAAAACAAGCTGTAAACGCTCTCCCTACCATCCCCACCCCTACATGGTCCTAGTGAGCTGTGGTTTCACTCTAAATGTTTACAAACAGAGACGGGTTTAGTGACGACTATTAGGGGCAGATAATTTAGTTTGAAACGATTTTAAACGTTGGGGGGGGGGGGGGGCAGAAAGGAAAGGGAGGGGGGTTATGGTCCTTAACGACCTACTGATAGTGTTTTAAAGAAATATTTTCAGTGTCAGCGTTGGTACTGTCGAATTCACAAATCATGAATTACTGAAAAGTAAAAAAAAAAAACAACAACTAAATAGCGGCAAATGTTATGCCGCGGGCTGGCTCGTGTTATTAACATCACTACAGTATTAGATCTGCTATCTGTTTGTTATTTACAAAACCACTATCAAGGTGCCAGTGACGAAACTAATATATATATATATATATATATATATATATATATATATATATATATATATATATATATATATATATATATATATATATATATATATATATATATATATATATATATATATATATATATATAACACGCTTTCATTCGTGTATTTATTTGAGACTTTTGCCTTGTTTTCTAGTTTTAAAACGTAAACAATGTCGGCACTTTATTTCTTGGATCCTTGTTGTTGGAGCGTTAGTTTGTCCACACTACCACCGAGATGAGACAGCTTAGTTGTTGAGGCGCTATCTATTCGCTTCTTGTAAGGCTAAGAGCGGGAGGGGAGGTCTGAGAAAGGAACTTAAAAGGGACAACAAAGCACCGATGTGCTTTTATCCATCAGTACCAAATTTGGGATGGTCTCAAAAAGTCGTCTTAATATCTAGCGGCCTCTCGCGCAATTGATGTTTTTTCAAAAGAATTTTGCCGACAACAGCGTGTGTTTGATTGTAGGAAAAAGAATATACAAGAGCGTGGGGTGGTGTCTATAGAATAAAGATACTCCAACCGCAGCTACAGTATTCTTTTTTCAAAACAACTATCAGGTCAAAAATGCAAGAAAATTAATTTTAACTATTAAAAAAAAATGATTATGGGCGGCTGTGGGCCCCTTAAACGGCGTGCCCCCCCCCCCCCGCATTGCGGGGTCTGGCGGCACTGTAGTTCCGCCCCTGGTTGTACACCGATGGTGAGAGATAGGTATAGGGGCGGCCAGTGTATGAGATATATATCAAATGGTAGGATATTTGTGTTAGGTATAGGAGGGACCAGTGTATGGGATAAATATCAAATGGTAGGATATTTGTGTTAGGTATAGGAGGGGCCAGTGTATGGGATATATATCAAATGGTAGGATATTTGTGTTAGGTATAGGAGGGGCCAGTGTATGGGATAAATATCAAATGGTAGGATATTTGTGTTAGGTATAGGAGGGGCCAGTGTATGGGATAAATATCAAATGGTAGGATATTTGTGTTAGGTATAGGAGGGGCCAGTGTATGGGATAAATATCAAATGGTAGGATATTTGTGTTAGGTATAGGAGGGGCCAGTGTATGGGATATATATCAAATGGTAGGATATTTGTGTTAGGTATAGGAGCGGCCAGTGGATGGGATAGATATCAAAAGTTAGGATATGTTTGTGTTATCCCCTCTCCCGTTCCACACTAATCGATGTCCTTTACTTGTAGCTTTCACTGACGCACCGGATTCAACAACCTACATGTGCGAGAGTGGAACGATACCGTTAATATGGACCGTGGGCATTTCTTACAATGTAAGTTGGCACGTAGACATAGTATGTTTCTTATAAAGTAAGTAGCCCCATCTTACATAACTAGTCATACAGTCTTACATAATTAGTCATATAGTCTTACACTCAGTGTTTCTTCCAGACTTTTTTCTCCGGGAGGGGAACTTGAAATTTTCGGGGGGGGGGGGGGGGGCGTTAGGTTCGGGGGGGGGGGGTGTTGGGGCGGTCGAATTTTACCAGTAAAATGTGACCTACTTACAAGCCCTATTACTTTGGGGCTTGATTGTAAGTCTGGCTAAACCCAGGCTGGTTAACCCTAGCCTAAAAAAAAAACAACAGATAATTAATTAACAGCTAATCAATTTTATTAAAATGATAGGTGAAACCCTTTATGAAAAAAAAACTCACTAGATGCACAAACAAAATAAGAAAACCTAGCGATTGAAATTTGTTAGATTCATAAGGTATGGGATAAGGTTTTAAGAAAGTTACCTTGATTAAATATTGTATTAGGTATAAGACATGATCAGAGGCGTAGCGACCCTTTCCGGCGCCCGGGGACAAACTTTTCGATTTGCACCCCCCTCAAACTTTTGATTTGCACCCCCCCCTCAAACTTTCGATTTGCACCCCCCCCCCCCTCGAGATTTCCATTTGCACCCCCCCCCCCCCTCAAACTTTCGATTTGCACCCCCTAAACCTTTCAATTTATTTTTCAAACCCATTTTGGCGTCCCCTAAGGTCGGCGCCCGGGGACATATGTCCCCGCCCCCCCCCCCCTAGCTACGCTACTGGACATGGTTTGAAAATATTTTCCAAGTTTTTAGACATTATTTTCAGAGTCCGTTCAAGATCAGAAAAGTGGAATATCAATTGAAAAACTCTGTGTTCTACAACTCAGGGAAGATAATCGTGGAAGGCGGAAAAGTGAGTCCTCAAGAATAATGGCATTCGTTCTCTGACACATTTATATATCTGTACACATCTACTTTCTTGAACACATCCACATGCCTGGACACATCCACATGTCTTTACACATCCACATGTATGTACACATCCGTATGCCCACCTCTATCTTTTAACCAGTGATCACATTTGAAAAGGGGGTGATGTAAAATTGCCACCAAGAAACAATAATTTAAAAAAATCAACTAAATTTTTTTATTTTTTTTTATACCGAGTGACACTAAACTTAGTTCCCCCACATGAATTTATATTTTATTATTGAACATATGTTGCATGACACCCTCCCCACCAACCCCCATTATACCCCCCCCCCCCCCCACCAGATCACATCAAGGTTTAAAGAGGACACCCAGAGGAGATACAACATCACCTACGAGGGCGGGAGAAACATCCCAGTTCTAATTATAAACGACCTCATAGAGGGCGACAGCGGAAAAATAATCGTCCTAGTTTTTATCGAACCCGAGGAGTGAGTCATGTTTTTTTTATAAACATAATTTTTAACTGCTTTTAACACACAGACAGCTAATTAAATCGCCTTTTATTGTTAGTTTAATAAATAGTTAATTAAAAAAAAAAGAATAGTTTCTGACCTGACGGTCTATTAGGGCAGAGAGTATAGAGTTTACGTGTATCGATGACCTTAATGGAAGTAATAGCCTTGACCTTTCCTACCTCAAGTACGGTTCACGCCAGAGCTACGATGACCCAGGGTATCCAGACATAAGGGTGAACAGTCTTACGCTCTTCCACACGGCCCCGCCGCCCAATAGCATTTCACGGATAATTGATTTATAGACACTTAAAAGAGACACATTCCCCCGAGCTGTCTTCTCAATCTTTAATTTAAAGACACTTAAAAGTGACACATTCCCCCGAGCTGTCTTCTCAATCTTTAATTTAAAGACACTTAAAAGTGACACATTCCCCCGAGCTGTCTTCTCAATCTTTAATTTAAAGACACTTAAAAGTGACACATTCCCCCGAGCTGTCTTCTCAATCTTTAATTTAAAGACACTTAAAAGTGACACATTCCCCCGAGCTGTCTTCTCAATCTTTAATTTAAAGACACTTAAAAGTGACACATTCCCCCGAGTTATCTTCTCAATCTTTAATTTAAAGACACTTAAAAGTGACACATTCCCCCGAGTTATCTTCTCAATCTTTAATTTAAAGACACTTAAAAGTGACACATTCCCCCGAGCTGTCTTCTCAATCTTTAATTTAAAGACACTTAAAAGTCACACATTCCTCCGAGATGTCTTCCCAATCTTTAATTTAAAGACACTTAAAAGTGACAAATTCCCCCGAGTTATCTTCTCAATCTTTAATTTAAAGACACTTAAAAGTGACACATTCCCCCGAGCTGTCTTATAAATCTTTAATTTAAAGACACTTAAAAGTGACACATTCCCCCGAGCTGTCTTCTCAATCTTTAATTTAAAGACACTTAAAAGTGACACATTCCCCCGAGTTATCTTCTCAATCTTTAATTTAAAGACACTTAAAAGTGACACATTCCCCCGAGCTGTCTTCTCAATCTTTAATTTAAAGACACTTAAAAGTCACACATTCCTCCGAGATGTCTTCCCAATCTTTAATTTAAAGACACTTAAAAGTGACAAATTCCCCCGAGTTATCTTCTCAATCTTTAATTTAAAGACACTTAAAAGTGACACATTCCCCCGAGCTGTCTTATAAATCTTTAATTTAAAGACACTTAAAAGTGACACATTCCCCCGAGCTGTCTTCTCAATCTTTAATTTAAAGACACTTAAAAGTGACACATTCCCCCGAGCTGTCTTATAAATCTTTAATTTAAAGACACTTAAAAGTGACACATTCCCCCGAGCTGTCTTCTCAATCTTTAATTTAAAGACACTTAAAAGTGACACATTCCCCCGAGCTGTCTTCTCAATCTTTAATTTAAAGACACTTAAAAGTGACACATTCCCCCGAGCTGTCTTATAAATCTTTAATTTAAAGACACTTAAAAGTGACACATTCCCCCGAGCTGTCTTCTCAATCTTTAATTTAAAGACACTAAAAAGTCACACATTCCCCCGAGCTATCTTCTCAATCTTTAATTTAAAGACACTTAAAAGTGACACATTCCTCCGAGCTGTCTTCTCAATCTTTAATTTAAAGACACTTAAAAGTCACACATTCCCCCGAGCTATCTTCTCAATCTTTAATTTAAAGACACTTAAAAGTGACACATTCCTCCGAGCTGTCTTCTCAATCTTTAATCGATGTGTGTGTGTGTGTGTGCATGTGTTTGTGTGTGTTTGTGCGTGTGTTTGTATGTGTGTGTGCTTGCGCGTTTAATTCTACCCATCTTTACTTGGCAGAGAGGACACTGTAAGTCTAGTTTAAAGTCCATTACAAATTGTTTTCTTTTTTTTACGAATTAAACATTACATTTGCTTTCAACAGTTTTGTTAATTTTCTTTTATAAGAAAAAGAGTTTATTGTTTGCCGAACATCGGATGTAAGAATGGAGGGAAATAGTGGATAATGTAGCTACATAAAACGTTCTCTTTTGATAATGTAGCTACATAAGACGTTCGTTTTTGATAATGAAGCTACATAAGACGGTCGTTTTTTTTTAATAGTTTTGCTTCATAAGACGTTCGTTTTTGATAATGTAGCTACATAAGACGTCAGTTTTTTATAGTGTTGCTACATAAGACGTCAGTTTTTGATGGATAGTGTAGCTACATAAGACGTCTGTTTTTGATAGTGTAGAAAACGAGGCTTAAAATGTTCTGCAACATTATCTGTAAAATCCATATATATATATATATATATATATATATATATATATATATATATATATATATATATATATATATATATATATATATGCGCATAATAATATAGGCATAATGATTAGCAGTGGTCAGCTGGGGTGAGAAGACGGATTAACATGTAAATGGGATCAACCTTAAACGACGCCACACGGGGGGGGGGGGGGGGCGGGGGCACTTGAAATTTTCGGGCGGGGTGGGGGCGGGGGGCGGTAGACTTTTTTCGGGGGGGGGGGGGGGGGCGGACACTGTTAAAAGTATATATTTTCTATATAAAGATGCCTGGAAGAAAAATGGATTTATATTCTCGATGCTGATCGAGCTCAGAATTTGTTTTCGAAATAGATCAGTGTTTGAAACATAAATTGGCATTTTGGAGGGAGAATTGTTAGGGTGAGGGGGGGGGGTAACTTCTAGTGACAGTGTGTAACAATGAGGTTGGGGGTAGGTAAATAGATTATAAATACGTGAAGTAGTTCATGAATAACAACCAACTAAATATGTTATACTTGCACATAAAAACCTAACGACGCCCTACAGTTCAAAAACCTTAAGACGCCCTTCTGTTTAAAAAACCTTAAGACGCCCTTCTGTTTAAAAAACCTAACGACGCCCTTCTGTTTAAAAAAACCTAACGACGCCCTTCTGTTTAAAAAACCTAACGACGCCCTTCTGTTTAAAAAACCTAACGACGCCCTTCTGTTTAAAAAACCTAACGACGCCCTTCTGTTTAAAAAAACCTAACGACGCCCTTCTGTTTAAAAAAACCTAACGACGCTGTTCTGTTTAAAAACCTAAGCGCCCTTCTGTTTAAAAAAAACCTAACGACGCCCTTCTGTTTAAAAAAAACCTAACGACGCTGTTCTGTTTAAAAACCTAAGCGCCCTTCTGTTTAAAAAAACCTAACGACGCCCTTCTGTTTAAAAAACCTAACGCCGCTGTTCTGTTTAAAAACCTAAGCGCCCTTCTGTTTTCTCCCACTGTGGCTAGGATGACGACCGATACAAAAGAGGAGTCACCACTGCTAGCAGTAAGTTGAAATTTCCGAAATGATTTTTTTTTTCAGCGGTGGTACTTATAAGGAAGATTACTGGCGTAATTGGCTAGTAACCAAAATACAGGCAGATTGTGTCGACGATTGCGAAATTAGATATCAGCAGGATAAGAAGTCCTTCACCCAATAAAAAACACAAATTCTGCTGGGGAAAATGGGAGCGTGCATTGGGAAGTTGTTTAATAAAATGTGTGTTTGGGTGCCCACAACAATCTCAGAATGTATGAGTTTGTTCTGAATGCCCATAACAATAAAGAGGTGTGCCTGGGTGATACGTGCTAACAACAATCACTGTGTGTGTGTGTGTGCGCGCGAGTGTGTGTGTGTGTGGTTATGCGAGTGTAAAAGCCCATAATAGTCTCAGCATGTGTGTGTGTATGTGTGAGCTAAATGCTCACAAGAATCTCGTGTTTGTGTGTGTTTGTGTTTGTGTGTGCTAGAGGCCCACAATAATCACAGAATGCGTGCGTGTGTGCGTGTTTGTATGTGCTAAATGCCCTCAATAATCACAAAATGCGTGCGTGTGTGCGTGTTTGTATGTGCTAAATGCCCTCAATAATCACAGAATGCGTGCGTGTGTGCGTGTTTGTATGTGCTAAATGCCCACAGCAATCTCAGAATTTATGAGTGTGTTCTGAATGTCCATTACAATAGGGCTTGTAAGTCTACGTTCTCGAAATCTACTAGCTGGCAAGTACGAGAACGAGAATTTGTGACCTACTTACAAGCCTTATAACGGGGTGTGTTTGGGTGATACGTGCTAACAACAGGCGCATAATGTATGTATCTTTGTGTGCGCATGTATGTTTGAATGTGTGCGTGCGCGCGCTCTAAGCAAACATTCATCTTTTTCAGCTGCCCAATCTAACGTGACAGCCAAATACAACACCACCACAACCGGCCACACGACCACACCCTCACCTAACGATATTGAAATGACCTTGAACTATGACCCCATAATCAGTCAAACGTTTTTAGAAGTGACCCGTGAGTATTTAACAGAACACTCGCATTTTCATATGGCAAGATGCTACGCTCGATGTAGAACAGGCGCTCCACCGGCAGGAACAGTATCTAGTTGTGGGTGACATTATATATATATATATATATATATATATATATATATATATATATATATATATATATATATATATATATATATCAGTTTTAAAGCTAAAGATACACTTTTAACACCTACCACCAAAGTAATCTTCCTCAGCGTATGCCACTAACCTTCTCCATATATAATTTAATTCCTAATTCATAATAAACTCATTTTGTTTATACTTTATGTTTTCGACTATACACTATGTATTGGAGACATTCAACAGTCAACGTCTGTCTAATTAAATAACACACAACACAACCTACGCCCTATGTGCTAAAAATCTGACACACAAACATGATACACACTCAACACGTGGCGGCTGTTTCACCTGGATGTGACGTCATTTCCGCAGAGGCGCCGACTGCCGGTCACCTGGAGTTCACCCACATCAGTTCACTGACCGGGGCAATCATCTTGAACTGCGAGGCGAAGCTCATGCAGTTCATGGGTAACCCTCCGGTCACCATAAGTATCTGGGTACATGTTCTTATCACCATAAGTATCTGGGTACAGGTTCTTGTCACCATAAGTATCTGGGTACATGTTCTTGTCACCATAAGTATCTGGGTACATGTTCTTGTCACCATAAGTATCTGGGTACATGTTCTTGTCACCATAAGTATCTGGGTACATGTTCTTGTCACCATAAGCATCTGGGTACATGTTCTGGTCACCATAAGTATCTGGGTACATGTTCTTGTCACCATAAGTATCTGGGTACATGTTCTTGTCACCATAAGTATCTGGGTACATATTCTTGTCACCATAAGTATCAGGGTACATGTTCTTGTCACCATAAGTATCTGGGTACATGTTCTTGTCACCATATGTATCTGGGTACATGTTCTTGTCACCATAAGTATCTGGGTACATGTTCTTGTCACCATAAGTATCTGGGTACATGTTCTTGTCACCATAAGCATCTGGGTACATGTTCTTGTCACAATAAGTATCTGGGTACATATTCTTGTCACCATAAGTATCTGTGTACATGTTCTTGTCACCATAAGTATTTGGGTACATGTTCTTGTCACCATAAGTATCTGGGTACATGTTCTTGTCACCATAAGTATTTGGGTACATATTCTTGTCACCATAAGTATCTGGGTACATGTTCTTGTCACCATAAGTATCTGGGTACATGTTCTTGTCACCATAAGTATCTGGGTACATATTCTTGTCACCATAAGTATCTGGGTACATGTTCTTGTCACCATAAGTATCTGGGTACATGTTCTTATCACACTAAATAAGTATCTGGGTACATGTTCTTGTCACCATAAGTATCTGGGTACATGTTCTTGTCACCATAAGTATCTGGGTACATGTTCTTGTCACCATATGTATCTGGGTACATGTTCTTGTCACCATAAGCATCTGGGTACATGTGCTTGTCACCATAAGTATCTGGGTACATATTCTTGTCACCATAAGTATCTGTGTACATGTTCTTGTCACCATAAGTATCTGGGTACATGTTCTTGTCACCATAAGTATCTGGGTACATGTTCTTGTCATTGTCACCATAAGTATCTGGGTACATTTTCTTGTCACCATAAGTATCTGGGTACATGTTCTTGTCACCATAAGTATCTGGGTACATGTTCTTGTCACCATAAGTATTTGGGTACATGTTCTTGTCACCATAAGTATCTGGGTACAGGTTCTTGTCACCATAAGTATCTGGGTACATGTTCTTGTCACCATAAGTATTTGGGTACATGTTCTTGTCACCATAAGTATTTGGGTACATGTTCTTGTCACCATAAGTATTTGGGTACATGTTCTTGTCACCATAAGTATCTGGGTACATGTTCTTGTCACCATAAGTATTTGGGTACATGTTCTTGTCACCATAAGTATTTGGGTACATGTTCTTGTCACCATAAGTATTTGGGTACACGTTCTTGTCACCATAAGTATCTGGGTACATGTTATTGTCACCATAAGTATCTGGGTACATGTTCTTGTCACCATATGTATCTGAGTACATGTTCTTGTCACCATAAGTATCTGGGTACATGTTCTTGTCACCATATGTATCTTGGTACATGTTCTTGTCACCATAAGTATCTGGGTACATGTTCTTGTCACTGTTACCATATGTATCTGGGTACATGTTCTTGTCACCTTAAGTATCTGATGAGAAGTATAACGTCAGTTCTACACATAAAAAGATACAAGTTTTAAACTTTTTTGTAGTTTTATATATTTTAAACCATTATAAAAATATTGCAAAAATTGATCAATAGACCTAGATTTGTTAACATCTTTTGTAAAAAAAAAATTAATATTGATCTAAATTCATTAAATCTTTAGTAAATAGCATTTACTCCTGCAATGGTAGATAACTCAAGTAATCTTTTGGCAAAATCAATCAAACTTAGTTAAATCCCCTATAAAAATAAACCGGGAGTGATCTCCCCTAAACTTTCTCGAATATTAGTAAATAAAACAACAGGGGATGGCAACTCGGGATAGAGACATGATTTTTAATCAATTTTAAGCAAACTTTTAAATATAGAATCTCGTAGAAAAAAGAATTGCACAGCAAGTGAACTCCAAACAAAATGTGCAAAATCGTGCGGAATATTATTAGTACTTTATAAATAAATTCACGTGTGTTTTTTGAGAAATCGGAAATAGCGTAAATTACTACTTCCAGTCAACGGACATTACTCAAAATTTGACAGAAGGCAGAAAATTAGATCATTTACCTACTTGTGAAATTTCCTTTATCTATCTGAAATAGTACTCAAGTTATAGGCTTTTAAAAAATGCAAAGTAGAAAAAGTTCCACTTCCGGTTATCGGAAATCGCTCAAAAGTTGTTACGGTTCTACAAATTTGATATAATACTTATAAATGAAATTTCATCAACCTAGCTATAATGGTACTCAAGTTATCGTGTTTACAGACACACACACACACACACACACACACACACATATATACACACATACGGACATACGGAAAAGATTGCAAAACTATGTTTTTCCGACTCAGGGAGGTGTAAAACGTCGACATTTGCGAAAATCTCGATTTTTTTTTGCACGATTACTATACTTTCTCTATACTTCGTATATACGGGAAAGTAAAAAAAATAGAAAATGTTTACAATTTTTCAGATAAACACAAACGTTTTAATTTTCTTCTTCTTCGTTCTTAATTGTAATATCGGGGCAGATGTCCTCCAATAAAATAAAGTTAAATATCCGACTTGGCCAGCTTTTCATTCTGAATTTTCTTCCATTGCATTTGTCCATCCAAGAACAATCTGCAGGGCAGCAATTAATGTTTGATTTTGGAGTTGTCTCTCCTAGATGAGTTGCTGTCCCTAGCTAGCGGGTCCCATCTGCCCGTGGGTCCGAAATTGGCCTCCTTTAGTTTTATTAATTTCTTTCCTTTGTGTTTAATGCATGGTAGTAAAAGTAATTCATAAGAAAGGTTCATAAAATTTATAGATAAAGGCTAAATTTATTGTACGAGTCCAGTAGTTTTATTTCGATTTTAATTCTACATAATTTTCACCTTTTATCTTTGTCATTAAAAAAGAAAAGAAAAAACCTCAAGTTATCATTTGGCACAATTGTCACTTTTATTTGTTGTTGGCTATTTGCTTCGCTCGTCAACTTCCGTCTTTATTGTTTACTTCGGTTGACGGTAGAGTTCCCCTTCATACCTGACGGTCTATAAGGCAAGTGAATGAGAGTTCACTTGTTTCTGTGACCTCGGCATATGAAGGGATAATGTGGTCAGCATTATGCCCAGCTGCCTTTACTCTCAGTAACGCGAGTTAGGTACCCATCAGAGTTGGGTGGATTCAGGGACGGTCTACTGTCTTGAACCCGGATTCGAACTCGAGATTTTCGGGTTAGCATCCTTCCGCGTGGCCACTCCGTCCCATGACGAAAAAGTGCAGGCAACTAAAAATGTTAATTATTTTATCTGTAAAGAAATTGAAAATAGAAATGTGTTGATGTAACCTTCTGTCGAGAGAACTTCTAAGAAAGCTGATCCTGAGCAATTATTTTTCCATAAAACAGAAACATCTAAACTTATAAATGTATAATATTACGCGTAATACAATGTGCCACGCCCCCTTTATAAACACCAGTTTCTATAACTCTGTAGGAAGACGAAAAACAGTTATCATCTATTGTGAACGTGAAAAAGTTGCAGTACAGTTTAAACTCATTGAGTGGAACAAACTATTCGTGTGGGTCAGTCATTGTTTGTAGTTTTTATAAGGGAATACATAATATATATATACATTTAGTTTAGTTTCTGGTCCAGTGTCCTTGCTAACTTGGATGTACGCGTCAGGTGTAAAACGGTTGTGTTTACATTTTTTGTCTCTCTGTCTGGCTAGGTCAAGTGATACATGTAATGCGCGCACACACATACACAATGGTATATATATATATATATATATATATATATATATATATATATATATATATATATATATATATATATACTTATTCATACACATATAGATAGTCTTACACTATTACATATAATAATGATAAGCGCCATTATATATCCTTCCTAGTCTTACTGGTGTGGCTCTGATGTGTGTGCCTGATGGAGACACCCGACTCCAACGGATAATTCTGATGTCCCAAGGTTAGTTCCTCATTTTATTGGTCAAGTACAGCCGATAGAATTAGAATAAAAGCCAGACAAATTAGAAACGAACTGACCGGTCAAATGACGGTCAGTTGATCAGTGAAACAGTTATTGATTCGAACGGGCGGCAGGCAGTTGGACGTAGATTTTGTTAGGAGATAGTTGAGTAGGACTTGGAAGTGTTAATTAGTTAAAATACAGGTGAGAAGTGAATTGTTGTAGTAGTAGGAAGTTACAACCAGTCAAGGGTAATAGAAAGTGTACTGCAAAAGCGTTATGATTAGGAATTAGTTGGCATGTGCTTCATATATATATATATATATATATATATATATATATATATATATATATATATATATATATATATATATATATATATATATATATATATATATTAATTGGATTAGTGGAGAGGCGTAGCGAGGGAGGGGGGGCGGGGGGGGGGGGGACATATGTCCCCGGGCGCCGACCTTAGGGGGGGGGGGGGCAAATTGAGAGTTTGAGGGGGGGGGGTGCAAATCGAAAGTTTGAGGGGGGGGGGGTGCAAATCGAAAGTTTGTCCCCGGGTGCCGGGAAGGGTCGCTACGCCTCTGGATTTGTGTCAGTTGTTAATTCCAACTGCAGAAATTCGACAGGAGCACTATTGAAGGGTAAATTATCCCCCTATATGTAACCCAAAAAATAGACTATACATATTTTTTTTTTCTCTCAGACCTGAAAACACAGACCACCGAGACCTACAACTCGATCGATCCCTACGTCATACTGTACGGGGCCCAGGTCATAGTCTGTATCGCCATGGTCCTCTGGAACATCTCCCTCTTGCTTGAGCACATCCAGATCATCATCTCCCAGCAGAAGATCATCAGCATCATCAAAGTGGACCAGGAGCTGCAGAAGATTGCCATCGACCCCAACTATCATCCAGTCATCCCAGATTAAAGAGCAGCGGAACCTATATATATATATATATATATATATATATATATATATATATATATATATATATATATAAAAGAAAGAGAGGGTGAGATATTTGTGTGTGTGTGTGTGCGATACATGTGTGAGTGCAGGGTGTGTTCGGCTCAGTGAGGTATTACGTGACCTAGCTGGGCAGAGAGACAAAAACTGTAAACACAACCGTTTTACATCTGACGCGTATGCCCAAGTTTGCACTGTATTAGCTGGTCTAGAGACTTTTATTATTATTTTATTCACTTTTCAAAGTTTTTATACTTTGCCTCTATTTATACATCTTATTCTATTTAGTTAAATATGAGTTATAGTTATAGTTATATAAGCATGCAATTTTTAGGCCTCTATTCATATACATACACACACACGTATATGTATAGTGAATGTGTGTAAGAGAGCGAAAAAAAGGCTCTCAAGTATACTGAATAAAAGTGTTATAACGTTTTAGTTTAAGACTATTTTTTTCTGAAAATAAAGGGAAGCAATTCCTACAGTTTTGTATTTATTTTAGTTATCTCCCCTACACTGAAAGGAGTGAAGCGCTTCCAAAATGGGCGTGAAAAGTCTATGTAATGTAATCAAACTAATTTTATATAAAATATGGCAAGCGATAAATTATAGTAACATTTTAAAAACAAAGCTGTTTGAGAACCATCGATTACACTCATTTTCGTAGTGAGTATAAGCCGTCGAAAAGCCGTTTAGAATTATTTATTCTAATGTTTTTAAAAACCACCCTCAACATCTCTTTCGCGTCAACCGGAAAGGCCAGGGAGAGTAAAACAATGAAAGTCACAAATACTGTACAGCCAAGTATTGTATTTATATAATATAAATATAACATCCCCTAACACCACGACACCCTGACTCTACTTATCCAAATTAAAAATAAAAGTGTTCGCTAAATTACTATTTGATGATGTTGGCTGCAGTAGAGGGCGCATGTCGAACATCAGCACGTTCATCTGAGTTCCGGTTCCAGTTGGTGCCGGTGAATGTGTGGCCACTCTGGAAACTTTGTAGCGTGGTCGTGATGCGGACCTGGAGTGTTGCGTATCGCTACATCAACCATTAACCCTTACCTTAATCATTAACCCTTACCTTAATCATTAACCCTTACCTTAATCATTAACCCTTACATTAACCATTAACCCTTACATTAACCCTTGCCTCAACCCTAACCAGAGGCGTAGCGACCCTTCCCGGCGCCCGGGGACAAACTTTCAATTAGGCGCTCCCTCGGGAGAAAATTTTCAATTTGCACACCCACACCCTCAAATTTTCGATTTGCACCCCCCACCCCCCTCAAACTGCTAAAATGCAGCTAAAATGACATTTTAATTTGTTTTTACAACCCATTTTGGCGCCCCATAGGGTCAACGCCCGGGGACATATGTACCCCCCTGCCTGACCATCGCTACGCTTCTGACCCTAACCCTTGCCTCAACCTTAACCCTTGCCTCAACCCTAACCTTTGCCTCAACCCTAACCCTTGCCTCAACTCTAACCCTTACCTCAACCCAAACCCTTGCCTCAACTTTAACCCTTACATCTGCCTTACATTAGTTAGGTACCCACCAGAGCTGGGTGGACTCATGGACGTTCTACTGACTTGGACCCGGATTAGGGTGATCAGCCTAGCGCTCTACCGCTTAGGCAACGCCGTCCTTACTCAGCCCTAACCCAAACCCAAGTTAAAACAAATCTACTTCACCAGCGAACTGAACCTAATGCTTGCATCAGCTTTGAGCTTATAAATGAATTTTAAAAAAAAAATCTATACTTTTGTTGGTCAAACGGTCAATACTACAACGTGCCTTTGATTAAATGAAGTTGTTGAATTAATAATAATAAAAAAATATTATACAATTTATAAGGGTTTTGTTGGTAAGGGTGTTTCCTTAAATCTAAAAATAAACCCCTGACCCAACAAGCGTGGGACAAGCCGGTGACATTAAAAAAAAAAGTAGGTCACCGTTTCACCAATCACAGCAGAGGACTTCCCCCTTACATCTGCAAGGCAGTAGCGAGCCAAACTAGCGACGTGCCTAGCGGAGACACGATCGTGCTGTTTTCAATTGTTGATTCTTTCATCGGAATTTATTAAACCATCTGCATTTATAAAGTCGATTGGCAATTTAACTGATGATCGCGTGTTCGAACTATCGATTTGAGTGAGGCGAGAAGGTAAGTGCTTTTTGTTGTGGTGTGGGTTGTTTCAAGGCAGACGTAAAGTTAGCGATCAAGCGGTGAGGGGACAGACGCAACAGGTATTGGTACGGTGGTTAATGATATGAAGCGTTACCTGTGTTCTACCGAGTGTGTCAACCTTTTTTTTTTACACGGCCGTAATGTTGCCCAACGGAATGTAGGGGGAAAAAGTGGCGGTATTAAAAGTGTCAAGCCGTTCGCATTTAACAGTCGTCTGCTGGTGTGGTGTGTTGTTTACATGCATGAGCCACGCCCCTCGAGTATTTCCTTTAAATACATTGATCTCCATCGGTAGTAGTGTGGTGGTATTTTCTCTTATATATATTTGGACCAGGCATTGCTAGCCAAGCTGTTTCTTCTTAGATAACACATCATAGCTGTATTTCATAGGCCAGCAGTCACACACTGGTGACACATGTGTCATGAGAATATAATACATAGGCCTACATGTGCATGATATAGGCTTTTATAAACACACACACACACACACACACACATATATATATATATATATATATATATATATATATATATATATATATATATATATATATATATATATATATATATATACATATACATATATATATATCCCAGTGACGTTATATTGATGTGTTGATTTTAGCCGGATTATGTAAACAGCTTTAGACAATCATGTTTTGTTGACATGACAGGGTCAGATGTCAAAGGGCAATCAGGACCTGATAGCCTACCTTTAATGATGTGTACTATAATCGTATTCAAATGTAATGGAAACAACCTGTGGGTAATGGCCTGTGGACAGTGGCGTAGCAGGGTCGGGTGTCACCCGGTGCGGCACTTAATGGTGTCACCCCCCTCCCAGAGGCGTAGCGACCCTTCCCGGGAACAAACTTTCAATTTTCTATTTGCAGCCCCCCACTCCCCTCAAGCTTTCGATTTGCACCTCTTAAAAGACTAACACTCGAATTAATTACTTAAGTGGAATTATCATTTTTCTCTCTATATTTTGCTATTTTTTTCTGTGTCACCCGGTGCGGTCCTCACCCCCCCCCCTCGCTACGCCACTGCCTGTGGATGCATCATTCGCCTTGAGGTGTGGGGCTATTGAAGATTTTCCAGCTGTTTGAAGAAACTGGGTAACCAATAGTTACCTTATAAAAACTAGCAGACGTCGCCGGACCTTTGAGGTTAGGAACCCCACTTGACTCCAAGGGGTCTTCAGAAATTGTGTAACAGAACCGGCCTTTCATTGAAACCGTGAATTGGGTTATAAAGCGTACTAATTATACAGGTAGCCTTCGCTATACGCTGTAGATTGACGCTCCTTGGAGCCGTAGTTCATTGTGTTTGAGTCAGTGTGTTTGCGTCATTACAGCCTCTCTCTACTATATACTGTTGTCTTTTGTGGGGCGGTCAATGGGGTTATACAGAGGACAGGGAGGTGGTAGTCCTTGGAAGGGGGGAGGTGAGAAGAGGGGTGCACCTGCAGTGAAAGAGAAATCTAAAATTAAAATAAATCCCAGGATAATTTTCAAACTGATGAAGTTTGCAACATGATTTGAGTCAGGATCTTATTACTTTAAGTAAAAATTTAAAAACAAAAAGGCGCACTGAACTAAACTATTTTTATTTAACACTATCCAATGGTCAGGTTTACACTATGGGTAGCATTTGTCAGCACAAGATCTAGTAGACCATTGTAGACCCTTTCTGACCGTTGTTGCACTTTCAAGCTTCCGATCATTGAGTAACTTATTGGATATACGTATGTGCATGCATATGTATGTCTCCGCAGGTAAACATAATTTCCGTGTATTATTGAACCTCAAACCCACGAATTCAATTCAAATCTTCTAACATATTTTTGTCACCTAAAAACTGTGTGTAGTTCTCGTTCTTTACATTTTACGACATTGATCGTCCATGTTCTAAACGCCACATTTTCCCCGCCCTGTTGCATGTAGGCGATAAAATAGTTGAGATTCTCGACAACAAATCTTTTCACACTGGCAAGTCTAGGGGAAAAAAGGGAAGTAATAAAGACAAAGGAAGGGAGACAATCAGGTGACGAGTTAAAGGACAGACGAGTGTCCGTTAAGATAATGACTCACCGTTTTGTTACGTGGAGAATGTTCATGGTTTCCTAGGTAAAAATTCTAATTAAAACATGCGGAATAGGAATAACACAAATTTCTTTTTTTTAAATACAATCTCTATTTTTTAAGTTGTCTTCTAGTAATATATGTGCACTGTTGTTATTATAAATCGCTCAAACTTTGATTATGAACGACTTACAGTTCTAACCATTACTTCAAATCCGAAGACGATTTCGGCTGTTTAATATTAAAATGCATATATTGAAAAAAAAAAAAAAAAAAAAAAAAAAAAAAAAAAAAAAAATGCATATATTGATCAGTGTCAGTCCTATCACGTAGATCAGGGGTCGGCAACCTTTTGTAGCGGAAGAGCCAAAAGTTACAATTTTCAAAATTTCCCTGGTTGTAAAGAGCCGCTAAAATTTTTTTTATTTCAAATATTTTATTTTTTTATTGAGATTATTAGTGTTTGAGCAAGGAGCTGGAGAGCCGCATCTTGATATCAAAAGAGCCGCATGCGGCTCTTTTGATGTCAAGATGCGGCTCTTCGGCTCCATGCAGAAATAATTGTTTTATTTTTTTTTCAAAACTCATAAAAATATTGTTCTGCAACACTCGACATAAAATTATATAATCATAAACATTCGCTATTCTATTAGAATATATAGGTACTCCCTATTTTC